CTATATCGCTCTTTGGTAGCCATATTTAAACCAGGGCCCTGTTTCTCGAAATCTTAACTAAAGATAAAATCCAAATTTTAGTAGATACTTCAATTTTGATTGGCTAAGCACTAAAATCAATCTAATAGTATCCAATCAAATTAATAAAATTTGATTTTATCTTAGTTAAAATTTAAAATTTTAAAAAATTAAAAGTTAAAACAGGCCCCTGGTTCTGAGTTATTTCGCAATATTTAAACCAAGTCTCTCTTAGGAAGCCATATTTAAACCACGTGGTTAGTTCTATATCGCTCTTTATGTAGCCACCTTCAAACCACGTGGTTAATTCTATATCACTATTAGTAAACCATCTTTAATCCACGATCTTAGGAAGCTATCTTTAAGCACGCCTCTCTTTTGGTGCCATATTTGAACCACGTGTTTAGATCTATATCGCTGTTTAAGTGCCATATTTAAACCACGTGTTTAGTTCTATATGGCTCGTAGGAAGCTATAATATTAATATTATTATGTATTCTTGGTTTACTGCTTAATTATTTATGATAAAAACAAAAATATGTTAATGGAATCTTCATAGAATCAAGTTGACGATGAAATTTCGAACTTTTAATCGGCTATTACCGTACAAAACAGATCATAGCTACTGGTTTGATAAATAGACCAATACAGAACGTCTTATTAAACATCTCCTGCCCAAGTTCAGTGTTTGTAAGAAGCGCTGTTATTAGTCAGTTCACAGCCAATGGTCTTATTTTATTATGGAATCATTTCTATCCCCCGATATCTCAAAGAGTAGTTAGTTCGAGAATAGTTTTATCCTTGACTTTATTATATGAAGATATCATTATTATATAACATGTTTCGGTTACATTATTTAATCTATTTCAATCTGTGATATTGTGGGGTTGGGGGGCTGGCTGGTAATGTCTGTGGTTTACCCTTATTCAGTTGGTGATATTGTCGGGGGAGGGGGGCTGACTGGTAATGTCTATGGTTTACCCTTATTCAATTGGTGATATTGTCGGGGGAGGGGGGGGGGGGCTGGTAATGTCAGGGTTTACTTTATTCAGTCTGTGATAAGTGCTATTGTACGATCTTTTTACGTCTTGAAATGGCATCGTTCGTGGTAAAGTGGTACAATTGCAAAAGCACCTTTTATATTTATTTTTTTCAAAACATTTCTCGGGCCCGGGCCAGAGGGCTTACAGCTGCAGTTGTTGGATGACAAACGACGTAATCAAACTTTTTGAAAGTGTATAGCTCGTCATTTATTTGTAATTCTATGGGCTAAGAATGGTTGTTTTTCCGTGACTGCGACCAGCACTCGTTTTCTCTTCTTGGATATCATCTTGGCCATAACCAAAGTAGATTAGTTGCCGGTGTTAAAAACAGGCCAATCACATTGATTCTAATGAATAGGCTTGTATTCAAGTTCAGTTTGTTAGACACCTTGTTATTGGTTCCTGTTTTCTCCAGCCATCTAAGTTTTAATTAAAATAGAAACCGAGAGATTTATTTCAAACAATATAATGAAACCTCTTATATCACTCGAGAACGAAAGCCTCATCTGTCACTCGAGAACGATTATTTGTGCGTATTAAAATAGACCAGTCGCATTGTTTCTAATAAATATGCTTGATTCGAGTTAGTTTGTTAGACGCTATGTTATTGGTGCCGTTTTTCACCCACAATTGCTAGAGTCCATCACGGCTGGTGAACCTAGGTGATCTGCGGGTCTAAACAATTCTTTACTAAACATGTTGGTATTGTTAGTTCAGTTTATTTCAAATAATCGTCCGAAGTGTTATGTATCGCTCGAGTACGATTATTTGTGCGTGTTATAATAGACCAATTGCATTGCCTCTAATAAGTATGCTTGATTCGAATTAGTTTGTTAGACGCTGTGTTATTGGTGCCGTTTTACACGTCATCGGGATTGAGCGTCGATGTCTTGGGAAACGAATTTTTTTCAAAACTATACCGTAAATCATGAACTTCCTATCGGAAGCAACGTGGCGCTATGAGTTAGAGGCTGGCTCACCAACCACCAGGTCCCAGGTTCGATCCCGGTGTTGGCCACGAAAGTTCCTCAAGGTTTACCCTTGTCAGTGGTGCAGGAGAGAGGGCCTGTTGGGTAACAGCGTCTAGTCCTTCGTATGGGACGAAAACCCGAGGTCCCATGTTGGCAAACTTCATGGTGTAAACCAGTGTTCATTTGCCAGTTTGGTGCAGTACAGTATGAGAAGTTAAACTCCATTTCATGTTTACTGGCCATGAACTATGCGGGCCTACAAAACAGACATTGCTTTTAATAAATAGGTCTATTTTATATTCAGTTGGTCAGGCGCTTCGTTTTCTGTCGCCCTTTCACCACTGAATCTTCATCAATGTCAATTATGGCTTTCCTCAGAAGAATATTTTCAAGCAACGCCTTCTTTAGAAGAATATTGATATACAGCGTTTTTCACTCAAAATGTGGTAGAACTGCAAGTCTAAAATAATGCTTCTAATAACTTATTGTCTTTAAACTCAGACATGCATATTACATCTAGAGAGTGTATGTATAATATAGCTCAGATCAAGTCCATTTCATTTAACGCCTTGTAATTGGTCCTATTGCTTTACACATTTGGTTAAACGCCTTATAATTGGTCCTATTTCCTTACCCATTTAGTTAAACGCCTTGTAATTTGTCCCTATTGCTTTACACATTTGGTTAAACGCCTTATAATTGGTCCTATTTCCTTACCCATTTAGTTAAACGCCTTGTAATTTGTCCCATTTCTTTACCCATTTCGTTAAACGCCTTGTAATTGGTCCTATTTCTTTATCCATTTTGGTTAAACGCCTTATAATTGGTCATATTTCTTTACACATTTTGTTAAACGCCTTGTAGTTGGTCCCATTTCTTTGCTCATTTAAATTAAAGATTGTATTTTCAGTTGACTCATAAGCTAGGAAAATGCCATTCAATATTACCAGTATCAAAATATATGGTAGGTCTACTGGGGGAACTGTTACCAGTATCAAAATAAGGGAACTATATTAAGATATTACCTGTATCAAAATATATGGTAGGTCACTGGGGGAACTGTATTTAGATGTTACCAGTATCAAAACAGGGGAACTATATTAAGATATTACCAGTATCAAAATATGGTAGATCAGTAGGAGAACTATATTTAGATATTACCAGTATCAAAATATATGGTAGGTCAGTAGGGGAACTATATTTAGATATTACCAGTATCAAAATATTTATTTACTGTGCTCGTAGGCAATTATACTGTAGTGATAAGGAATTTTATTCATTTATCGTATGGTTATAATATTAATGCTATAGGGATAAGACATTCTATTTATTTATCGTATGGCAATCACACTAATCTACAGTAAAGGAATTATTTCTAATTATTATAATTGTATGATAAGGAATTATAATTATTTATGATACTTGAGTGAAATAAGGAATTCTCTTAATGCTGTAGAGCTAGGCTGTGTAATAAATGTATGAATGGATGATGTATTTATAGTACTTTGTAATATATATAAAATACATGTGATAGAATTATAATATATTTATAAATATTATATTAATATAGAATATTTAAACAGGCCGGTCCTTTACAATTTGGTCATTTTAACTGAAACTATCAACCAAAATATGTGACATGTTTATATAGCTGTCATTTTACAACTGTAATATTTTTATATAGTTTGTAATATAGCAACTTACATGTTTTATGGATTGTCGTTTTGTAGGGTACAGAGATGTAATACTCTTATACATATTTTAAATATGTCATTTTGCAGGGTATAACGAGTAAAATTATGAGCAATTTTATATTTTTTATTGTTTGTATATAAATATATATGTATTTATCTCTGCAATATTTAATAATTTATGCTGATTAGGGTACATACTGTCTTACAACTTGTATATGTAATACTATTATATTAATGTGTCATTTTGTAGAGCACAGTATGTAATACTGGTATATTATTAAAATATGTCATTTTGTAGGACACAGTATGTAATTCTCTTATACTTATACATTATATTAATATGCCATTTTGCCTGGTATAACGTATGAGCGTATATACATATGATATGTACTCTAATGTACATGTACCTCTAAATATATATACGTTGGAACCTCTGTAATATTTAATACTTTAAGTCGGTATGGATAAAATGTTTTTATGTATAAATTTAAAGCGATTAGGCCTTTTCTGAAAAAGGGCTTCTATTTATGTATGCGTCTGTACCTTTACTGTACGCCTGTTTTGAGTATAAGATTTGAATAATATTGTTATTGTTATAAATAAAATAATAAAACGAATCGCAATCTTTTGTCTGTCTACCCTTCTATTTAAGTGAAGTGTATGTTGCCGTCGTTGTCTGTCTCTCTGTCTCTTCGTCCATTACATATGTCATTTTGATGAAAAAGAGACAAGAAAGGTTTTATTCGAAATCTGCTTGAACCTCCACGGGACGAGGGTTTTGGTTGTCGCACTTCTGGTCATCAAATCTAATCCATGTACAGGGCTCTGTCCTGTGGGAGGAAACAGGAGTAAACCCACAAGGTCGAGAAAGCACCACTATCTCAACGCCAGCGCTGATAGCTAGACTTCGAAGCGCGAAACTCTAGACCGCTAGGCCATCTCACCCCCTTCATCATATCTAATTGGGTCCGTGTACACGATGGTTGAATGGTTAGCGCGTACACGTTGTATCATAAAGAATGTCACTGAATCAACTGAATAGTTGTACGTGCCAAGGAGAAGGGTCGCGTGTCCAACCTCTCCCACTGCAGCTAAAGACCCCTACGTGCAAGCGAATGATTGAAATAAAATCGAACCATATGTTACTGCACCACTATAGAAACCACGCTTACCCACCAGCGGCAACAAACCTTGGACTCCCTTGTTAGTGAGTCAGTGCGTTACGCGATAACCCCAACAACTGAAAGCGAACAACGCCGATGTCTATAATAACGATTGTTTCAAGTTTTTATTGTGATTTTTATGCCTTGTGTCATGGCGTCCCGTCTTATGCCTGACCTTGTTGTGATTGAAGAACGTACAAGAGTGTCAAAAGCTGGAATAGAAAAACATAAAAAAAAACAAATGAAAATAAATGAGATGAAATGGGGTTTAACGTCCTAACTACCGGCACTGACTGGGGTAATAAAGAGGGACATATGGGTGAACTTTTCCACATACTCATGGGTTCAGTTACGCTGTTCCGTGCCAGACCCACGGTCCTGCGGTAATTTGCTAAATCAGTACCATAATAGAGTCTTTAAAATTTGATTATTTGATTTCATTTCTTTATTGTAATTACATGATCGATCTTCCGGTCGTGTAAGATTTATACCGGCGTCAGTTCTCCCTGCTGTGATTGAAGAACGTACAATATAGTCAACAGCTGAAAATGAAATGAAAAGGGGTTTAACGTCCTGCTATCCTGCTGTGCTAATGAAACGGTGTGATATGAGAGCAAATTTCCCCAGACACCGCACTACCGCCTACCCTTATATCGACTTCCAACTGCCAGTGGATCTATTATGTGAACCTTAATGTGTGCACGGGGCCCCGGTTTTTCGTGCCATCCGAACGACTATAAGTTGTCCCTTCGGGCCCTGTGTCCTGCAACACACTGACATATTCTCTGTCAATACTGGGATCGAAAACGAGACCTCCAGGTTAGCGAGCCAACGTCTTACTCTCTGCAAAAGAAATCAGTAACATTGTTACATCTGTAAAGGGCGTGGTGGAAATAGAACGTTTATACGATCTGCACTAGTCCGAAAAGTCTGTTTGATGCATGGACCATGAGATTGGGAAATAAAATGGTTTTAACATCCTGTTTTTCTGCACAGACGCCGGGACCTCAAGGTTATAGTCAGCCAGTGCCTTGATCACCAACACCGGTACCTCAAGGTTATAGACAGCCAGCGCCTTGATCACCAACGCCGGGACCTCCAACCATCACTGCGCTAAATTTTCGAGCGCAATATTCATAATAATTGGCTATTGCCATCAAAAGTTTAACTCACCTCAGTGTAATAGGCAACAAATTCATCATGGTCAATCTTTCCATCCTCTAAAAAAGCCAAAAGAAATATAAATATCACTAACGGTAAATTCACCGTCTATGGTTGCTATAATTGAACAGCATATCTGCTAAAAGCCCTGTTATGCTAATTATAACTAAAAGTTAAATAATTGAGAGAGAGAGAGAGAGAGAGAGAGAGAGAGAAAGAGAGAGGGGGAGAGGCTTTTCACGTCCACTCTACACAAACTATGGGTCTAACACATTGTATCTACTCCTTGTTTTAACTTGGGGTGCCACATGTATAAAGTACCTAGTCTTTGGTCTGGAGCTGTCCTAAATTGGAGTACGTAGTAGTTGACCTGGAGCTGACCGATCTGTCCAAGTCCTTGGCCTGGACATATCCTAACTTTGGATGCTGCATTTATCGTGTACCTAATCGTTGGCCTGGAGCTGTCCTAACTTGGGATGTTTCACTAGTCCTTTGCCTTTTATAACTTGTTTACTTACTGGTGATGTGGTCCATTCTGTCGTGTACACCATCTAAATCTTTAGTATCTATAAAACCGTCCTCGTTATCATCATACTCAGCAAATAAGGCCTTAGCAACAATCGCCAAGGTAGGTTCCGCCATATCAAAATGGAACTCGAATTCTGCTACAGTTACTTCATTGTCACCTGAAAATATACGATTTCTAGTTATTGGCAGTGTGGGATTAAGCCTGTATGGGTCCCCTGGCAGAAAATATCATTGAAACCCGTGCATCAGCTGTGGGGCATATTCTGCTCATTGTCCGTCACAACCACACAATTTGTAGCCTACATCAGATATATTTATTTATGGGACAAAAAAACATCTTCTGGTCGACCTCGATTTATCTCAATTACTAGGCACACATTCCTGGTCATGTAGATTTGGGGCTGTTTCACGAAATTTTAACTAAGATAAAATCCGAATTTTAGTAATTTGATTGGATAATATTAGATTGATTTTAGTGCTTAGCCAATCAAATTAGTTCGATTTTAGTGCTTAGCCAATCAAAATTGAAGCATCTACAAAATTTGGCTTTTATCTTTTGTTAAGATTTCGAGAAACAGGGCCAGGGGCTATAGAGGCTAATAGGTCATTCAAAACAAATTTAGGGGGCGGGGGTGAATGGTTTAACGCGTGCGCTTTACACCAATGAATCAGGTGGCGTGGTTTTGAGCTCAAACATGGCTCCTACCCATGCGCAAGAGTATTACTGAAATATAATTGAACCATATCTCCTCTGAACTCAATAACTCAACTTCGAACAGGAAGTAGTAACTGCAACCTGGTGGCGGACATGATCTGATTTTCAACATATAGAGCAACATATAGAACCCTACGCGCAAGCGAATTATTGAAATAAAATTGAACCATATTTTAGTCCTTATATGATCTAGTTTATGTCGAGTGACCGTTACCACTCTCACCCCTCCACTCTCAGAGACTCTCTCCCTCTCTATGGATGTTAACTACCTACCATTAGAATCATAATCATTGATCAGAGTTTGAAGATCGTCTCTGTCGAATTCATTATTTTTATTGTAATCCATTTCCACCCATAGTCTTTCGGCTTCTTTTTTTACATGATCCCTAAACCCATCAATATCTGGATCGGCCCTGTGGATAACAAATACATAATACTAGCTCAATTACCCTTAGTTACAAAATATATATTACTGGCTTAGTTACCCTTAGTTACCAACTCAAATATATACTACTAGGATGGTTACCCTTGGTTACCAAATATGACCTAATGGCTTAGTTACCCTTAGTTACCAACACAAAAACTTCTAGCTTAGTTACCCTTAGTTACAAAATTTAACCTACTACCTTAGTTACCCTTAGTTACCAACACAAATATACACTACTAGCTTAGTTACCAGGCCTTCAGCGGTTGGGTGTCTTACAAAGTTTCCTGAAGGTAATGGGGCCGTGTAGTCCTAATATTTAGTGTTCTAGGCTTTAAATGAAATGGGGTTTAACATCTTAGTTTTCTGAACCATTCGGGGACCCTGAGGGCTACGAGGCAAATTTTGCCCGAATAACAGCGTTTTCGCCTACTCGTCGTCGAACTTCAACTGTTAAGGAATGTTTACGAGTACGCCAACGTATATTCGCTCTTCCTGATTTTCCGGTCGTGGTTTCTACATGTTAATAGTGTAGGACGGAGGACCCTACATACTCGGTATTCCCAGTGGCCTCATTCCGTTCTACTCCACCATACCCTGGGTTCATCAATGGGGTATTCATGTATTCCAATTTTCTGTCCCTGATTGTAGCTTGATTCTACCTTCCAATCAATAAACATTTTACAAACCAGTCTTAGAGTCATGTTTTAAGTTCACAACAATATGGCGGATTGTTCGCTCGAATATGAGAAAGTTTACAATAAATGTAATATAAAAGAAGTGACATGCACACAAAAAGACGTTCTAAATCATCGTTTCGGTGGGGAAAATGTTTTATCTCAGTTCTTATGTATTTAACAATTTTTTTGATGATTGATGAGAATTTCAGTCATCAAGGGCAGATAATTTGAATAGATGTCTCCCGCATGGATGAACCCAGGGGTTAGTGGAGTGGAAAGTGGTGAGACCTCTGGTTATACCGAGGATGGGGGCCTTGGTACTAAAACAGTACCACACTAAGGCTACAAAAAACTTACCCAAAGATGGCTGGAAGAAGGCAAGCAGCAAACAGCAGGACAAACATGGTGACTGAAACAAATCAACATAATTTTATATAAAAGGGATCATACCGATATTAAAAAAGTCTCAGAAATGGAAGTTCGTGTACGCAGCAAATTTAAGATTTCGGGTCAATTTTGTCGTTGGGTGATCTCCTTCAGAGATCTATACGGTACATGACCCACGTGCTGTACGTGATAAAATAAAAGTCTGGGACACAGGTCTCAATTTCCAGATGAAGACTGGCGGGTTTAAGTTGTTAGAAAACGTATCACATGTACTGAGTTAGTTGCTCGGCCCTAAGGTAGAGGAATCGAAGGATTTTAACACAAAATTAAGCAGTTTTCTTTTCCAAAATATAATCGAGATTGACCGCCCTTTAATTCAGTAGGAGTCTTAAACAACCACTCACGGGATTACATCAGGAATAAGCAGGAATCAGTGTTTTAACACAATATACATATATACATACATATACCTATAGCAAGGGACCCCTATGATCTTGGAGCCCCGGGTAACGGCCATGCTTATCTGTCCGTTAGGACGAACAAATTTGGATCTTGTAACAGGATGAATATTGTATTTACACTGTATTGATACTTACAACAACATTTAAAAAAAACAAAAAAAAACCATGCTGTAGAGATCAGTGTGGGGTCCACAGCCGCAATTCCCCAGTGTACCCTATACGTTAAGCCCAACGTTGTCACTGGGCCGCCACGGTTCCTAACATTACTGTATTGTGTACCTACCTATTTAGATATCCGAATGACAACTGACACGGTGTTAAAATATCTTATCATTCTTATATCGGTCGATGGTATAATCTTATCTATCCAAAAGTTCCATTTTAAGATCTTAGCCTATCTTCTAGATAGTACGAAAGTCACGATCTAGCCCGAAATGTCAGGCTCTTTCCGTGGTGCCTATAGTAGATTGTCATTGAGTCAAGCGATGTGGTTTCGATTCCCCGCTTGAAAATGACAAGGAGTAGGTTCGGCAGTCCAACCTCGTAGGTTTTCTCCGGGTCCTCCGATTTCTTCCCACTGCTACAGACCCCGGCGCCCAGGCAAATTGTTGAAATAAAATTGAACCATATGGTACGAAATTAATTCTACGGAATTATCTCTCTTATTATCTCTCTTCAAATCAAGTGTGAAACCTTGCTGTTTTATCACCATAATTAACCCACATGACACTTTCATGCGCCTAGAACATCGACAAGTATAAATTTCGTTATTATTATTATCATTATTAAATGACCCCCCCCCCCTCTCCCTCTCCCTCTCAACCATTTTGAACTGATTGCATTCTCTTGGTAATATTTCCTGTTCTTGTTGGGTCAACGCTATTCAAGGGTCTAAGGATACGCCATATCGAGTACAACTCACATATAATTTGGCGTGATTGTTCTTTGGACAACTGCGCATCGGTTGACTGACTTCGAATTCAAGATAGCTGTGAAAACTTTCAAAACTTCGTTTTACTTGTCCTTACTACGCTAGGATCTGGAAGAGTTGTTATATTACCCGCGTTCTGGTTACGGTGAGGGAATAGCCAATGAAACGGTCAGTTACGGCGATTTCTTGGCGTGCGATGAACGGAACTGTGGGTAAACCACTAGAAACTTCAACGCTAATTGATTAATCAACGTCTGACGTCATAGGGTCAAAAGCCGCTCGTACGACCTTCCAGTACAACCGGTCAGATCTTCATGTAGTGTAGGTCATCAAAAGTATAAAAAAAAACGAAACGAAATATAAATCTGTATTTTAATCAGATTGTGATTTAGGAGGGGTCACACTTGACCGATTACAATCTGAACGACAGACTAACCCTACCTGCAGAGAAGTGACTCTGACACAGTGAATAGCCATGATATCCATATGACGTTATCTAAACGTCACAGGTCATGAGGTCACATCAACAAACAAATGTAAACACCATCATTATGATTATTATCAACATTACAAGACATTACATTACATTGTAAACAATAACCTTATTGCAGCCTAAAGGACTGTATAATCCGTACAGAACGTGTTATCGCTTCTTCCAATGATTTTTCACAAAAATAACATCATCTACAACTCTAGATTTGACGTCGGCATATAGGCACTATTTTGTGCTTCGGTCGTGTCTATTTCAGATATACACAATCAATTCTGTTAATGTTTTTAGCGTGGGGATTGACTAAAAGTTAATTTATTTCAGTTCTAAACAAAAATTTAAAACTTTAACGCAATTTTAAAAAAATAGCCAAATTCTGGCTGGGATTACTGAGCAAAATGGCCATTCACTATATACATATGGTTGCTAAGTAATCCAGTTTTCTAATAACGGGTTTTATAATAAGTTATCACAATGTCAACCAAAATGGCCAGGGAAAGAGTCACAATTACAAAATTGGGGTCAGGTAAACTCACTCAATAGAAACGAAATGAAATTTGATTTAACGTCCTACTTTTCTACATCCACCGGGATAATAAAGACCGGCAGACCGGCATACACCATACAGTAAGCAATGAGGAACATTAATTCCCGGTCTGCAACACTATGGCCTATTTCGAATTCCAACTGTAATGGGTTCATTTCCTTGCACACCAGTTTGTCGTCCCATTCGTAAGACTAGACACCGTTCCTTGTCATGCCGTGGGTTGGATGACCGAATGGTTAGCGCGTGCGCGCTGTATTATAAGGTATGTCAGTGAGTCAACTGGCGTGGTTTCGATTCCCCGGTTGTACGTGACAAGAAGTAGGGTCGCCTGTCCAACCTCATGAGTTTTCTCCGTGTTCCGCCACTGCTAAAGACCCCTATGCGCAAGCGAATAATTTAAGTAAAATTGAACCATAAGTTAGTCCCCAAATGACCTACTTCGTGTCGAATGGACGTTAAACACCATTTCTCTTTCTCGGCCAACAGGTAGCGACCTCCTGGTTAGCGAGCCAAAGTCTTACTCACAGAGCCACCAGATCTCTCGTCGATTATACCCAGTATCCAAATAGCATCCGTTGGACGTCGAGGTGGGGGGGGGGGGGCTTTCTCATGATATATATAACGTATTGATGGAGATAGGAGTTTGCACTAAAGGGCATAGGCGCACGGACTCGATAAATGTTAGGGGGCAGAACCTGAAATGCCCCCAAAAAAATTCCGGTTACAGATGTCTAGGCCTCGCCCTCAAAGAAAATTTGACGGCCGCAAACGCGTTTTCTTGCTATTCCAGTCCCTGAATACAGCACTTGGTCTAATATAGCCAAACTTAGGTGGCCGACTCGAATTCTAAACAACCAATCAATCGTTTACAGTCCACGGAGAATACAGTAACTTCAGTGTGGTCCACTGCTTTAGGTGGCTCACCTGAATCCCAAACAACCAATCAATCGTCGCGGAGTATGGGGGGTCTCACGTTCCCCGAGAAAATTTTGAAAATTTAACCGCCGCAAATGCGTTTTTCTGCTGTTGTAGTCCGCTAGTTAGCACCTTTAAAGTTTTGAAAATTTAACCGCCGCAAATGCGTTTTTCTGCTGTTGTAGTCCGCTAGTTAGCACCTTTAAAGTTTCGAAATTGTAATTCCCTTTATAACAATATGAGTATCTCACAATTTTAGAAAAAAAAACTTCTAAAGCTTGCAGAATGCCACTGCCAGAATGGTTACCCTGTCACGAAAATTTTATCCCATCACTCCGATTCTCTATAAACTGCACTGGCTCCCAATTGTTGAAAGATGTAAAGTTAAAGTACTTTTTTTGAAATTGTCAATAATAAAGCCTCTGCATATCTAAACGAACTTGTATCGGTGAAACGTCCACTTGTATCAACTAGGTTTACAAAAGCGCGGTCTCTAGTTTACCGTCCCAAAAAAATCTAAAAATAAATTTTATGGTGATAGAATATATGGTCAATATGGAACCCTCCACCTCCTGAAATACGTTCAGAAACTAATATTGATGTTTTTAAATCCACAGTTAAAACAATCCTTTTTAAACGACATTTTATTCCTTCGGCCATGCACTAATATCTTGTTTATGTTACATTTAATTTTTAAAAATCTTTAAACGTACAATGAAATTTTCATCCATACATTAATTTGTGTTTTAAAAATTTACGGTTCATTGAATTTAATTTTTAAATATGCAATGTAATTGTTTTTAAAGGAATTTTTGTTTTTAATAATTATATTTTTATTATTATTATTATAAAGCGCGTTGAGATTTTATGCCATTTTTTATGCTGCTATGTAATGCGCTATATAAGAATAAACTATTATTATTATTATTCGAATCGTTTTGTAACCGAAATCACACTCTATGCCGACCTGAATTCCAAGCATCCTATCTGTGTGCAGAACGTGGACAATTTTTAATAGTCATGGTTCAATTTTATTTCAATAATTCGTTAGCCCGTAAGTGTCTTTAGAGGTCGAAGGAAACCGGAGGATCCAAAGAAAACAAACGAGGTTGTACAGGCGACTCTACTCCTTGTTACGTACAAGTGAGGAATCGAAACCACGTCATTTGACCCAATGACAGACCTTATGATCAAGCGCGCACGCGTTAACCATCCGGCCACCCAATCCCCCGGATAATAAAGTAACTTGGAAAATGAAATTAAAGTCCGAAATCCAACTGCTCTACTATCTTGACTATGAGAGAAACGTTGCCCGGCCTGTCAAAGGTTCTTTTACCCAATCCCCCGGATAATAAAGTAACTTGGAAAATGAAATTAAAGTCCGAAATCCAACTGCTCTACTATCTTGCCTATGAAAGAAACGTTGCCCGGCCTGTCAAAGGTTCTTTTACTTCCACGGCAATTTGTACACGACTGAACGACTAAACACTGTCCCTTGCCAGGGCCTCTGTGGGGGAAATCACATTGGTCAGCTATACTAAACTGCGCTGTTTGTATACAATTAGCTCCTCTTGAGAACAGACACTAAGCTAGTTGACCGAGATTTTAAGTTACATCGACGATTTTACTTTTAGTCGAAACCACATAGTATAGTTCGCGAATTTTGAGAAGTATTTATTTCGTTTCCATTTAACAAAATCGTAAAGGTTTATTTAGTCTGTGTATAACAGATGTGAACCGCATTACAACGCAGTATACCAATTGTTGGATATGGCGGCCATTTAGGGAATAGGTCTGTTCTCGAAGTAGATAGTTCTGTGAGCAGAAGGTGGACAATTTTTAAACGTCATCGTAGACTCGATTGTCTTTCCTAGCGAAAATTAGTGAGTCTTGCCACTGGTTGACGTAATCTATAGTAGTGAACTTTGATACCAATTATTTAATTCCAAGCCGTTTCTCACTTTGATATTAATTTATTTAGTAAAGAGAATGAGTTTCAGACGAGTTATTTGCCCCGGAGTCAGCCTTGCGAAAATTAGTGAGTATTGCTACTGGTTGACAGAATCTAGAGTAGTAAACTTTGATACCAATTATTTAATTCCAACCCATTTCTCACTTTGGTATTATTATATCTACTGAAAGAGATTGGGTTTCTGACCAGTTATTTGCCCCGGAAATTGAAATCAGACCAGTCACTTGATAATCTCCATTACCGAACATGGTGGCAACAGACTTTAGGGAGACAGATGGAGTTTAACCTCCACTTGGCACAGATCATTTTGGGACTAACATATGATTCAATAAATAATCTGCTTGTGCTTAGTGGTCTTTAGCAGTAGGAGGAAACCGGAGAACCTCGAGAAAACTCACCAGGTTGGACAGGCGACCCTACTCCTTGCCACATTCAAGGGGTAAATCGAAACCACGCCACTCGACCTGATAACAGATCTTATGATACAAAGCGCATGCATCAACCATTCAGCAACCCAACTCCCCTTACTGGGATAGGGCTAATGAAGACGGGTACATTCCACGAGAATAATTGCCTGGGCAGTGGCTCAACTGCCCATTGTTCATTACATCCAAAGAATTACATGTGCATGCTTTTCCTGCATCATTACCACAGGATGGGTGAGAGCAACGAGACTGGAAAACTGTTACAATCAGCATGCTCAATCCCTCCCGATCATAATGAAATTTAACGTTCTACTGTTCTGGATTGAACATGGGACCTTCTGATTAGGGAGACTTGGTGTGTTGCTGAGCCACCACAGCTCTCCTCCCCTACACAAACAAGTGGGGAACTATCTCTGTCAACATTGGACCTCATAGCCAGTGCCATTCAATCAAATAAGCCCCCACCTCAGCCCCCCACCCCTTAATATCAAAACTGGGACCTAGTATCTAGTGCCATACTAAAGACATTCAGCCCCACCTCAGCCCACTACACCACCCAAAACCACTGAATATAAACAAAGCCATGTTTCTATCAGACATAACATTTATTCTTTATCGTCTTTATGAAGTTTTCTGGAACCTCGTAATCTTCCTGTTCTTCTAGCAGCAATCAAACCAACCTAAAATACAACAATTAACATAAATTATCTCAAATAAATGCAAGCTATTTTTTACCCAACATGTTTTACAATTGACTCAGGCCATACAGGAAAAAAAATTCTGGTTCTGACAATCCTTTCAAAAAGATAGGTTGCCAGGCATCGAAATACACGCCCATAGCAGCTATATCGTCCGAGCAGTTGACAAGGGTTGTTGCATATTTATTCTTTTGTAGGTAATGGGTAAATGGGGGGCAATTACAAGACAATTTCATACAAATCGGATTATACTTTCCGTTGTTTGAGGGTTCACAAGGGTCTACAAACTGAAACAAGGGTCTTAATTCTAGAAGCAATTAACAAAAATTGCTGAAATTCAATAGGTTTTTTCGTTTCATTAATTTAAATGCTTATAAATTTCATACAGATCCAATAACTTTTGGCGGTTAGTGATGTATATACATTTCATGCAGATCAGATGATAACTTCTGGCATTAGAGCATTCAGAAGTTGCAACATAATGAAACAAGGGCAGAGATTAACAGAAATCATTGAAATTAAATAAGACTTCATTTCACTAAAGTAAACATATCAATTTTAAAACAATCAGATGATAAATGTAGTCTGCGGAGTGTTCACAAAAAATTGCGGACTGACGGCATATATGCCCACATGGCCATGTCAAAATCTAGCAAGTTTTTCATTTTAAGAAAAACACAAAATTATCACAAATGTATTATTTATTCAACATTTCAGAAAAACAAAAGAATTTGAAATAACGTCCGAATAATTCTGTGACATCAATCTACATTAACTCCTGTGAAAATGTCTTCAAATCCCCTGGTTTTATTATGTGGTATCAAAGTCTGCGCCCTCAATATCCCCGCAGAAAATATTTTCGGTCATTCTAACAGTCATATTTCTCGAGAAAGATAAGGCCCAATTATCAAGTAAATGAAATTAAATGGAGTTTAACGGTCTACTTTTCTGCACGGACTGGGCTAATAAAGACAGGCAATTATTAAAATAAGGGAGCCAACCCTTGCTAGAAATGTCAACCTACCTTTCTTCCTGGTGGAATATCACGTCTGACAGTGGATGGTTTACCAATATGTTGATGGTTACCACCTCCATGGGGATGTTCAACGGGCTGAAAAAACATAATCACCATATTATTCATAGTAAACTTGTGCCGTCTGTCTACAGTTAGCTCTGGTAGTCCACTAGTGAACAGACACTACGCTAGTTGACCAACATTATAAATATTAAAAAATTTAAAAAACACTGATAAAATAAACCGAATCTGTGCCAAACACCAGAAGGATTGCCTGATATTTGAATATTGTCTGAGTTGCCTTGATTATTATACACTAGCGGATGAGCTGGCGCTGCACAGGTTGTGCCAGGAACCGAAAATAGTATAACTCCAAAACCCGGAAGTGTCAGAGCTACACCAAATGTAAACCTTGATACAGCCCAAGTATAGCCGCCAGCCCTGAACAGACAAACGACAGTCACAATTTTTAATATAGATTGGCATACAATAAATGACACGAACATAAGATACCAAAATTCTGACAAACAGATGAGCTAATTTTATTTAAATATATAAAGGAAATGAGTTTTAACACTGTACAATTCTGCACCTACTGGGCTAATGATGAAAGGCATAGGAGGGAAATTGTTTGACCGGACACCTGTTCCAACTGTACAGGGTTCCTATACTGGGCCCTTATTCACGAAAACTTAAACTAAGTAACAAACAAAATTTTAAGAAATACTGCAACTTCATGGGATATATGCAAATTGATTTTACTGGTCAGCCAATCGAATTGCAGTATTTCTTAAAATTTTGATTGTATCTTAGTTTAACTTTTCGTGAATAAGGGCCCAGGGCTATACATACACACCAGTATGTATATGGGACCTCTTTTTCATCCCATCTGAAATACTAGACTGTTCTCTCCATAGGCATACGGAGAAATTTTTGACTGGGGGGGCGGTGGTGGTTGGTGCCCAAAAAATGTAGCTAGGTTCTTAGTATGTTACATAATAATAATAATAATAAATTAGCTGTTAAATTGGACACATTCAAGAACGCAATATTATATTATACAACTTTTACAAAGTACAATTGTGTTCCCAAATTTTCCCAGCATTTGGTGCCCAAAATGGGGGGGCGGCCGCCCCCCAGCCCAGACGCCTATGGTTCTCTCAGAGATGGTACCAATATGTACATGGGACCCCTTTTTCATCCCATCCGTAGGACTAAATTATTCCCTCTGAGAGATGGTACCTAATATGTACGCCAGACCTTTTTTATCCCATACGTGGGGCCTCTTTTTCATCCATCCAAATGACTACTGTTCCCCTCAGAGAGAGGGTATCAATATGTACAAGGGGGACCTCTTTTTCATCCCATCTGAATGACTAGACTGTTCCCTCCGAGACAGTAACAATATGTACATGGGACCTTTTTTATCCCATCCACAAGACTTGACTGTTCCCTCAGAGTGATGGTACCAATATGTACATGGGACTAACGATTTAGAAAACAGTGGAAAGGGGGGAAGGTCATAAGGGACTAACATATGTTTCAATTTTATTTCAAGAATTCTATTGCATGCAACACATTTTGTAACTGTTCAATCCGTTACTTACGTTCATAGCAACACCTCTAGTTCTAGGCCAGCTGTTTCTCTTGGCTTTATATTTATGATAAGCTCGTCCAGCTTTTAACATGGGTTTGTCAATTCGACCTCCCCCAGCAACAATACCTGTATAGAGAAAAAAGAAATGGGGTTTTATATCCACTCGATACAAACTGTCATTTTGGGACTAACAAGATTAAATTTTATTTACAGTGGAAGAAACGGGGATGATCCGGAGAAAACTCCCGAAGTTGGATAAGCGACCTCACGTACAAGCAGGAAATCAAAACATGACTTGACTCAATGACCGACTATAATCTAAAGCGCATGTGTTTAACAACTCGGCCACCCAACCACCCTTTTCAACACCCAAACACCCCTTCAATATCTGTAGACAAATGAAGACAGCCACAAGCCACACAGTGTGCAATGAGTGAAATTTTGCCCTGGACAGCTGTGATACCGCCTAATCTTATATCGAATTCCATGCCAACATGTACATGTGATATCGGTTTTTTTATCCAATCCGAATGACTAGACACACACTCTGTCCTGTAACATATCTTACAGGTCCTGTACTAAAACATCAATTACCACTCTATCCCACCTCTGTTTTAAGGCTATTTTTGAGACATTACCTACTATGTTGTTTTTTTTTTACTATGTGCTAATGGGAACGATCATTTGATTTGTCCGTGAACTAACAATACTCTAATAGCCTACCAACTTGACATTTATCACTTTCAGCATTTTTTGGAAGCAAGTATGTAATTCTCTCGTATTCCATAGTGTTACTCACCGACCATTGCTCTGCTGTTGGAATTAACTGTTTTTTTAGATCCGGATGGTAGTTTGACTCGGGATTTGTTTGTATCAGGGTTGTGTGACACGACGGTTGCGTAATTTCCAGATGCCTTTGCCAATCGTCCACGATCTCCTGGTTTCTGTTCTACAGCACAGACAACGGTACCTTCAGGCATGGCGCCAACAGGCAAAATGTTACCAATCTGAAGATTGGCTGAAAAACAAAATGGATAATGGATAATTCTAATAAACCTCTAATTTGTTAATGGGAGGCCAGAAAGGTTGTTGCATTGTGAATCTTTACAGAAATACAGTGTGGCTAATGAAGACGGGCATAGGACACAGTGTGCTAGGAGGAAAATTTTGCCTGGATAGTGGTGCCAAGGCCTACTAGTACATCAAATTACGCCAAGGGTTCTTTTATGTGCACGTCAATGTGTACATGGGACCTCAGGTTTTGTCCTATTTAGTTTAGTCACTTTACATATGTTTTTTCCGTCTATATTCAAAGATTCATAATGTAAGATTTAGATAAAGAGCTGACTGTTCTTGCTATATTTTTAAACAAAATATAATAAAAATGAATTTTTTTAAAATTTCAGTCACTTTATTCCGAGTTAAGTTACTGTATGAAATGTTTGCACTTTCTAATCCTCAAATTAGCTGTCACCATGAGTGCCACCACATTATCGATTAACATCGATACGACTTGCATTGTCTACTCCAATCAATATCTTAGCCATCCAATCGTCTAGAGAGTTGATTACGGCCTTGTCATGTGAATAAATGTCTAATCACTATATGATTAAAATTCTGATCTATTTTCCATTTAGTTTTTTTTTAATACTTTTGATGGCCTACACTACATGAAGATCTGACAAGTTGTACTCGAAGGTTGTCTCATGGGTCATACGCGTGGCTCTTGGCCCAATGACATCAGACATTGATTAATCAATCAGCACTGATGTTTCTAGTTGTTTATCCAGTTATGTACATGGCACGCAAAAGTTGCCGTAACTGACCGTTTCATCCTTCACGCCGGTAATATAACAACTCTTCCAGATCCTAGTGTAGTAAAGACAAGTAAAAAGAAATTTTGAACAATAAAAAACGAAATGAATAAGGATCTGTGTTTTAATCAGGTTGGTCTAATTTTCTGTCAAACATGCATTATGCAAGAGCTAAATCTGCTTATTACAAGTCTTTCTTTAGACTTTAGGCCTGAAATGTTATCTAAATTATCAATTAGACATTAATTAACTCATCCAGACCATAATAAACTCTCGATGTCAAGGCTAGCCTTCGATGTAGGCTGGATTAGATTCCTATATGCCGCGAACGGCCAAAGATAATTAAATCAGAAAAAGTGGATAATCGAGACTATGCTGTTTATATTAATGATTTTAGTAATGATAACCGAGACTATGCAAAAATTTCACCGGCTTCTTTCTCGGCTCATAGTGGATCAATTTCACTGAAATTTTCAGCAAATTACCTTTACACTATCTAGTTTAATTTTTAACTATTATAGCGAGAACTGCCATCTCTTTATCTTATCTCCCACAATGTATCTTTAAGAGCCTACCTTTCTTTCCACAATAGATATATTGTCCTGTGTACATGCCTTCAGCAGCAATAAATAGCTGGCTACTGAGACAGAACCTTCGGGGATCACGGAAAACAACTCTAGCTAATGGAGCTCCACGTCCTGAATCGTGGAGAATTTCCTGCAAAATATACAATAGTTCGCCTTTTTATTAATTTTTTTACAATCCACGTAGTTATCAAGTTTGGACAATCCCAGAAATAAGGGAAATTCTGTCTACACAGCGGCGCAGTGTGCTATGATGGAAATTTTACCCGGACAGTGGGACTATGGCTTACTCCTATATCAAATTCTAACTGCCAAGGGATCTTTTACGTATACTGCAATGTGTACAAGGGACCTCAGTTTGTTGTCCTTTGCCAACTGAAAGGGGAACCATGTCGGAAAATTCCGATAAACTTCCTCAGTCAACGAAGGGATCAAACATGGGATCTCCAGGTTATCAAACCAATGCCCTACTCACTCAACCACTGTGGCTCCCTTTTTTAGGTAAATCGCATTATAATATCTCTCCACCAAATAATAAAATATAATGTGCTTGAGGAAGCTTTAGAATAAAATCAGTGATTTTTACCCATAAAAATTATGTTCTGTTAATAAAAATGAACATACCTTAACAACACCCTTGATGTAGCCATTTCTTTCAGAATAGTCAACTGGTCTATGCATAGGCTTCCCCTTTCGTAATCGGGTAGAAGCGGTGAACACGCTTCCACGACCTTTTCTCTGGCCGCGAATTACACGAGGCATTTTGCTGTAAAACAAAGAGATGGATTTATTGTTTTAGTGCATAATTTCTCTAAGTCCTAAAGGGCCAAAATGAAAATGAATGGGGTTCAACATCCTGTTTTTCTTATAGCAGAGGTTCTTAAATTTGTGCGTTTCCCTATTTAGACTATTATTTTCTCACCAAAATGTTTCTTTACATTGTACTGGGAGTCACATGTTCCTGAAGCAATGACCGTGAATTTTACAACATCTAGACATTGCTAGACTGCTCTGTAATTCCCTAACTTTTAGCTACATTATCTCCCTTCAACGCAGACAGATCAGACGTTGTGACACAAACATACTCAAATCAAACATGGCAACCTCCAAGGAAACCTCGACATTGAACAAGGTACAACTCATTTATCACAGGTAGACATTTTAGAAAGAACAAGACTTGGTATGTGCAATGATTGAGGAATCTGATAGGCTCCCCGTCTAGGTCAGTAGCCAATCGAAATTAGTGCCGAAATATGCAGGGTATTATGTGAAGGGCTCGATAAGATGTACGGAGTTAAAAAGTGAGAAATTTTTGCACAAGGGAGACATTCCTCAGAACACCGGCCATGGTGAAATGACAAAATCTTGCGTTGATAAACGAGATAATGGTTTATTTTTAGGGACACTGACATGCACCGTGTGCTAGGGTTAGGGTTGGTCCCAAAATTCTGGCGTCATGTGCAATTCAAAGTGATTGACCCCGGCGACCAAGTTAAAGTGAGACCAAGCCTTCTATTAATGAAGGGAGTCAGGAACTGTTTAGCAGTAAAATTTACTGGAGAGTGAAAATGTTTTGACACAGAGTCAATAGATTAGGCCAGTTCCTCAAAGTACAGGACCAGTGCAACAACTACGACTCACGAGACTAACGTCAGTAACGACAACATTCACTTCTCAGAGCTGAACTACAGAGTTTGCCAAGCTCCATCCATGATGGGGATCCCAGTTATCACCACGAAGTTGTCTGTGGAAATTTCTAGAGATCCCTCTAACCTAATTTTGAACTAATAAAGAGACAGACATAACTAGCTACGTTATTTATTTTAAATGTCTACTTCTTCACAACAGAGTGGTCATGCTGTCGTATTTACGCCATTAGGGTATGGAACGTGCATTTATGAACCTAAAAACGAGACTAATTTGGGATTTTACACAGAAATCAGGCTCTTAGTGGACAGAGGATGAGATGAGCTTTATTTACTGACAGGTTTGAAAGGCGAGAAAGGAAGGATGTTGAAGATATCAATTGGATTTTATTTTGTTTTTATCGGGTCACGTCTCACCTCGGTGAAGTGTAAAGTAAAGAGGCCGGAAGTCACATTTACGTCAATGAACTAAAAATCAAAATCAGTATTTTGTTGATAAATCATGAAGTCCAGCCGCTTGAAGCTTCAAATAAAATAGAGGGTTAATCTTCGGAATATAGTGGTATTCATTATAATTCTAGACAAATTACAATTGGAAAATAAGTTTAGAATTTATTTTACGACAACCGTATTGTAAATATGGTGTTATCTCCCTTCAATTTAGTCGCGTTTCAACCAGACGCAATACAGACTCATCTTCGACTACCAGCTTTATACCGCAAGCGTAGTAATTAATTGAATGTTAACTTCGGTAGATTTTCTTTTGAAAATTCTCATTTTTGTATGCCATATTTTCGTATTTGCATAATGAATGATCTTTTACTGTTTGAATCTGTAAGATGAAAAGGTCAACCACTCTCATTAATTAGTGATCCCTTTTAGTTGCAATCATTTACATAAATGAGTAAATGTGTGCGTGTCTCTCTCTCTCTCTCTCCCTCCCCCCCTCCCTTTCGGAAATTCTGATAAGCGACGTAGCAAAGAATTCATTAAACGTATATCAGATCAAAAAGCAAAAGAAGCAACGATTCTTTAGAAAGAATAAAAGCCAAATAAAGAGGGGCAGTGAACTTTTATGGGGAGGCGGGGTGGGAGAGAGGGCTGCTCCCCCCGAATGGAGTGGGGTATGAGGGTCCTCACCCGGAAATTTTTGAAAATTGGATGGCCGCAAACGGGTTTTCCAGCCCAGAAAATCGTTCTCTAGCGAACTCTGAACAATGAACATGGTGACAAGACAAGGGCCACGGGAGTACAAAATAGGGCAGATAGATATCAGAACATAACCAATAATATCCAATGTATACATCATCTTTATTGTGTTTTCTTTATTTATTTTTTTTTATAAAAACAACTCTCACTGTGTAACTTTGTGAAGTCATAAAAATGTTTAACTGGTGTCGATGAACACAATTTGATTAAAACACACATCCTATTTCGTTTTGTTTTTTATACATGTAGTTCAAAATTTCTTTTGACTTGTCTTTACTATACAAGGATGTTGTTGTTTATTACAGAGTTAACGTCCAATACATTAAACATGATAATATGGACAGGTTGGTTTAATTGAATTATTAACACTTAAAGGGACAATAACACTCTTGCTGGCTTGACAGCTCCAGAAAATAAAAAATAGCCTTATTCTAACTACTAGATGTGTTAGTGTCCTACCTGTTGTGTAAATTATCCATTAAATCCTATTTTACTTGTCCAGAGGGTACAAAAATATTTTTAAATCCAAGTCACATTTGAAAAGCTTTACGTCAGGCTTTTCAAACCATTTAGTTGAATTTTTCTAATTTTTTAAATTAGGTGTGTTAAGATCAAATTTGTATCATCAATTAATTGGAATATTGTAAAATAGTACAATTTGTTGACCAGAATAAAGATTGGGACATATTATTCAGTTACAACAAGAGTGGTATTGAGCCTTTAAAGGATCTGGAAGAGTTGTTGTATAACCCGCGTCCTAGTTGATGCGAGGGATTAGCCAATGAAACGGTCTGTTGCAGCGAGTTCTTGGCGTGCAATGTACGGAACAGAGGGTAACCCACTAGAGACATCAACGTTGATTGGTTAATCAAATGTTTGACGTCATAGGGTCAAAAGCCACTCGTGTGACCTCTGACACTAGATCGGGGACCATCCTGCACATATGACAACATTTTGTGGGTTAGGGTTGTTCCAGGGTTAGGGTTAGCGCTAGCCCTGTTTCTATCTCGAGACTTTGGCGAAATCCGCAGGTCCTAACCCTTACCCAAACCCTAACCTACAAATACAATCCACATAATATGACGTCATAATATGTGCTAAAATGTGCAGGACCGTCGCCGATCTAGCCATAGAATATATAAAATAGACTATTTATATATTTCTGTGGATCTAGCGTAATACGTAGTAGACGCTATCGAAATTATAAAGAAACGAAACGAAATATAGATCTACGTATTTTATTTAGATTGCATTGAACCGTTATGATAATGAACTTCATTAACATTTGTAGGTGAATCGTCTACGGGTTCCCATCGTCTACCGCCTACTGTAGGTATTTTAGAACTGTGGTTGGCAACTTTTTTTTCGGCTGGCTACGGGTGTGCTAAAGACCCCTACGCGCAAGCGAATCTTTGAAATAAAATTGAACCATGTTTATAGTCCCGAAATGACCTAGTTCGTGTCGAGTGGACGTTAAACACATCTCGTTCTCTCATCGTGAACAGAGAGCAGGTTTTTAGGTTAACTATGGGCTTTCATTTAATTAACAACGGAAAACGTTGTTGTGTACGTTCCATTGGCCTCTACAAACGTTTTCCTTAAAAAACATGGGAAAATTTTGTTGCTTTTAATTTTATTTATTACAGGAATATGCTCTAAATTTGCACTTAAGTCTAAGTAGGACGTTAAACCCCATTTCATTTTATTTTTTGTACCTCTTCTGCTGAGGTTATTCTTGATTCGTGCTCTCTTTTTTTAAAACGTACATCATCTTGAAAAAATAAGGCACAGAAAAAAGTTTTAGATAGTTGGTTTCAACTCGATGAGAAGATTTTCAAATAATGAAAAAGAAATACGTATAATGCTGGTTGTCGACGATGCTTGTCTCGTCTGTCTCGCCATACCTACGGTCACGTGTTCAATTCTATTTATAAACGTGTTCTTTTGTCGAGCGGCGCACTGGCCTCCATATTTGTTCACACAAAACTAGTGTGAAAATTTTACTTGAATTTGTATGATGCCTAATGAATATAACCAAAATGGGAAGGGTCTAGAGCAGCAGGTCAGTATATCGAGCATCGACTCGACAAATATATTTTGTTAATTTTCCAGTAAAATGGTTACGTTAATAGTTTTTTTTCTGATCTTTTCGACGCTACCCGATTTGCTTTCGGCTTCAGTCTCGCAGTGGGTCTGCGGATTGAAAAACCACGAGGCCGACAGCCAGCCAGGCGAACTAACGACGAAGTAATGACCAAAATTTGACAAGAATTAGGATCGAAAAAAAGCATAATAATGTTGTTGGAATGATAGACATTCGCTGTTTTTTGTAATGTATTCTACCAGGTAGGGAAAAAAAAATATTTTCAAGAATGTGTTAAAAAAAATGAAACCGCTTTCTGTATCCTGGACTAGGCTAGCCTAGAGCCAGAGGTACATGATGAGTAAATCTATGCCTAAAAAATATAGCACTGTTCACGAATTAATGACAAAATTTTGACAACCATTAGGAACTAAAAATATCATAATAATGTTGTCACTATTTTTTGTATATTCTGGTAGAAAAAAAACACAAAAAAATATTTTCAAGAAGGTGGGTAGGAAAATGAAACCGCTTTCTGTAGCCTGAAAGTAGATCTATGCCAAAAAAATGTAGAACCAGTTCAGTTCACGGCTTTGAAATTTTTTTTATATTTTAAAGACATAGACAACTATATGATGACTATTATTTCAACTGTTGACATAGTAGTAGCCTACTCGTAGACCTGATGAATTTCATTTGCCTACAGGTAAAATTAAATGGGCGTTGCCACTGTAACCAACAAATTAAAAAAAAGGGGTGAATCATGGACTCTTAGTTATATTGAGGATTTACCATAGGTTTATTATTGTAGGGGAAACAAACAGAAATTTGTTTAATGGCATTTCGTAAATGAACAGAAATGAAATGGGGTTTTAAAAAATTGTCCTATCTTTCTACATTGACTGGTCTATTACATTAGCCTAATGAAGACAGGCATTTATGCGCCATGTATGCTTTTAGTTCGAGGGAGACTTTGCCTTGACGGCGGCACTGTGGCCTACTCTTATTTCGAATTCAAACTTTCAAGGGTTCATACCATCCGAATGACTATGCTTTGTCCCATTTCAGGAATTGAACTGGAAATACACAGGATTCAATTCTATAGAATACAAATTACAAATTAAAATAAGCAACTGTACAGTATTTCATGGAGTTGTGTTTAGCAGCAAATGGATGTCTCAGTATTCCATCAAGGGAATTTTTTTCTATGGTAGTGGATTTTAGGGGATTAATTGGCTTGTTACTGACCAAAATGTAATTTTAGGCCTTCAAGTTATACAGATCTATTAGAGAAATGTATCCACATTTAGTCGTAAAACTACAGATTGCTGGACACAACATAATTTTCTTTGCTATTTTCCATTGCCAGTGTTTTACCATGTCAGTTGGAGTGTCGCAAGACTACTTACTAAATATAAACCAATAGTAAACTATATACCACCATACATGTATCTCATTCGTGTGGAAAAACTAACATTTTTTGCATGTTTTCCACGAATGAACCCCGTTTTCCAAGCTAAACTCCATTTTCCACGATTAAACACCATTTTCTATGAATAAACTTGAGATAAAGGTTGCAACGATATCAAATTATTTTATCGCGATTAATCTCGATAACAGCTTTTGGAACTATCGCAATAAATAGCAGTATTGCGATTATGTATTTTATCATGATAATTCTCTTTTATTGCGATAATTTAATTTATATAATAATCACGATAATGGAATGTTCCTGACAATACACCATAAAAGTCACAATTTGTTTTCAACTTTTATTTTAACAATTCCAAATAAGTAGTTATAGTAGTAGTTTTTATAAACAAAATGTTATATTAACTCTTTCTGAGTATATAACTGTACGTTTGGTGTACATGTTAATATAAATCTATTTAGTTTTCTGTAAACTAAAACCTTTAGTCTTTATGAAGATACATGTATTAATCAACTGTTTGAAAATATCTGATTATTAATATATACAGAATTGCGTATTATTCACCAATGATTTGGGAATTTGAATATCCGATTATTCACACATAGAGAATTTCAATATCAGATTATTTACAGAGAATAGAATCAAATTATAATTTGGATTTCCGATCATTCACACAGAATCAAATTATTTGTGAATTTCAATAATGAAATAACATTAGCTACATTTGTTTGATAAACTAACTTAATCATCTCCATTTTCCCAAAAAATCGGAATGACCTGTATGTTTGATCCTTCCCTAGAATCTTGCGTGTTGGACATATTTATTACAATGTTAATGTCATTGGTTAAAAATAAAATTAATTCATAGACTGAAGCTATGATGATCCATGACGGCATGACAAGAAAGAAAATTGAAACATCCGGTGAGTTGAGCATTGACTAGATTGACCAGCCTCGAATATGTTAGCCTATTGGACAGTGTGATTGTACGTGTTTCCAATAAGCGTAGTTGTCTAAATACGAAAATATCAGCTAATATATACTTTCGATTGATATTGGTTTGTATGATTATAAAAATAAGCAACTAAAATTGTAAAACAAACCAAAACCACTTGAACGTATAAAAAATTATTCCAGTTGCTGAACACGAGCAGTCTGCACCATTAACTTTCAAACTCACTTGCCCTGCGGGCAAGTACAATGACAACGTTTACTTGCCCCAAAATTGAAATGGTCAATTGAAATAAAAAAGAACAAAACACATTTTTTATTAGATCATATATTTTGTTATTCATTAAGATAAAATGTTCAGCCTTTACAATCCTAAAGCTTCCAGTGATCGCATCTACAAATCGGTTATTTTTATTAGTTTTGATGCAGTAGGAACAGGTCATAGAAACAGAATCATTCTGAGACATTCTCCCTCTGGTTCACATTTAACCAGGGCCTCCCAATTAGCCAATGTTGTTTAAATTCACGTTTACGTGACACTGTTTCATACCTGCGCTTTGATTCTGCTATTACTTGAGCAACATCGTCACCGGATCCGCGTTTCTTATTATTCAATGTCTTGCCGGGCTGTGCCCCCTTCCACCCATCTTAACATCTTCCGACGACAAAGAGTGAAAGACAAACAACAGAAAACTGAAAAGTCAAGGAAAACCGTCAACAAAGGTCACATTTCCAAGGTCATAAATGTCAAAGCGGAAGTAGACAAGTATTAAATGGAATTGTCTCCCTTTGAGTAGAAACTGCGCTCCACCGCGTTTCCTCGATCTTTTACCAAACCCCAAACTTTAACAGTGTGAGCAACGGGGAAATGGATATTTTTAATTTTTTTTAGCGAAATTTTCACGTGTATTCTTCGTCAATGTACATTTGTATCTCATTCTATTAAAAAACAGTACTGTACCGGCGGGAAAGTCCCAATGAAAGTTTTACTTGTCCGCCGTAAATTTTACTTGTCCCGGGCAATTGGACAAGCACTAATGTCGCAGACTGCCCGAGTACGATTCGTTATAATATATGAGAAAAGAGATTGGATGATCAGTTATAACAGTTGCCTAGCATCTTCCGCCACACTGGAAATGAACTTGTCAGAGTTACTATCGATGAATGTTATTGATTTAAAATAACGTCTATTCTCCCGATAATCAGTGGTTTGGCGATTATTAGATTTATCGCGATAACTGAACAAATCTCCCAATATACCGGGGATGGCGATTATCTGATTTGGGGCGGGTACGATATTATAATTTAAAAAATAATCGCGATTATGCGGCATCCCCGGGGTATCGCTGCAACCTTACTTGAGATATTTTCAGAAAATGTCAATATCAGCTTTTATATATATGCCTGCATTAAAATGTGGTCATATATTGTTGTTGCCCCCAACCGTCGGATCTGGCGTCATTGCTTGTGGATGCTGTGGGCGTATGTTTCCTTGCCTGGCAAACTATCTTTATCACCTTTTAAACTTTTAGTCTTTCGACTCATTCTAGTCTATATTTTTGAGCAGAAAGACTAAACTTACGTCTGCTCACAGAGAAATGCGGAAATTGCTGATGTTGAAATCTACCTGTAGCAGGTAATGTTAACATTCGGGGTCGTTTTATGTAGAGCTAGGCGATACTTCGGTATTTCGATATAAAACCGTCACAAAAATAAACACCAAAAATACAGTCTTCAGAAAAATATAGAAAAACCGAACATACCGCGATATATCATGGTTTTGATTTTTCTGGGTGATGTTAAAACATACATTATGCAAGAGCTAAATCTTCCTATTGCAGGTCTTTCTTGAGGCTTGAAATGTTTTCTAAATTATTAATTTGACATTAATTAACTTATCCAGGCCATAATCAACTCTGGATGGCATCAGATTTCTCCGATATTAAATAGATTAGAATAGTTTAGCCATATTTTGATTTAAGATAAAAATGGAGGAGCGAGACTTGGCTTCGAACAACCAGTACGGTTGGGTGAAATTATTGCACATGTCTTGTCAAACCTTCAAAGGCTAATATCTTCATTCGCTATGGAGTAATTTGAATGAAATTTTCAAATTATCCATTTTACATTATCTATTTTCAAACTATTATAGCAAGAATGGCTAGCTATTTATCTAAATCTTACATAATGTATCTTTAACATAAATATTGAAAAAATGTTTTCCTCTTTATGTTTTTTACGATATTTTATTGCTTAATGACTAAATACTGTTATAATAAATAAATAGATAAACTCCCAAGTATTCATGCCAGGAAGTTTGCAAATGCTGATAAGTAGCTTTGTTTTCGTCACATGACTTCTCGCTCACTTATCCACCAGTTAGAATTATCCCTGTTTCTATTCAATTTCTATGCATCTTGACAAATTGATTATACTGATACTTTGATTTTACAAAGGAATCCTTGATTTTCAGATTGAAATAAATTTAGATAATGCCAATTATATATTGAGAGTTCCGGTAGATTGATTATCATGTCATGCATAGCAGTCTGTGATCCGAAAAATCGCAATTTGACTAAATCAATGGACACTTTTTGACAGTACTTATGTTTTATTGTTTAATTTAGTATCCTTGTATTGTAATCTTCATGTATATTGCATTTTCAAGAAGGTATATATGCTTGAATGAGAAAAAAAAGAGTTTGCAAGGGTAAATGAACAGCATCCAATCGTTCCCGTAGCTATAAAAATATGAACGGCAGAAAGAACACAAACTTTTTTAGGTTTTTGTGCCTCCTTCATATGTAAATATTTTTAATTTAAATAAAATATATTTTGAAAATTAAAATTGTAATAAACAACAACTTTAGCAAGTTTTCTTGGCTATATAGATCTATGTTTGAACCATCTTATTAAATTTTGTTTGTAAATTCGGTACTGTATTTTTGCTAAAAATAATATTGACTAGAAATAGTGATATTGACTAGAAAGTGTCGAGTGAATACTGCAGGAGTATTTCCAATTTTTTATGCATATTTATTTACAATTAAAAGGTGATAACTGAAAGTATTGACATTTTATAATCACTATCGCGATATGGTTCCAGGGATATCGCCCAACTCTAGTTCATGTTGACATACGGTCTGTCATTGAGTCAACTAGCGCGGCTTCGATTCCCCAGTTGTACGTGACAAGGAGTAGAGTCAAACCTCATGAGTTTTCTCCAGATCCTCTGGTTTCCTCCAATTCCTAAGGACCCCTACATGCAAGGAATTTGCTTAAATAAAATTGAACCATATGTTAATCCCAAAATGACCTAGTTTGTGTCGTGGATGTTAATCCCCATTTCTCTCTCTCTAATGACCAAGGTGGTCATGGTGATGGAAAAATAAATTGAATCCATTTTAAATATTTATCCCTGATTAAATTAGCTACACTGCATTGTTGGGTCCTACATGTATGTCCTGTTTGGACAAAAATTTTGATGTATGGCGATCTTGATAATATTGGTATTATGATTTTTCTGAAAGTGTAGCATATGTCAGACTATTTTAAACAATTTCCATTAAAACCCTCCAAGACTGGGGACAAGACTGGCATTTATCTCAAATTACTGTATGCCTACATATGCTATTTGAAACTAGAACAGAGGTGAGGAAAAATTTCTTTGGATCCATGAAATTATACCTGTTAAATGATCACATATCACATATAATTATATCCTTATCTTGGATCCAAAGTAGGCCCTACTTGTCCACACTCAGTGACCGCCCTAGACTCTTAAAACCTTTAGCCAAATTTTTAGCCAATTCAAAATTTTATTAGCCAATTCAGAAAGTTTTAGCCAAATATTTTATATCATTTTTATTCATATGTTTGTTAATTAAAAATGAAAATAAATGTGTGTGTGTGTTTGTTGTATTTTACGTCCGCTTCCACCGAGGTGATATCGCGGACAAAATAAATGTTTAATATGTACTTTTATTTTATGATCAGTAGTGGAATATCGCGTTTTATCAGTGAAATAAAAGTGTTATTCCACTGGCTAGTTGTTTTTACCTAAAATGATTGTAAAATCATAAAATAAATAGAACATTTGTCGTTTTGTCGTGAATAACATATTTTATTTCATCTCTAAGCAAGAAAACGTATATGTTTTCACTCATGCTACGCATTCGTGAAAATATAAGTTTTCTTGCTTCTCGATGAAATAAAATATGTTATTCACTCTAAAACGACAAATATCCTCTATATATAGTACACAAGAATATTATTTTATCTCCTTGTTCATGCAAAAGTTCACATTATTGAGAGAATGAATGCAGATAACAAAAAAATGTTTATAGGACGTACTTCACAGTCACATGATTTAATTTACTTCATCGTCATAACAGAAAAGACACGACGATTCTTTTTAAGACACCGCTGATTTGAAATTTATGTCCAGTCCATCCATTTTTATAAGCATGAGGTCATTGAGGGTTAGCTCGACGGTCTCGGTTAAAGGTCTAATTTTTGTCCACATGTTGATGAAGCCAACGAAGGACTTGCGTCCGAGATGACACGCTCACTCACGGAAGTAGATTCTGGACTAACAGTAGTCGTAGGAAGGAAAAAGGAATCTATCCTTATTTTGGGTTTACTAGTATTAGTTGTCATTAATGTGCGTTTTATTTATTTGCTGCGTAAGTAAAGAAAACTTGTAGTGAAGCGAATGTAAACAACGCAGTGCCACACAAAAGGGGCGTAACTGTGTTTTATAGTCTCCAGACTCGATCTTTCGGTCGTTTTAATGCGTAATATTGTAACATTGACTGATTTGCGACTTGTAAGATTGAGACTAGAGTAATTAATGTACTAAAAATAGACACTCCATCGAGTCGATCGAAAGAAGCGTTTGAGACGATTTCAAGTTTAATATTAGCAGATTTACGAAATAACACTCTCTAAAATTCATTCGCCAAATTTTTCGCCAGTATCATCACTTTATTCGCCAATAAAAATAATTGTCGCCATTGGCGAATTGGCGAATGTCTAGGGCGGTCACTGCACACTTAGTTAAGAGTTTTATAAAGAGTTGGCCATTCTTGCCATAATAATTCAAAAATAGACAATAAAGAAAGAAAATGTTGAAAATTTCAGTCAAATTACTTTGTTCTGAAAGGAATCGTCACTGTTGGAAGTTTGCACTAGAAATAGGCATCAATTGTGTCTATACCGTCTATGAGAATTGGCGATCGTTTGATTGATAGACGATAACTTACCCACATATTCTCGATTATCAAGTAACCTGCTCAATGGCTATCAAAGCCTAGCTTGGCAGGCCTTTCATCACCAGTTTCCGGTAGTGACATCAGTGACTAACAGTAAACTTTATCTTGGTCAGTCATTTATTGATTTAATTTTAAATGGACGACTGTTTAAATCCTAACTTTAACTGTATCCAAGCCATCCGTTGGTCTACAGAGTTCATATTGAGATTGTGTAAAGGGTTAATTAATAATTTCTATAACATCTGAAGCCTAAATAAAGACTTGCAATAGGCAGATTTAATTCTTGCATAATGTATGTTTAACATTGTTTACTCTACCAGTGCAAAAGACCCCTATGTGCAGCTAATTATTGAATCAAAGTGTTACATGTTAATGCCGAAATGACCTATTTGTTTACATTAAGAAGACCATTTTCATGCAAGTTTTATCACCAGGGTTGTCACCGAGTCGAGTAGCATTATTTTTGATATATCACGCTTGTATGTGACATGAAATAGGGTCGTCTGTCCAATCTCGTTTTTCTCTTGTTTCCTACCACTGGTAAAGACCTTTGATGAAATGAAATTGAACCATGTTATTGTTAGTCAGAAAATGACCTAGTTTGTGTCATGTCAATTGGGCGCCGAGGCCTCACTCTGTCTCTTATTTATACATGTATGAAATTAACATTTGATATTTTTTTGTAGTTTGCTGGTCTGGAAATCAACGGTGGTCGTCCGGGAGGAAGAGGACAAGGTAATTGGGGTGCACCACCACAATTTCCAGGACATAATAGTAAGTAAAGGACAAAACAAAAAATGGGGTTAAACCAGAATCTATTGACTAAATTTTTCTATCCTGTAGATATGCTAATGAAGATGGGGGCATTCCGCCATGATATACAGTGCGCCATGAGTGAAATTTTGCCCGGACAGCGGCACTAAGGCCTACTCGTGTCTTATATCAAATTCCAACTGCCAAGTGATCTTTTTTGTGCATGTCCGTGTGTACATGGGACCTCGTTTTTTTGTCCCATCTGAACGACTAGACAGCTATCCTTGTCAGGTCCTCTGTCCTGCACCACTGACAAGGGGAAAGCACACCGGAAAATCCTGATGAACTTTCTCTGCCAAGACCAGGATCGAAACCGCGACCTCCAGGCTAGCATCTTACCTACTTAGCCAGGAAATGTATTAGATTAATATAATTCGTTAATGATTATTTGTAGATGCCTACCGACCCAACAACAGATTTCCACCGGAGCAAATGATCTTTCTCCAACAAGGTGCTGTATAATTTATTATATTCACGCTACCATTTTATATTTTTTAGCAAAGTGCCAAGTATTAGAAATCATTTTAATAAAAAATTTTTTATTAAAATTGACTATTTAGAAAACTAGGGCCTTATTTAAAGGATGCAGCCATTTCATTGGATATGAGATAAAATCCTACAAAAATTTAAGATGTTGGCTAATGAAAGGGCTGAATTTCTAAAGCCTAGAGCAGACCAGCAATGGCCTGAGAAATCCTTTACTGTCCTGTCAATTTTAACACTATTTCATAACATCAAACTACTCTGTTTTCTTTACGTAGCCATTTACATACATAAGCCGTTTGAAAAAGCTGATTGATAAAAGAATTATTAAAATATAGGGATTTAGTGAAGTGGAACAATTTTTTCTAATGTTTAAACTTCATAGTTTTTTTAGCTGTTCTATTTTGACAGCTTTACTAAAATTTATTAATTTTGTATAATAAACTCCTTGGTATCGTATAAACTCTATATTGACCAGATCTTGTTTTGTGCGATTTTGATATCGCAGCCACATGAAGTTGACAATGAAAAATAATGAAAGCAGTATATAATACTAGGGCGTTTTTCTACCGATTGTCATTTGTGGGATCTAGAATCAGTATTTTGAAAGTTAGTCCTGATGCACCATTTTAGCACACAGTGGTTTAGTGGGTATGATGTTGGCCAAGAAAGTTCATCAGGATTTTCCTGCGTAGTTCCCTCTTGTCATTGGTGCAGGACAGAGGGCCTGGCAAGGGACTATGTATAGTCGTTCGGATGGGACAAAAAACCAAGGTCTCTTGTACACAGTGGTGTGCATGCAAAAGATCCCTTGGCAGCTGGAATTCGATACAAGAGTACACGTCCGTAGGCTGTAGAGCGCTGTCAGATCAAAATTTATCCCACAGCACACTGTATAGCATATGCTGGTCTTCATTAGCCCAGTAGGAGTAGGACATTTTGTGAAACCTAAAGATGGCTGTGTACCAAATACACCGGGAGCTGCATTAGTCAATGTTATTTCAGTTCATCATATCTTTGTAAATACAGAATTGAATTGAATCATTTTTGGACTGACATTCTTAAAGAGATTCAACTTTAACAATATTTTCTCTTGCAAGTGATTCCTTTGGCTTAAACGGGGCATCAGGACTATAATTACTAAATATTTTTATGTTTTCTTTTTCGTCAGTAATGTTGGTAAGTCAACCCTTCCATGTTTTCAGGTCCTCCTCAGAATGTTCAAAGATATGTTCCCCCTCACATGCGCAGTTCTGGAGGTCCTCCCCCACCCGGACCTCCCCAACAACCACCTATGTACAACCAAGGTCCCCCAGACAGTCACCGAGGAGGATGGGGTGGCAATGCAGGTAACATTGTTTTCTGTAAAAATAGGATGGGGTCAGTGATGACAATTTTTCTCATAGCATGAGGAAAATTGTGGTCGCTGAGCCCAATTCAATGCTTTATAATAATAATAATTTTTTATTACCTTACAGGAATTCTTAAACATAGACAAGAGATGGGAAATTTGATACAAAATAATAAATAGATATAAATGATTCATAATGCATGGATATATGTTAGCAAATCACAGCCTATTGCATTTCGTCAGATACTGCTTGATTTAGTGCTTTGGGGGATAAACGATGACTTTTTGTTTTGAATTTTGGCACTCTGTAGCGACCCCCTGAAGGTAGTAATTCATATTCGCTCTAAAGAAAATGCGTTTCATCAAAGGCTATTTTGTTGGCAACATTAAAGGACAATATTTGTGCCAGTCATTATCACATATGTGATAGAACTGGTTAAATACATTCCAAATATTATTTTATAACAGATCATTATCGTTTATCATATATATCACATATATGATAATGACTGGCACCAATATTGTCCTTTAAGTACAAATCTATTGAGTTGTGGTGTGCTGACCTTCTGAAATTTTGTTTGCCATGTTATTTACCAAAGTCAAGCTCCTTTTAGAATATGTTTGAACGAGAACTTTTAAAAATTTGAATTTTAAGTCTGTGACCCCCTCCATTAAAAGAAAAAAAAATAGATGAATTGATGCAGTATATTCCTTGCTACCAAACTTGAAGTAGATTCCTTTCGTGGACATAAGGCTTAAAACCTGAGTTTTGACACTCAAATTTAATTGGGTTTTTTGTTGATAGTGATATGAAGGACATTAACAAGCCTAAATCACTCTACAACTCGGGTATCATTTAGTTGTGTTTTAGCAGGAGTTTCTGTATAGTTTTTAAAAGCCATTGTTTATAACTGTTTAGTTTCTCAAAAGATGTTGAGTAATTAAGACTAATTAGTCAACAGGGCTGTCGGTAATTTTTCACGGTTGATTAACAGCACTGCTAATCAAAAAGACCAATTTTGCCAAATTTGATTAGCAAATTTAAAAATTGATTAGCAGTTTTTCATAAAACACCTAAATAACAAGATATTACTTGAATTCATAACAAATGATTAGATTTCATTCTTCTAATTTTTTTTTTAGCACTGCCACATATCGTTGTGACAGTTTGTGAATGTGATGTAGACTTTTGGTTAGGTCTTATTTCTGAAGCCACTACGTCATTGGTACTACTTGATTCCCTATTTCCAGCTTAATAGTCCCTATTCATAAAGTTATGTCCCTGTATTATATAATATAATAAATTGTGTCTTGGGTAGTTCGAGAAGAAAATGTCAAACGAAAAATTCAGTTTTGTTTATAAAATTTTATTTTACATTTTATACACCTTGAAAGTGTTGAGAAAGCCTTGTAGTCTTCAAAATGTGGATAATCTTTTGTGTCAATATCTAAAATGACAGGCATATTCATGATTCACAGTTACCGCGAATCAAAAACGTTAGATTTTAATTTTTGATTAGCAACGGACAAAATATGTATCGCAAACCAAACACTCATTATCTTATCTAGACAGACCATTTTAAACTATGGGACAGTAGAAACCCAATGGTTTTCTATGATTCTCACCAGATTTGAATAGTTTTCCAACAATGGCTTAAAATTATACATTAAATACAGAAACTCCTGCTAAAACAACACAACTAGAGTTATAGTGCCACACACCACATATATAACTCTTGATAATCTCAATATTTGCTATGGGTGTGTTTTTCATTTCCTGGCAATCTATTTTTGTTTTCTTTTGAGACTTTGTAGATTGACATTGTTAATACTGTAAAACAATTTGTCAGTCGGAACCTAATTGAGAATGTGGCCGGTTATTTAACATGGGCACGTTGGAACACAAGGTCTGTCTTTGAGTCAAGTGGCATGGTTTTGATTCACCACTTGACCGTGACAAGGAGTGGGGTCACCTGTTCAACCTCGTGGGTTTTCTCCGGGTTCTCCTGTTTCCTCTCACTGCTAAAGAACCATACACGCAAGCAGATTATTGAAATAAAATTGAACCGTATGTTATCCCCAAAATGACTTGTGTCGAGTGAACATTAAACCCCATTTCTCTGTCCCTCATTAGATGATCGAGACTATCTAGAAACGCAAATAATTAAAGACTTGTATATTTCTGTGATTTGTGACAAGTGACAAGTGCATTCTGAAGTATGTATATGGTCTTTCATCAAAAAGGATGTGGTAGCATAGGCTGCAATGATACAATATGCATCACGGTATAGACCTATTGATTATTGATTTTCAATTTCCAATAATTACTACCAGGGTTATGGCCCTTGATCACTTTGAAATATCTTGTGGACGACCGCTCTAGATGCTAAAGTTAATATAGGATTGGTCACTTGAAATTTATACACATAGTTTAAGGTCATGAGAGGAAGAAGCCTGTTGATTTTAATGATTTCCGATAACTGCCAGAGTTTTGACTCTTGATCACTCTGGAGGCCAAAGTTGATATCCGATTGACAGTGCTTAGGGTCATGAGGTGAAGAATCCAATTGATTTTCAGCGTTTTCTGACAATTACTGCCATAGATATGGCCCTTGATCTTGTGGACGCTTTAGAGGCTAAAGTTAATGTATGATTGACTTTATATTTAATACAGTGTTTAAGGTCACTAAACGATGAACCCTATCAATTTTCAACGATTTCCAATGATTATGGCAATTGATATTAAATGTTTTCTATGCTAAATATTAGAATAGGGCAGAACTAGAAACCAGATGGGTCATTGCTCGTAATTAGATTTTCGTGTGTAAATGTTTTCATTTCTGACAAAAGAAAGAAATATGCTACAACCCTTGTTGACTCCCCGGATGACTTAGCTGCTGTGGCTATGTGTTTTGTTGTATCTTTAATACAAAATATGGAGTATCGGAAGAAAACAGACAGTTAAATACGTCTGTAAGCGTGTTTATCGTACTATGAACAGTGGTATACTGTCATCACAGTATATCGTTGCATCCCTGGCAATGGCCAACATTCCTGGGTTTAAAGGTCAGATATGAAAATGAATATCGGTTAGTAATTTTTTTAACCGATTCACCTGTGGCCGGTTAACTGAGTAGCCATTTACATCTTTAATAAACTGCTTAAAGGAGCTATAGCTCTAACTCAGTATTTTCAATAATATTTGAAAACAAAAACACAAATTGAAATTCAATTTTAGCCCATGTTAATCAATATTGGTGTTCTTACCTTGTTAATATATGGGATCCGAATATAAATAATAATAATATGTCCATTTATATAGTGCCAAATCCACAAATCGGGCTCACTTTCAAAGTGTGTGATATATTTTGGACTAAAAATATAGACAAAACTAATTATGTCAAAAGTTTGGTTCAAATCCCTTTTCAAAATATTTTAATCACAAATTGCTACCCTATCCCAAGCTGTGAAAATCGATTTGAAGGAGCCTTGTATGTCACTTAACTTTATGGGACGGTCTATTTTTAGGTTGTATTTATCTTTACCAGCTGTCCATTTACCATAAATGTCGAAGCCTTGAATAAATTCTTGTATTATCCTCTGTGAACTTAATTTTTTGCTGTATATGTTTAAGTCTCTCACTGTTCTGACAATTGCCAACCATTCGATCACATATATCAAGCTCCCCCAACATCATTCGATCCGACACCAGCCATGAGTCTGCCAGTTGGTGATACCCTTACATTTTTGTCGTGTGTGCTCCTGGATTTCTTTCTGGGAAATTGTCCAGTAGGCTTAGGTGTCTCTACTTTCAATATATATATATGTCAAATATGCCATACTTTATTGGGAAATAACTACACTATAAATACTATTCGGGGGAATGCATCTTTAATTGATAACGAACGGTCTTTCTCCTCTGTTGTACAGGTGGCTATCCTGGAGGTTATCAGCCGCGTGGTGGTTACTCGGGTGGCTACAGCTCTGGACCCCCACGTAAGTTCCGTAGATATCTAGTTCTGTAGTAGTGAAGTCTTGATCGCTCCAGCCCAAATTGCAATGAATGTTACTCTGGATAAAAATCGTGCGATTTGCACCTACAGTGTCATGCCATACAGAGATTTCCATACGTCTAAGGATTGGTTGAGAGGAAATATGACCTTCACCTGCACTGTTTGACGCGACCGATTTCACTGAAAAGCTGGGAACTAACAATCATGCTAATTCTGCGACTCCGGGTGGATTTAGGCACTCTAGAAACAGGGGTTTCGAAAATAAGCTACAGAATTCCTGTTTCTGGGTTATCTATATGTTTATGTTACAAGGCTTAAGGGGATTTAGACATTTCCTAGATTAGCCAGTTACCATGGATACAATCAATGCTTATGTCCAAACCTATATTCATTGTAGTCAATGTGTGGACAGTTTGGTCTGAAGTGATCAAGACAAGTTATGTAGAGAATTATCTTCAATGCTTTTGTCTCTATTTTTCTGGGGCTTTGGGTGGCTGTATGGTGTAACGTGTCGCTGGAAGATTATGAGGTCTGTCGATAACCTGCTTGTCCATCCTTGTGGGTTTTCTCCAGGACCTCAGGTTTCCTCCCATGACTGTAAGATCCAAATAACACGCAAAAGATTACTGGGTCGCCTAGCCCCACCAAGAAAAATATACATAGAAATAGGTTTAACGTCCACTTGACACATACTATGTCATTTTGGGACTAACATATGGTTCAATTATATCCCAATTCGTTTACCCCTAGGCGACCTAGTAATCTTTTGCGTGTTATTTGGATCTTACAGTCTTGTCAGTGTGTGCTGTGATATGGTTTCGATACCTTTCTGTATGTGTCATGACAAGTTGGGACTGCTGTCTAACCTCATTCGCTTTCTCTTGGTTCTTCAATTTCTACGCGCTGTTGAATGTTCCCATACACTTTTAAAGCAAATTTTATTGTATAGTAATAGCTTAGTAGTAATGACATGCTGAATTACACCTGGAACGCGATCGTGACACACAGCAGAAAGTTTTTGCATTTCGTTTACCCAACGATTCACAATGCAACAATGTTTTTGGACTTGCCTGAAGACTCAGCTGCTGTGGGTTTATCATGTTGCATGGCAACTCAATCTTGTATGTGATGTCATTAACTATTGCAACATCACACATTGAAATTCTCTGTAATATCTTTGAAAACAATATAACGCTATGTTTATATATATATATATATATATATATATATATATATATATATATATATATATGTGTATGCTCACAGGACTAATTTAAAACTCATTTTACTATTGAAAAAAAAAATGTTGCCAATTGCATGGCTCTGATAACACTACCATAAATTTTAATTTTGAAGGTAGCTTAAATAAAATGCAACGTGGAAATATAATTTTTTTCATGAACACAAATTTTGTTGGGTTTATGATTTTTGCCTAAAATTAATGTTTGATCGTCCAGTACAGTTATCGCTGAAGAATTATAGTATGTGATGAACGTCACAAATTTTGGATGAAGATTTCCAATTACTGCCAATTCTTTAGTTACCTTGAAAAACGTTCTTGTGCAGTGACATTTGGTCACATGATAATTATTCCCTTTGTCGTAGAGGCTATTTATTAATATTTATGGACTTCTGTTGAAAGACTGCTTTTTTGGGTAGCAGATCTTTGTATGTTTTAGCTATGAATGGTTAAGAAGAGGTTGTTTTTAGCTATGAATGATAAATTAGTTTATAATTATAATAATAGAGGAGGTTATAGTAATTATGTTATTTTGTATTTTTTAGAAATGAACGGTAGAGGTTACAGGGGTTTGCCTAGAAAAATATTCATGCCGGACAGCAATCTTGGGGCAGGGGGTACTCGGGCGGGGAGGAGGGTTGGGTGCAGATCTGTCGCCCTTGGGAGAAAGTTATCTTTTTTTCTGATCAAAAAAGCGCTATTTCGTGACGTTTTGACGCAGTTTTGCCGTTTTATTAAATTAACTTTTTATGAAATCTCTGGTAATTTATAGTAAATGGAAATTGATTTGCCCATTTTTCGTTGAGAAATCCATACTATGAATGAAAATTATAGAGCTTTACCATGAGGAAATATTATGAATATCCAGTCTGATTTCTGAACATGTTTTCAATCATGACTTGCACTGCCAGAAGTAATGAATTCCGCGGAAAACATACGATACGAGGTCAGTTTGAGGTTAAAAGGAAAAAAATAAAGACAAACTTTGTCTTTATTTACAAGAAAATGGCATTAGGTGGAAATCTGCTTCCAGATATTTTTGCTGGGCAGAAAATATTGGTGCCACCCTATAACTTGTATAGCAGGCACATCCCTGAGGTTATAATAATTGTTATATTTTTTTTTAGAAATGAATGATAGAAGTTATAATAACTGTTATTTGATATTTTTTTTTTTAGAAATGAATGATAGAGGTTATAATAATTATAATAGGGGAGGTGGTAGAGGAGGTTATAATAACAGCTATGACAGCAGACGAGGCAGTGCTGGAGGTTACAGGTAAGTTATCAGACGATATTGGTTTTACTAACCTGGAGGTCCCATGTGTTATTCCACTTCGGGATGGAGAAGAGATGAGATCCCGTGTACACATTGACGTGCACGCTAAAGAATTCTTTGACATTTGGAATTCGAAATAAGAATAGACCGTAGCGATAAGAGGATACTGTCTTGTTTAATGCATGCAGGCTAGATTGTAAGGCCTGTCATTGAGTCAAGGGTCACCTGTCCAACCTTGTGGGTTTTCCGAATCCTCTGGTTTCCTCACACTGCTAAAGACACCTATATGGAAGTGAATTATTGCAATAAAATCCAACAATGTGTTAGTCCCGAGTTTGTGTTGAGTGGACGTTAAACCCCATTTCTCTCTGTCATTGAGTCAAATTTTGAGTGATTTTGAGTACCTGCTTGTACATGACAAAGAGTAAGCTGGCCTTTTCAACCTCTTGGATTGCCCCAGGGTCCTCCGGTTTTCTCACATTGCTAAAGACGACTTTTGCAAACGAATTATTGAAACAAAATTGAATTATAGGTTAGTCCCAAAATGACCTAATCTGAGAGATATACTGGTAATGAAAGGTACCATTTCTATTGGTGACAAAGTAAATTGGACCGAACTTGGGGTTAGGGTTAGGATTATAAGGGTTACGAGAGAGGTCATATAGACTATGCCTGTTCCTCAATCCCTTTCAATTTCTGAATAAAATATAGTTTTAAAAAAAAATGAAATAATAATTATATTCGGCAGCTATGTTGGATTCAACTTGGGTCCAGTTGTCTGCTGACCGTGTATCATTCAAAGCAGTTTGTAATCAAACAGTTGGAAATAAGAAAGAAAAGGCTATATTTCCACTGCCTGGGTAAAATTTCTCTCATAGCACACAACATTGTTTGCCCATCTTCATTAGCCTTTTAAAAATATTTTCAGTGATCGTGGTATGGGTAGATATGACAGACAAGGAAGTGCTCCTCCCCAACCACCAATGGGTGGAAGCAGATGGGACGCTTTAGCTGAAGAACCTGTAAGCCGTGAGAAGAAATGGGGTCACAACAGATGGGACAGTCGAGCCGACAGTGGTGACACCTGGTCTAACAGTGGATCTACAGTTATCGATTGGTCAACTCCCCTACCCAGAAACGAAAGATTAGAACAGTAAGTACATTTGATCTTTAAATTGTGAAGTTATAGCAAAATTTGAAATCTGTAATTGTCCATAGAGCAAACTTGCTAAGCTTCATCTCTACCTTAGTGAAGTTGACGAAGTCATAGACTTTACATATGCACACTTAGACGTGTGGTTGTATATTGTCATCGGCCCCATCCGTCTGTCGTCCACAAGTACTTGTAAACCTCTACAGACCATATTTATCATCTGACAACATCTTGTCAACATTCTTGAGGCAAAGTAGCCTATTTCATTTCAGCAAGTTCTTCTAAGAGTTATAGCCCTTGTGTGTGAACTTTTTGAATGATGAAATGACAAAATTATCATCTGATCTGTAGGACACTGATATATCAGTTTCTTGTATAAATGAGTAAAGATGCGTCAACCCATGTTAACTGCTTGAACAATTTATCTGCTGCAAGCATGTATTGTTAACTGGCAACCCATGTTTTCAAAGAGCATTGCACTGGAAACAAAAACAAGTCTCATATCAAGTGTATGGTTCAAAACCGTAAAACAAATAAAAAGAATTATTTGTGTGTAATATTTTTGTGTTTTTGTTTTTAGGGAATTATTTGGAGGTGGTAATACTGGTATAAATTTTGATAAATATGAAGACATACCAGTAGAGGCCAGTGGTGATAATCCACCTCAAAATATTGAAAACGTAAGTTTAATCTTTCAAATTGTTTGGGAATCTCTGAAGTTGTGAATCATTTTTATCAGATATAGTATGTTAAATTTCAACAATTAGTGTCTCAAAATTCAATTGTCAAAAAGAAAACCGGTCACAAATCCTTAGGACAAAATTTCCCTCATAGCATACTGCATGGTGTACTCCTGTCTTCATTAGCCCATTAAACACCATTTCATTTCTCCCACTCTGGTTTCCCATAACATTACTCCTATTCCTCTGGCTTCTCTTTAAGTTTTTTCATAACCATTAAATTTTATTGAATTCAGTTTGAAGATGCAAGTCTTGGAGAGATTATACGTAACAATATTGTACTGAGCAAATACCCGAAACCAACACCAGTACAGAAATATGCTATACCTATTGTATTAGGCAAGAGAGATTTAATGGCTTGTGCCCAGACAGGTAAGATGGTCGAATGGTTAGCATGTGTTTGTTGAATTATAAGGTGTGTCATTGAGTCAACTGGCGTGGTTTCGATTCCCTGGTTGTACGTGACAAGGAGTAGAGTCGCCTGTACTTGTGGGTTTTCTGCGGGTCCTCTGGTTTCCTCCCACTGCTAAAGACACCTGCGCACAAGCAAATTATTGAAATAAAATTGAACCATGTTAGTCCCAAAATGACCTAGATTGGGTTGGGTGGTCTAATAGTCCAACACATGGTTTAGATCATTAGGTCTGTCATTGAGTCAAATTGGGTGGTTTCAAGCCCCAGCTTGGAATTTGAAATAAAAGCGGGCAGTAGCTTTGTTGTCTGGGCAAATTTCCCCATAGTCTGTCTATATTAGCCCAGTCGGTGCCGAAAAGTAAGATGTTAAACCCCCATTTTATTTCTATTGCAACAAATTACTCATTTTTATATATTTTTTTGATTCAGGTTCGGGTAAAACTGCTGCTTTTCTGGTACCTATATTAAATTTACTGTACGAGACTGGACCAGGTGAGGCTCATGAGGCCGAACAAAGGCAATCACAAGTAAGTCATTTATACTCCACTAGCTGTGATAACCAGGATTGTTTTCAATTTAACGTAATAATCCATACTTGTCAATTTATCACTAATTATGTGCGCAGTTTTATCTCTATTTTAACATATTAGTCCATAACATAAACATCAATTTCATTACTAAAGACTATTAAGAATATCAAATCACTTTATTCTAATTGAAGTTATGAAGGTTTGAAGTTGACAAGTATCATTACTATGATATAAACTTCATATTTAGTCGTATATTGAAATGTTGTCCTATGTTGTCGCCTCTGTCCGGCGTCCATAATTGCTTGTAAACGCTCTAGAGGCTAAAGTTAATATCCGATTGACTTTAACTTTATACTAAGTGTTTAAGGTCACGAGGCGAAGAATCCTGTTGATTTTCAGTAATTACTGCCAGAGTTATGGCCCTTGATCACTTTGAAATATCTTGCGGCTTTAGAGACCATAGTTATCATCTGATTGATTTTATATTTATACACCGTGTTTAAGCCTATATATAATTGTTTTGATTGACTTCAGATTGATACAGAGTTTAAGGTCTTCAGATGAAGAAGTATAATGATTTTTGATAACTTGAACAGCTAAATCCATGATATATTGAATGTTTTGTAAAACAAATTCTAATGATTTTCTGTTAATTATTGAATGATTTGTTACTCTTAATCAGATTTTAGTGTATTATAAATGTTTCATTACCAACTAAAGTAAAAATATATGACAACTCTTGACTACCCGGACGATTTAGCTGCTGTGGACGTATGTTTCGTTGTCTGGAAACCTATCTTTAAAGGACGAGTAGGTTATAATCCATTCCATAAGGTTTTGAGGGCTACATGTGAATAGATGTCTAAATATTATAATTAACTTAACATTTGAAGCAGAAAAAAGATCTGCAATCGGCACATTTAGCTTTTACATAATGCATCATTAAAGATTTATGAAATATATTTTTCCCACTCAAGGGTAATATTTTAAAGATGCATTATGTAAGATATAAAGTTCTGGCTGTAATAGTTATATTAAATATGCATTATACAAGAAATAAAGAGATGACAGTTCTCTACATAATAGTTCCCAAATCGATAATGAAAATGAAATATCCTGGAAATTTCACTCAAATTACTTAATTCTGAGTGATGTTAGGGCTGTTTGGAGACTAACAGTCCAGATAGTTAAAATTCGTTGAAAATCAAGAGCATCCAATGGCATAAAGTTGATAATGACCTTGGCAAGTTAATAAATGTCTAATATAATAATTTATATAACATTTAAGGCCTAATGAAAGACTTGAAATCGGCAGATTTAGCTCTTGCATAATGTGTGTTTAATGTAAAAAAGATAGGTATGTTTTCAATATATTTTTAGGGAGGTCGATCATATGGAAGAAGAAAACAATACCCCAGTGCTTTAGTGTTAGCTCCGACCAGAGAATTGGCATCACAGATATATGATGAAGCAAGGAAGGTTCGTATAATAAGAAAGTTGTTGGGAGCCCCAGTGACTCCGTGACAAAGGGGCTTGCTCTTGCTCGCTTACCAATAGGTCTCTGGTTAATTCCTGGTCCTGGTATTGGCCGAGAAGGTTGCTTGAGACTTTCCAGCGTGGTTTCCCATTATCATTGCTTTGGGACTGAGTGTTTGTCGTTCGGATGGTATGGAAAACGATGTCCTGTATACACCCAACGCCCCCATCAAGAGTTTGTCCAGATTGCAGATGGCTCTGGCTTGTTTGACCATTTCAATTACAGTCAATGTTTTTTAAGGCGAGCGATCTCTCTCTCAAGTGCCTGCCGTGCACCTGAATGTCGACCAAGGGCAGGCATTTTCTCCCTCCCCTTATAACTGAAAATTGCTCCTTTACAAAGTCATTTGGGGTTTATTATCGTTTATGAAACCAGGAATGACTCCCCGACATGGAATTATTGATCTTCAGAACCATTTCTCATACACACAACTAATCACTCTCCTTAATATCAGATCGCTTTCTTTAATTTCTAAATCACTCTTAAACTGGAAGAACTTTTTTAGGGGAGCAATTTTTTTCAATTTGTTAATTAAGGGGAGCTTTTTTCGGTACTCCCCTAAAATACAAATAACGACGACTGCAATTACATCAAATGATTATAAGAATTTGTATTGAACTATTAAAATTGAAATTTATTTTAGATAATTATGTGTTTTATTTTATTAGTTTGCTTATCGATCAAGAGTTCGACCCTGTGTTGTATATGGTGGTGCTGATATCGGTGCCCAGATGAGAGATTTAGATCGAGGATGTCATTTATTGGTGGCTACTCCCGGTCGATTGGTCGATCTAATGGAACGAGGCAAAGTAGAAATGGAGCATTGTAGGTTGGTAAATCCCTGTATATTTTGAGGTAGTCGCGCTGTTTCAGTAAGATGCTGGCTCGTTAAATGGAGGTCCTGTATTTATTCCCGTGTTGATTGAAGGGAGCCACAGTGGCTAAGAGGCTGTCTTGCTAGCCTGGAGGTCGCGTGTTCGATCATTGCATTGGCCGAGAAAGTTCTTCAGAATTTTCCCGCGTGGTTTCACTCTTGTCAGTGGTGCATGACGGAGGGCCTAATAAGAACAGCTGTCGAGTCATTGAGACGAAAAACTGAGGTCCCATGTATACATTGGCATGCATGTAAAAGATCCCTTAGCAGTTGGATTTCGATATTAGAATAGGTGATAGTGTTGCTGCCCGGGCAAAATTTCCCTCATACACATTGTATGTTGTATGCCCGTCTTGATTTGCCCAGTCGGAGCAGAACAGTAGTACGTTAAACCTCATTTCATTTTGGCATGCATGTAAAATTTCCCTTGTAGCACATTGCGTCTTCATTAGCTCAATCGCTGGAGAAATATAGGACATTAAACTCCATTTCGTTTCATATCAAATTAAATTTTATTCATGTTTACAAAAGAATGGTCACGATATATTGTAACATCCCCATTTCATTTCAGATACCTGATGTTAGATGAAGCTGATAGAATGTTAGACATGGGTTTCGAACCTCAGATTCGAAGAATTGTAGAGAAAGACTCTATGCCTCCATGTGGTAAACGACAAACTCTCATGTTTTCAGCCACTTTCCCTAAAGAAATCCAGGTTCGATCATTTTGTCTTGTCTTGGGATAACTGATTTGAATTTTGTAATACAAACAAGGGTTGGGTTGCTTAATAGTTTTAACACTTGCGCTTTAAATTATACAGTCTGTCATTGAGTCAAGTGGCATGGTTTTGTTTTCTCGCCTGTACGTAACAAGGAGTAGTGACAATCGAACCTCGTGGGTTTTCTCCAGGTCTCCCCCTTTTATCCCACTGCTAAAGCCCCTACACAAACAAATTGGTGAAATATGAAGTAAAATTCACCTAATTCGTGTTGAGTGGACTCTCTCACACACATCATTGAGTATGACTTTGGCTAGCTATACTGGAGGTCCTGTGTTTTCGTTTCTGCATTGGCCGAGAAAGTTTATGGGGATTATTTGCCTGCGTGGTTCCTCCTTGTCAGTGGTGCAGGACTGAGGACCTGGCAAGAGACACTATATAGTCATTCGGATCGGACAGAAAACCAAGGTCCTGTGTACACATTGGCGTGCATGTAAAAGATCCCTTGGCAGTTGGAATTCCCTCATGCTACACTGTATGACGTATGCCTGTCATTAGCCCAGTTGAAGTAGAACGTTTAACTCCCATTTCATTTCTCTCATATCCCATTTCTTTCTATTGTTTTAGATTTTAGCTCGAGATTTTCTGGATAATTATATATTTTTGGCTGTTGGTCGTGTTGGTAGTACGAGTGAAAATATTACCCAGAAAGTTGTGTGGGTAGATGACAGTGAAAAAAGATCCTTCTTACTTGATTTGATCAACGCTGCAGGTAAGAATTTATTTACAACTCTTCTTTATCTACATAATAATAATAATGTACATTTATGATTGGACTCAATCCATCCATATTGCCTGGAAGATAATTTCTAATCCTAATAAGTAACAAAGAAATGGGTTTTTAGTTTGGATTTGAATACAGCTAATCTTCAATGGTATGTTACTCCAGACACTTGAAGGCTTTATCCCCATACAACCGATGTGGGCTTATTTTGTGAGTGAAGTGGACAATTTGGTTGATATTACTGAATGTGGTTCGTGAGGTAAGATGGGGAAAGATTTGGGCTTCTATAGGGAGGTGGGGGGGGGGGCTGTATCTTGTCAACTTCACTTATAACTTTGCTCAGAATAAAGTAATTTGACTGGCATTTTCAATCTATTTTTGAACTATTAAAGGAACAATGGTCAGTCATTTAAATAAATTTTACATAATGCATCTTTAATTTTCCTTATTCTAGGCCCAGAATCTTTGACCCTTGTATTTGTTGAAACTAAGAAAGGTGCTGACTCGTTAGAAGACTTTTTACAAAGAGAAGGATTCCCAGCAACAAGTATCCATGGTGATAGATCACAGAGAGAAAGAGAGGATGCTCTACGTGTATTTAGAAGTGGTGATCGACCAATCCTCGTTGCTACGGCCGTAAGTTCTCAAGATTTTTGGTTATAAATTTCATTAAAAGCAGTTGAAAGAAAGTAGCCCGTAGTGCCGTTGTCAAGGCAAAATTTTCCCCATATCACACTGTATCATGTGCACCTGTCTTAATTAGACCAGTTGGAACACAATTTTATTTCATTTTGAGTGAAGTCTGTATCACTACAGGCCCGGGATTGTAAAGTACAGTTTACCCTCTTATCTTCAATTGATGGCTTGATCTCACTTTAACTATCTTCAATTGATGGCTTGATCTCACTTTAACTCTGTACATCTTATCAAGGCCATCATGTAGTAGCCTGCTACTGTTCACAGGTCCGCCGTAAAGGTAATTGCAAAGCAGCGTATAAGCTTTGTCTAGATGTTGTAAAACTCATATGCTCTCATATACGTTTGTTAATCATTGTGTCTTGTGTAATTGTTTATATGTGGTTTACATTGATTTGATTTATTTACAGGTTGCTGCAAGAGGCTTAGATATCTCAAATGTACGTCACGTCATCAACTTTGATTTACCCAGTGATATCGAGGAATATGTTCATCGTATTGGACGTACTGGGCGAGTGGGAAATCTAGGTAATATATAGTTTGGATAATCAAGTCTTATGTAGTCTTCTGTTAATTTAAAGCATTAAAATGACTATTCTTGATAGTTTGTATTGTCAAGTCTTTATGTAGGCCTGCATGACATTTAAAACAATGACATGACTAATCCTGAACTAATAATGGTTACATGGTTTAAGGACTCAAAATGACCAAAGTATTGTTGAGATATGAAACCTCATTCAAGTCTAGGGACATAGCAACTAATTAACTTAATTAATACGTAGGCATTGAGTATGTGGTACATCAATATCAAGCCCATATAAAAACCCTTGGCAGTTACAAATTAACCGGGAGGGGGGTTGGGTGACCGAATGGTTAGCGTGCACAGGTTGTATCATAATGTCTGTCATTGAGTCAACTGACGTGGTTTCGATTCCCTGGTTGTACGTGACAGAGTAGAGTCGTCTGTCCAACCTTGTGGGTTTTCTTCGGGTCCTCTAGTTGCCTCCCACTGCTAAAAACCCTATGCGAAAGCGAATTGTTGAAATGAAAATTGAAGTATGTTAGACCCGAAATGATCTAGTCGGTGTCGAGCGGACGTTAATCCTCATATCTTTCTCTATAAATCAACCGAACAGTAGGACGTTAAACTCCCATTTCATTATAAATCAACCAAGTGCAGGTGAGACTCTGCAGTTCGGCCACTTCATTAACCTGCTTGGTTCAGAAAAATAGGTGGGCCCATGACATGTCACCAGAGTCGGTGCCTCTTGGAGGACCTGGCAAGGGAGACGAAGACCTGAGGTCACAAACCCTTGACAGTTGGAATTTGAAATAAGAGACGTAGGTCATAATTATATAATTTCCCTCATAGCACCCTGTTGCGTATGCTCGTCTTATTGGCCCAGTTGGAGCAAAACAGTAGAGCGTTAAATGTTAAACCCCATTTGATTTACTATTCGCAGGTTTGGCTACATCGTTTATAAATGAGAAAAACAAGAATATTGTTCGAGATTTATTGGATTTGTTAATGGAAGCTAATCAAGAAGTACCAGCTTGGTTAGAATCAATGGCCAATGATACGCGATCATCTACTACGTCCAAGAGAGGAGGCAGAAAGTAAGTTCAATACTACGTTACTTACGACTTATGTACACATTTCCACTCATTCTCGATCCCTGTGTTCGCTGTGAAAGTTCACTGGGATTTTCCAGCATAGTTGTCCCCCGCCTTTCGAAGAAAGCAGGGGACTATTAAAATGGGTTCGTCCGTCTGTCTGTCCGTCACACTTTTTGGGACACAATAACTCTCTTCCTAATTGAGCTAGAATGTTCAAACTTGGTGTATGTGTTTATTAGGTCAATGCCTTGATGGAGTTCGAAGATGAGCATTTTCCGCTTAGGGTAAGCAGAGATAAGCAATTTGATTGGTTGATGCTTTGGGACACGATAACTCTCTTCCTAATTGGGCTAGAATGTTCAAACTTGGTGTATGTGTTGATTAGGTCAATGCCTTGATGGAGTTCGAAGATGAGCATTTTCCGCTTAGGGTAAGCAGAGATAAGCAATTTGATTGGTTGATGCTTTGGGACACGATAACTTTTAATTGAGCTAGAATGTTCAAACTTGGTGTATGTGTTTATTAGGTCAATGCCTTGATGGAGTTCGAAGATGAGCATTTTCCGCTTAGGGTAAGCAGAGATAAGCAATTTGATTGGTTGATACTTTGGGGCACGATAACTCTCTTCCTAATTGAGCTAGAATGTTCAAACTTGGTGTATGTGTTGATTAGGTCAATGCCTTGATGGAGTTCGAAGATGAGCATTTTCCGCTTAGGGAAAGCAGAGATAAGCAATTTGATTAGATGAGCATTTTCCGCTTAGGGTAAGCAGAGATAAGCAATTTGATTGGTTGATACTTTGGGGCACGATAACTCTCTTCCTAATTGAGCTAGAATGTTCAAACTTGGTGTATGTGTTGATTAGGTCAATGCCTTGTTGGTTGATGCTTTAGGACAAGATAACTTTGATAGAGAGTGATGAAACTTAAGTGTATAGTTGATAATCAGTTTGATTGCTTGATACTTTAAAAAAAATAAATGTGCGATAAATTAATGTGTCATCTATTTATTTTGGTATTTTGGCGGGGGACATCAGCCTCACTGTTGGCTTGTTCATCCTTGTCCGTGGTGCAGGACCAAGGGCCTGGCAAGGGATAATGTAGTCAGTTGGTTTGTGTCCAGTCAACACCCCCCCCCCCCCTGCCTATGCCAAATCATTTTTGTGATGCACAATTCAGTTTGAAATGGCAGAATGTTGAACCCGATTTCCATTTTTTGATGGTTTACTTCATTCTTACAGATTTGGATCTGGTGGATTCGGAGCCAGAGATTACCGTCAACAAAACAAGGGACCAAAACCAGGCATGGGTATGGGAAATGGTGTGAAGAACCCAATGGGAGGAGGATACCCAGCTATAAACCCCTTTGCCAGCCAGTACGCTAATTACGGAGGATCTTACGGTGGTGCCTACAACAGTAATACACAGGGCACTGATTGGTGGGGCAACTAAAAGGTGGCAACCTTTGCCGTGACGATGGGGTTAAACGGATCACATCATCAGTGAATTAAAGGAAAGATTATTAATATTAAATGAAAGATTATTATAGAAAATAACCACCTTCCCATTTCTTGTTTAATGCTTTATGTTTTATGGTGCCTGGATTTTATTAGCATACAGTTGAAGGACCCAGAGTTTTGAGGTTTATTTTTTTTTTTGCTGTTTATATTTTATGGACTTTGATTGCGCGTAATTTCATTTATTGTCGATGTCTACATGCGAGGGACAATTCATTGAGTTATTTTATTACCATATACATATATATCATGTACATTGTTATTTTTGCGATCGATCGTTCGATGTAAAATACATCGAGCCTTTTCACGCGTATATATACATATATATATATATATACAAAAATCATTTCTATTTTATTATATTGATAATGTTGAATCTTAATATGAACCATAATATTCTCGACGAACAAAATACTGTAATACATGTATGCGAGGATCCAAGGCCGATGATTTTATATATGAAATTTGAAATCCTCCATTTTGTTTCCTCTGCGTATTATTTATATCATTTTACGTTCCTTTTTTTTCTAACGCTGCATAAAAACTATGTCTCGTATAAATAAATACAAACGTGTATATTATTTATGATATATTTAAATGATATTCAAATGTTTAAATATTTTTTTCTTGCAATATTTTGTCCCCATGTTTCATGTGCAATCGGTCAAATTTCACGTGTAATATGAAAACTTTGACGTATGTGTGTTGGTCAACGCATTGTGGTGACTAAGCGTGTACATTCGCATTAAATATGAAACTGGATGTACATGTCGGTCGTATGTAGACTACGCATGTACATTGAAATTGTATTAAATTTATGGATTGTAATGTTTATTTGAAAATTGAGTTATGTGCCAAATAATGACCCTGTTTGCATATATAACAGAGCCTGAATAACCAGACTGAACATTAGGGCGTGATGGGAAATGAGAGATTGCGTAATTCATTCCAAAATATTTGTACTAATTCGTAAATCTGTGTAACTTCTCACAGAAGTTTTTAAAATGTACTACTTCTGTGATAGCTGATTATTTTGGCAGGCGTTGAAGCCGTCTGCAATGTCTAGTCATGGTAAATGACGTTGAAATATATTGCAATCACAAACATCTCCTGTATCTTCTAACGCAAAAGATTGTGTCGAGATATATGATGGTGTTGGGTTTTACTCAGATAAATTATAATTCTAACTTACTCCAAGTTATAATTTTGTGTACAAATCAACTAATCTGTGCGATTTACTCCTTTAAAAATTGATATGTACAAATGTTAAAAAAAAATGAAAGGATATAATTTATTGTGCATTTTTAATATTGATGTGCACAAATGTAAAATATTCAAAATGGAGAAATTATATAATTTATGGTGCATTATCAACTTGTTTACACTGCCTGGGTTAAATCCAACTAACAAGTGATTGTAATGATATGATAGATCTGGTTAAAATTCCATTTAAATCTTAAGAAAAAATCCTCTGGGCTCCTCATCTGTTGCGTGTTTTCAGCTTGATTATAAGCTAAATAATTTACATTATTAATATGATCACCATCTTGGTTTAACCGTAGTCCCTATATGTATCCCTGTATCTCTCGACTCGAAACATATGTATGTATGCCTGGATAATTGTTCTGCCTTTGGCAATGTTATTTAACGCTTTATGGCCTGGGTTGCTAACACAGCCAATCAAAAGGGCTTGTTTGTTCCCACAGCCAATCAAATGGCCCAGTTTGCTAACACAGCCAATCGAAATACCTTGTTTGTATATCAGCAAATAGTGTTTAGACGATTCTGATTCAAGCATATCCTCCTGGCACCAGGTGGAGCTGTGTTAGATCAAATGAGATAACGATGTTACGGACCTCAGTTAGACCAAGATGCTTTATCTCGTGTGTAGATGTTATATTTAGAGTTAGCTTTGTGTCCCTATGCCGTCCTGTCATAAGATATTCTATGTAATATAATTGATGACGTGACCTGCCGTTAATACATAACGGCCCAACTGTCTCGTCAATTTTTGGTCTGAAATAAAATATTAATGAATATAGGAATTAAAAAAAAAAAATATGGATGCATTTTATCGACACTTAAATTTAAGTTAATTTCCTACAGAGGTCTGTCGATAATTTGCCTAGTTATTTTTATGCGTATCCTCGACAAATGCAACTTGCATTTATTGATTAGAAATGGAATACTGAATTAATACCCTGTTGAAAATTACATTAGCGGGATATTCCATTTAAAATTAGCCACGTGTACCGTATATGTATTTTTCTTAAATCTTCAACCAATTGTTTTTTTTTTCTTTTAAAAATTAAATATGAGAGACCCCTAATAATATAAATCATTTATATTGTGATCACTCTTTTTAAGCCTGACATGTCTGACCATTAATATTTTGATTATTCTTTTTGAAGACTGACATTGTCTAACCCTTACAGAGTATTTTTAAATGGAATATCCTTCACACATTCTTGTGTATTTTAAACATGATTGAACACAGGGTAAACTTTTATTGTGTATTATGGGACCAACAAATAAATTAAATCGTGGTTCCATTTTGGTTATGTTTATGTATTGTAGTCAAAAAATATAAGTGATGTAAAACTTAACCCTGTTGACTGTCCCAAGTGGGTGTTTGTGATCGGCATGTGAATGACGGAAATGTGGTGGTACGAAATTTGAAAATCTTAAATCAAGAACCATCACATTAGCACTTGTTGTTGCATGATAATTACTATCGCTCATATGTAGTATTAGAACAGAGTGTAACTAAAATTCTTAAGCATTGTTTAGGCCGCATAACATACAAATTATCCGTACAATTTAGTCATATTTAACTTGGGCCAATTGTCGATGAAAATTTTTGATTTTATTGTATTAGTTTTGTAATAATGAAGATATTTGGGTTTTGTTACGACAATTAATATAGTATTGAGTAATTTGAAGTGAAAACCAAAAAACGTTTAATGTTAATTATAGATATGATATACATGTATTGTGTAATTAAAATTAATAATGTATCGTTTAAAACAATTCTAGTCACTGTGTGTTCGGTCACTCATGGTGATTTCTCAATATTATTCATAAAATATGTATTAAATCGAAAAAAAGGAGTGCTAGTTGTCTGCCCTTGAACCTACTTGAATGTCACACTATTAATTTGGCCAGGAACAAAATCATTCTAAAACAAGAATAGATAAATAAATGAAAATTGAATCGAAGGCTGCATTGAAGTTGGTTCCCTTTCAAAGTGATGGGGGCAGACAGCTGCTCAGGTTTTTTCGAGTTGCATTTTAGTTTAGACTGTTTAAAAAAAAAGTCTTAATTATCTAACATGCTGCATTTTTTTATCCACAGTGAATCATTTTAACGGGGGTAACCAGACTTTTTGACATTCATCATTTTTTATCTTTATCAAGTGACCTTCTAAAGTTACATTGTTTTAAATCTGTTTGGTCGCTAGCGAGGATGTTGTTTGTCACTATTGACGACGGATGACGATTGTTCTAGCGACAGTATATGTATATTTTTTTATTTTACTCATTACCCAGGTAATGGGATTGGGTTATTATATATATTGTATCATTAATACATTAATTACATTTTGTCTTTCGAAGAGAAACAGAAAAGAATTTTTGTTTTTTTGTATGCATAAATGGTTTTGATTTATTTATAATTGAAACTTATTGAAATGAATCGGTTTAATATGTGAATGTCAAATTGTAAAATATCTCTCAAGAGTAAGTTTTAAAATAATACACCATGCAGCATTCTAGAATTTAATGATTAGTAAAATTGATTTATCTTAGACGTTTAATTTAAGGAATTATCATCCCAAGCCATGTAACCAAGCCAGTGCAACGAATTTTAAACTTAAATGAAGACAAAAGAGTTGGCAGTTTTAGTTTCGTATTTATCAAATATAATTCAATTTTATTTTTAAGATTAAGATTAAAATTTATTTAAGATTAATAATTAATAGGGCTAGAAAAAGACCCAAGGCCTTTTGAACTTATAGATGTACCTATATACTAACATTTTTTTTTTTTTTAAAAACATCTGTGTGGGGTTTGTTTTTTTTCTGTATGAAGATTAAATGCCATTCAGATGTAAATGGCTACCTGAAACCATCTTCATATTGTTATTGTAAAAGGCTGTATTTTGAAATATTTTCCCAAGATTGTTACACTAGTGAAAAAGGGGAAAATATGCTCTTAAATGCCGTGATTGTTGCTGCCCTTGAATAATGCGATTTTATTTTTTAAGATTACATGAAAGTCTCTTCAAAAATCTTATGGGGGACAGCTAATAAATTATGTTGTCCTTTATTCCATGACAATATGAAGGTGGTAAAAACCCTGTATTTACAGAATATAATTTAATTTAACTGATCTTCCATAAAAATAGATATAATGTACCCTGAACTCTGTATTATCAACCATTAAATGGAATTGTGTACTAATAGATCTGATTTATGCACATGCGTTATTGTTCATATCTTAATACTAAGAATTTGGATCAACACATTTCAATTCTAAATAGTAAGAATTTGGATTTTAATTCTAAATAGTACGAAATTGGATTTTTTTGTTTTGAATATTAAGATTTGAGTTGAATATACAGAGTCCATTAATTAAGGAAAAAAAACCTCTTTATTGATATATATATGTTGATCAAAACAGTTGGAGAGAATAGAATTGGTGAAAATAATATCAACCTCTAAATGTTCTTTTAATGGAATATTTCTGAGGTATTGACAATTTTTAGTTCTTGCCATCTAGGATGATTGATAAACATATTGTATTTGTGTTTTGTGAGCTCTTCCCATTAAAGCTAAAGCTGCAGAGTTCCCCTGCTGTGTGATCATTTCAAATTCAATGGATTAAATTTGCTCATAGGACAAATGATTAGGATATAATTTTAAATCACATTTTTTTTTGGAAACGTTCAAATAATGATTAGGATATAATTTTAGATTACATTTTTTTAAAACACAGTAAAAAAATTAATATTGATAAAATATTCAATTAAATTTTATTAACCACTTCAATAAACAAACACTGGAATTATTTTACTTTTGATTAAATCAAAAAAAAGACGGATTAACGCGCATATGTCAGTTTACGGTTGATGTTGAAATCCACGTGTGGTTGAACTCGGCCATTAAAACAAGTTTGATATAATACGTAAAACATTCCATACGCATTTTGTGCCAAGTCTTCATAATATCTTGTTTATAGTAATATCCCATTCTTCATCATTTTCATATAAACATATCGCAAAATAGTTGACAATTTCCGTGAAACTGTCATTAAGATTAATGCTGCCTTCAAATTACGAGTCTCCAATTTGAAAATATCATTCAAATTCTGTCCGGTTGTATTTTTTTCTTGTAAACTTGAAATTTTTTGATAACTTTCATATTCATATTTACATGAATTTGATTGGTCAATTAAAAAGGATAGAAAGGGTTGGGTGATAAATACAATCTTCTACTCGCCTTTTTTTTTGATATAAAAAATATCAACATTCGTCGATAAAGTAAAAAAAAAAAAAAAACTCGACAAAGCCTTGTTTTTTATTTCCATTATCTACTTGTGTTGATATTTTTTTTTATATAAAAAAAAGACTGGTAGGAGATTCTCTATTTATTGCACAGTTCAAACGTGTTTTTTTTACGATTTGGAAACCTGTTATTAAAAGGACAGGAGGATTGAACCTCGGCAGAAATAATCGGTGAAAATGCATAGAAATATAATACATAGTTTTTATTTTTATACGATGAATTAACGTAATTTTAATATTGTGCGTGGATTTGAAAGAATTCTTGTGATATTTTGAATCGGTGGTCAGGGCTCTTATCAGTCCAATGAACATCTTCTATTAAATTCTTAAACTATAAAATTGGATTTGAGCCAGATCGTGCTTTCTTCACAGCAAAAAATTAATAAAATTCTGTAATATTAAGTAGATTGTACGAAATGGAATCCAAGTAATTGTAAGTTGGATGTGCACAAAATGCAAAGGAATAATCATAATTTTTCATCTTTCCTGGTCAGGCTGTTAAATACATGATCAAGAAAATATGGTTAAACCAATCGCTGTGTTCAAAACGTGTCTTATATATGGTAAATACAAGTTTCTCACTTGGAAATAACGCACAAATTATGTTTGCTACCAGAAAATATAAGTATAGTGTTCAAATTTGGACACTCGTAATTATGGTTTATCAGAATTCGATTTGATCGCAGTTCTATGCACTATATTTTACAGTACATGTAGTTATTTTGAAAGCTAGAATACTCATTTGTCTGCATGAGCAATTTGGGTCCTTTATTTGTGTGTGAGTGTTGTGACATTGAATTCCTATTTATCGAATCAACAAAAGTGCTTTAAACAATTTTTTTTTTTTTTTTACGTATTGAATCTCTGTGTACTTAAAGTGATCTAAATGAAAACTAAACAGATATAGATTATTGTAGATATCCATTAAAATAAAAACAAAGAAATATTGTATAGAAGCTATTCAAAGTAAATGAAGGATTAACTCACCATTTTAGGTATACTCAGATGATATTTATCAAAATCATGTTAATTATAAACTCGGGGCAAAAATTTATCAGTATTTTTCTAGTCTTTATATTTTTTCTTATCGTAAATATTTAGTCTTTTTTCATACGAACCATTTGGTTTGTGGACATTAAAGTAAAACCACATTCAAAGGAAGAGGTTTATTAAGCAAGCCGTACGGTAGTGTCAATGCGGCATCCCAACACATTTCCCTCCATAATTGGATAAATTTGATGTATACAATGTCCTTAATTAAACAGAAACATGTTGTGAGAACTTTTTTATATATCGCTAGTTAGCATCGTCTGATGTCCTGCAGATGATCGTAAAATCAAAAGAAATATTTATATTCCTTCGCTCAATGTCACACACCAATACCGAGTGATTAGTCTATATAAAAATTTTTTTTTTTTTTTTTGTTTAAATCCACAAATAATGTTGAACTGTGATATTAACAAAGGATTATATACATATATATATATGTGTACATACATCTTGATACATGTGTATATATATATATCTTCTGTTCTGGTCTCATTGGCATTCTCGTCTTTTTTCTTTTTTTTTAAATTACACAGCTCTCACTTTTATGAGGGCTGTTTAAACTAAACTATCACTTAAAATCAGGGCTGTTTAAATTTAAACAACTATCACTTAAAATCAGGGATACTCTGCAAACATACTAATGGGATTTGCAATATTTTATATGGACATGCTCTAGTAATAGTTAAAAGGGGTTTGATTCTTATTTTAAAAAGATGGATGGGTATGGGGTAGATGACAGAATCTGGTCGCTGCTAAGTGCCACAACACAATATAAAAAGAGTTCACTCTCTTGGAACAGATTCTGAAATCTCTCCTATCTCTCTCATTTGTCCTGAACAAAGCATAACTAACTTTTAACCATTTTACATTCACTGTTTTCAAAATATGTATAGATTAATTTTCTTTAAGTCAGTTTGCATTATATGAAATGTTACAGAATCCTAAGTTCATTGTTATAATAATAATCCAAGTTGTCAAAACCACAATCTTGAATCTTTATAAAACGGGGGAAATTCATTAAATATCCAAGAACTCTTTTCCAAAATACTGAGTCCATTTCAGATTTTTGGTTAAAATGGCAAAATGATGGGTATACATCAATGCTTTAAATCAATACTTGATGCAAATATTATTTCATTCATCTGATACACCTTAAAAAAGAAAAAAAAAAAACCCAAACAAATGGTTTGAAAAGGGATCTGAATGAGCCTGTCATGTATTCTGAAAAAGATTTCTTGATATCTTACTAGAGCACGGGAGTGCCATAAATTAATTTTTTATTATTATGGGACGGCATTTGTATTTTTTCATATTAACTATTGTTTAGTTGTACAAATCGAACTACATACCTTGATGTGGCTTCTAATTGAACCGTATAAGTCTGCTTTCAAATATATGCCCAACCTCATAGCTTTCCTCCTACTGCTAAAGAAAATACCCTGAAGCACAAGCGAATTATTGAAATGAAATTTACTAAGTTAGCCCTGAAGTGACCTAGTTTATCTATTGCTTTCAGATATTATCAATTATTTGAGCTACAGAAAAATTGGCATAAATTATGTTAAATTAATCGGCCCTGTTTGATGTAGATATTTGTTTGGAGCAGGTCGGGTCAGTCTTAAAGAACCACATCATGGTATGACAGTTCATGTCAAAGTTCTAAAATAAAGATAACTGAAATTGGAGATTTGTGTTGTTTTGTTCAGGTTTGGGCGTGAAATGAAATGGGGTTTAACGCCCTACTACTACTACTGGGCCTACTACTACTGGGCTAAAGAAGACGGGCATACATTATACACTGTGCTATGATGGAAATTTGTCCCAGACAGCAGCGCTACAGCCTACTCTTATTATCCCGCTCCGAACAAAGTTAGGGATATTGAAATGGGGTCCATTCGTATCAATTTAGTTTTCAGAGCATATCTCATAAACCGTTATCTTTATGAAACTTTGTACACAAATCAACCTATTACAGTAGTTGCGCCTTTTGCTATTTAAGAATGTCTGGGATTTATATTTTTTTGTTTCCATGGAAACAAATTTAACTTAGTTTTTGGTGTAAAATTGTTTCCAGAGCATATCTCATGAACCGTTACCTTTTTTGAAACTTTGTACACACATCAAACTATTACAGTAGTTATGCCTAGCTTTTGGTGTACAATTTTGTTTCCCCCGAGCATATTTCGTAAACCATTCAAGATGTCTTTTTGAAGCTTTCCACACACATCAACCTATTACATTAGTTGTGCCTTTTGCAATTTAGGAACTTCTTGGATTTAGATTTTTTGTGTTTCCATGGAGATAAATTGACTTAGTTTTTGGTGTCCAATTTTGTTTCCGGAGTATATCTCATAAACCATTCAAGATATCTTCATGAAACTTTGTAGAAACATCAACCTGTGATGGTAACTGTGCCTTTTGCTAATTAGAAACTTCTTGGATTTGATCATTTTTGTTCCCATGGAAACAAATTTCTCTGTTGAATGATTTTTGAATTTTTACTACACATTTGACTTAGTTTTTGGTGTATAATTATTATTCTAGAGCACATCTCAGAAACTGTTCAAGATACCTTTATAACACTTTCACATACATCTACCTATTATTTTAATTTCCGATGACCGCCCTTCCCTCCTGATTTCGTTTCCGGAGAATATTTCATTATCTATTCAAAAAATCTATTTGAAACTTTGTACAAACATCGACCTATTATAAATAGTATTTTATTTTCTGATGTATAAGCTTATTGTTTAACACACAGCAGTTGATTGAGGTAGGCAAAGGTTGTGAAGACATTACAGGGAGCAGCGACCCTGCCTTGCCCAGCTACTGTGATCAGAGTATGAATCTTCTGACTAGTCCCCATGATATTTCGGTGGAGGTCGGGTGTTCGACCCTGCATTGGCCGAGAAAGTTCATCCAGATTTTTAGGCGTGGATCCCCTTTGTCAGTGATGTAGGATGGAGGGCCTGACAAGGACAGCTGTCTAGTCCTTCAGATGAGACAAAAAACCGAGGTCCCGTGTATACATTGGAATGCACGCAAAATATCCCTTGGCAGTTGGAATTCGATATAAGAGTAGGCGATAGTGCCGCTGCCCGGGCAAAATTTCCCTCATAGCACACTATGGTGTATGCCCGTCTTCATTAGCCCAGCATAGGAGCAGAACAGTAGGACGTGAAACCCCATTTCATTTCATTTCATTTGATATTCCGGGGGGTTGGACGGCTGAATGGTTAGCATGTGCGTGCTGCATCAGGAGGTCTGTCATTGAGTCAGCTGGCGTGGTTTCAAATCCCAGGTTGTATGTGACAAGGAGTAGGGTCGCCTGTCCAACCTCGTGGGTTTTCTCTGGTTTCCTCTCACTGCCAAAGACCCCTACGCGCAAGCAAATTATAGAAATAAAATTGAACCATGTGTTGGTCCCGAAATGACCTAGTTTGTGTCTAGTGGACTTAAACCCGATTTCTCTCTCTCCATTGATATTCCTAGAAGTTGATTTTCCTCATGTCTTCCAAACAAGCCAAAGGGTGCGGGATTGTGATGACTGGTCGTATTGAAACTGCCAAGGTTTCTTTTACGTGTACACAGGACCTTGGTTTGTTGTCACATCCAAATGACTACATGCTTTCCCTTGCCAGGCAAGGGAACAAACAACTTACTCACTGCGTGGGAGAAGGAGCTGGAGTTGTCTCTTCCTAAGTTTTGACAGATTAGTAAGTCTGGGGCAATAATCAATGAAGATATGGTCCGATACTTGTCAATTGAACTCAAGTTTCATCAAAATCAAATAAAATTGTGACAAGGAAGGCTCCTATACATATTTGCCATTTGAAATACAGGAATTCTAGCTATTTCATGATATGGGCAGCCATGAAACAACCTCTAATATACTTAAACAGGCATTATGTAAATGCTAAATCTGCTTATTGCAGTGCAGGGGTCTGTTTCACGAAATTTTAACTAAGATAAAATTCAAATTTTAGTAATTTGATTGGATAATATTAGATTGATTTTAGTGCTTAGCCAATCAAAATTAAAGTATCTACTAACATTTGGATTTTATCTTTAGTTAAGATTTCGAGAAACGGGGCCCAGGTCTTTCTTTAGACCTGAAATGTTATATAAACTATAATTAGACATTTATTAACATGAAAAAAAACTCTCAATGCCATCTTATCTGTCCAATTTTCATTAAATTTGAATCTGTTCAACATCTGTTGATGATAAAATGCAAAAATGGATAATCGAGACTTAATTATGGGGAGTGTGGTAACAACGACAATCAAGGCTACAAAGATTTTAAAATAAGTTTTTCTCAGGTTAGAGTGAAGGAATTTCACTGAAATTTTCAGCATATTCCAGGGGCGGATCCAGAGGGGGGGTTTGGGGGGTCCAAACCCCCCCCCCCTGCTCAGCTACATAAAAATTTTAAACTTTTTTTTGTGAGAAAAGTGTCATAATTGTGCTTTATCCTTTATCATCAGATGGTGCGACAGGATGGGCACTCAAAGCGCGAGATAATGATATATGTGATATCAAAATTAATCCTTTGCATCAATAATTATATTGAATCAAAATGTCATCGTATTAATTCATAATAAAAATTGACGTCAAACAGGATATATGTTGGATTTCTCTGTTTAAAAAGCTCCATGTGTATGTATATACGGCAAAATGACAATAGAGACCATTTATTTCTCAAAAAATTTCAAGCCCCTGTATTCTCTTTACATCAATCATTTAGTTTTTATATGCCCACATTGAAATGTGGTCGTATATTGTCGTCGCCCCTGTCCGTCGGTCCAGCGTCCACAATATACGACCACATTTCAATGTGGGCGTATAAAAACTAAATGATTGATGTAAAGAGAACACAGGGGCGGATCCAGGAATTTTTGCAGGAGGGGGTTTGCCAGGTTCCCGAGAAAATGTATCTCCCTCCTCCCCCCCCCCCTCGGCTTGAAATTTTTTGAGAAATAAATGGTCTCTATTTAGCTCTAGAGGCTAAAGTTAATATCCAATTGACTTTAAATTTATATACCGTGTTTAAGGCCATGAGACGAAGAAGCGATTTCGGATAATTACTGCCAGAGTTATGACCCTTGATCACTTCAAAAAATCTTGTGGACGCTCTAGAGGCTAAAGTTAATATCCGATTGACTTTAAATTTATACACAGTGTTTAAGGTCATGAGGCGAAGAAGCCTATTCATTTACAGCGATATCCGATTACTGCCTGAGTTAAGGCCCTTGATCACTTCAAAAATAATCTTGTGGACACTCTAGAGGCTAAAGTTATCATCCGATTGACTTCAGATTGATACACAGAGTTAAAGATCTTGATACGAACAAGTAAATTTTTATGACTTGAACAGCTAAATCCGTGATATTAAAAGTTTTGTATACTAAACATTAGCATGGGGCATAACTTTATAAAAACCAAACAAATTCTAATGGTTTTCTGATAATTACTTAATGAGTTGTTACTCTTAATCAGATTTTAATGTATTATAAATGTTTCATTACCGAAAAAAGTAAAAATATGCGACAACACTTGTTGACTGCCTGGACGATTTAGCTGCTGTGGGTGTATGTTTCGTTGCCTGGCAACCTATCTTTAGCTATTATAGTGAGAACTGTATCTAATCTTACATAATGCATCTTTAATTAGGCATTTATTAACATGACAAGACCATAATCAACCCCGAATGCCATCAGATGTCTCCAATTTTAAGTAGATTAGAATGAATGGTTCTGTCATTTAATGATTTAATTTAAAAAATGGAGAAGCGAGGCTAAGACTCAAATGACCAGTAGAGTGGTTATAATCAATGCACACATCGTCTTAATACTACAACCACTGATAACTTTGCTCAATATATTCATTTTGCATTATCTATTTTTGAAATATAATAGCAAGAACGACCAGCTCTTTATCAAAATCTTATACCCTGTTCAGATGCTTATTTTTAAACTAGTTCAAAATCTCCAGGCTTTTTAAGCCAAACCAGTTTAACTATTCTGACCTCTACGTATTTTTTATTCGGTTCTTGCACACATCTGCGTACTTTTTGTAACATTTTTCTGATATATAGAAAATATAAAATACTAGAATATGAAAAAACAGGGATTTACATGTATGTAAAATGCTCACATGTCGAATCAAAAATTTATCGATATTGAAATGGAAATTTTGCAGGTACACGCAACGGCATTATATTCTCAAATGGTATTACTTTAAAATACCTATGAATGGCATCCTCTCCCCACACAGAAATGAGAAACATAGGTTGCCAGGCAACAAAACATATGCCCACGAATGTAACTTACTGAGCATGTTTAAAGTGAAGACATGTCGCTAGTTGAGGTTTTTAAACTGGTTTATTTGCCCCACCTTTGCATTCAGATGACAAAGTTAAACTGGTTTAACGACCGCTGGTGTTTTTAAACCAGTCCAACTTAAACATGCCTTATGCAAGAAATTACACATAATTACTTCAGGGAATAAACCTATTTTACATGGGATACAACTCTTTATAGCATCTCTCGTCACTTTGAACCATTCAATGGAGTTACCACCCTTGAATCATGTCAAACCTCCGATTTTACATGGGAGATAACTCCCTTTGGAAATGAAATGAAATGAGTTTAACGTTCTACTGTTTTGCTCCTAAACTGGGCTAATGAAGACGGGCATACGACATACAGTGTGCTATGAGGGAAATTTTGCCCGGGCATCGGCGCTACGGCCTACTCTAATATCGAATTCCAACTGCCAAGGGATCTTTTACGTGCACGCCAATTTATACACGGGACCTCGTTTTTTTTTTGTCCCATCTGAACGACTAGACAGCTGTCCTTGTCAGGCCCGCGGTCGTGCATCACTGACAAGGGGAAATCACGTCGGAAAATCGGGATGAGCTTTCTCGCCCAATGCAGGGATCGAACACCCGACCTCCAGGCTAGCGAACTCCCTTTGGTATATAAGAGGCAGACCACCATTAATTTCCTCATTGACTTCAATGTTAATTCTGGCCTCTTTGCCCACCTCCAACTTTTCCCCAAATTTTCGTTGGGCTGAATGCTATTCACTACAGACAGAAGAAAAAATGGTCATGCCTTTGCACTAAAATTTGAGATACACAAACATGACGACTAAAAACATGACGAAGCATACCAAAAACAAACATGTAACTAGTTGTCGTACATATCACAGTAGCCAACCTGATAACCCTGTTATCCTTCCGCCTCAAAATCATGAATATTTACCAAAACCTGGCAGAAAATGTTAATTCAAACCCTCTTCGTCCATTCTAGACCAAAAAATCAACAAAAATGGGCATGCAAAAGGGGAGAAAAGAGACAGAGAGAGAATTGCTATAAATAAACAAACTACAATTTGTAGGTACCGAGATGGTGAAATTTAATAGTGGTCTGCCTCCATATCAGTAATTTTGGCATCATTCAATGGAATTACCTCCTTTATATCAAGTCAAACCGAAAGTTATACCATTTTGCATTATTCACTGTTGACAGGGGATTTTTGAATTATTTAGTTTTTTCCTAACACAATGATATGAATGCATAGTTCTGATAAATGCTGGTTAATTTTATCGAATGTTTTGATGATCTTCATAAAGTCAGGTGGATTTTCTGTTGATAGATGTGGACAAATTAGATCCATTTTGAAATCTGTGGTCAGGTGTGGCTTTAATTCATCAAATACTGTTGCAGGTGCAAAAACCTGAATGGAACTATTAGCAGATCTTGATCGTAAATCATGTATAGTATTAGACAATTCGTTCAGTGAAGAACTTCCAAAATCAATTACTTTAATTCTGTTAGACGTTACCAAATATCTAGGTGGCATATATGTTTTATAAAATACTAAATAATGGTCTGTGGGTTGTTTGGAAATTGCTACTTCATCGTTGGCTTCCAGGAGGGATGGAACAATGCCACCTTGATGCAAATATCCGTAGAATAATGTCATGAGCACATTGAAGACGATCCAAACACTCCATAACAACTTTCTTCCCTTCTTTGTTCCGAGAATTCCTGAAACTAGGACACAACCTACAGGAACAATTGGAATTAAAAATCTTGGTTCTTGATGTACAAAAATAGATAATAACAAAACAGGGGATATAAACACGATTGCCAGATACACAATCCTTATATCTGTCTTAAATTTCTCTCGAACAGCCGATAAAATCATGGAAATCACAGTGTAAAATATCGGCAGAATCAGAGGTCCTATTAATAATGGAAGATTCACCAAGATGTGCAGAAATCGGGAATGAAGTCCGTGTTTGGCTAAATTCTCACTTTTGGTATTGTATAACAGGAAATTGTACGGTGCAATGATTAAAGTAAAAAATAAATCTTTAAAACAATGGAACATCTGAATGAAATCATTGTTCATACATAATGATGACTCAGAAAAAATGTTTTTAATTGTATCCGGTCGATAATACTGCGTATCAACACCAACAAAGAAAGTGCAGGCAATTAGGACACCTAGTACTCCCATAATCGTAATTTTTAAAAGATGGTTGACGACAAATGGAAACGACATTGGCTTGATGAGTATTAAAAACCATAATGCTGCAGGTAAGAGAAGAAATAACAAGTATGTGGGTCTATTAAATATACCAACAGTTGTTAAGATTCCCATGAAAAAAACAGAACATTCTGATAATGGTTTCAAATGTGGATTTTGATCATTTTTGGATTTGCTTTCCTTACGTTTATTTTCTGGCACCACTGTGATTTTTAGAAGTACAATAAAAAATACGGCCAAGAGAACTGATTCCAATGAATTTGAAAAAGTTCTGGTCATGTACACGAGAGTAATGTACGAACTGGCATATATTTTCATTGCCAGGTTGGAATCGAACTCAAATGTTTTACTCATGACATGTACAGAATAATCAGTAATTAGAGACAGTACTGTCATCCAGATTCGTGGTAGTACCAACAGCCAATAGGAAGTGATGTTGATGTATGAATTGTCTTGGAGGTATTTTAACGCAACAAAAGGCAGTCCACCAATGATATATGGAAAAGAAATACTCCTCAGTGGCATGGTTGAATTAAACTCCCAAGCTCTAAATACATCTGTGTTCAGAATATCACCTAAAATTAGAAAATAATTTAGAATCTAAGCTGTCATAAATATCTGTGTTCAGAAAATCACTTGAAAGTAAATAAAATGAAATAGGGTTTAATGTCCTACTTAGTTGCAGCAACCAGCCTAATGAATGAAATGGGGTTTAATGTCCTACTTAGCTGCAGCAACCAGCCTAATGAATGAAATGGGGTTTAAATGTCCTACTACTGACTGGGCTAACGAAGATGGGCATGTGTCCTACAGTGTGCTACGGCTTACTCTTATATCGTATTCAAACTATCAAGGGTCCTTGATGGCGAGGCCCAAGATATATGACAGGAGGGTACCTGTCAGTGTGGTCTGTCGCAGCTGGCTCTATCTACATGTAGGGAAAGCAAGATCTTATTTTCTCACTGAAATGTCTTTACAGGCATTCACAGGGACTGACATGCCACCGTTTAGATGTAAAAAAAAATGCCCAATAAAATATATATGCAGGAAAGTATAAAAGTTTTGACAATTAAGACATGAAGCCAATACAACAGGCAGGTTCCTGAACGTACCGGTCGAGTATCGAGGATAAGAAGACTTATGTTCAGAACTAAACTAACGCAGAACATGGCCTTCAAGGTAATGTCACCATATAACAGTTTGGCATTTTCCCTTAGCCTTAGGCTTAACACTATTTGAAATTTCACTTCAGTTCAGCTTGCGTTAAAATTACGGTCCCCTAATAAATAAACTGATGACAAACAAACTGTGAAAATTAGTTCACCTGCTGCAATTTCGATAGTCTGAAAAAATTCATCAGGGTGGATATAACCAATCTGGGGTGAAAGCACCAACAGAAACCTCAAAATAATTAAAACAATTAACAAATTCCCCATGATTTCAGTCTGTGAAGAGGTTTAATTTTTTTCGGTGTGGTTGTTTACTTTATTTATTATTCAGAGTTATCCTCCGAGAATAGGGTCTACTCTCCAAACCGAACGGGCCGTGAACATTGGCAACACCATTCTTTTGGCTGTATTTCATTTTGAAGAGGTGTTTACAATATAATTTCTAGCATAAGCTAAAGTTTGCCTTTATTTCAAACCTCCTTGGGTTTTTCTTTTCTAAATAACCAAACAAGAATTTGAAACAGACACGTTGATTTGAGAGTATATATAGATGGCGTTGTTTTCTAATCTCACACAATAAAGCAAAAGTAAGAATCGCGAAAGTACAATTTGGCTGAAAGTGAATAATTAAAGATGTCCAAGTCGCTGAATTTGCGCAGTAAGGGCCAAACAGCGTCAGTTCAAATAAGCACATATAGAGATCAACACTTTAAGGTAAATATAATGGATGAAAAGACGTATGGGTATGGGATTAGCTACGAGAAGGTCGCTAAAAACCAAATAAAAACGTTGAGATATTTTTGATGAGTGATGCCATAGTAATTAGTATAGTTTCACCTGGCAATCTTAATTTCTTTATAAATGCATGTAACATCTTAAAAATAAGATAATTTTATACTATTGGGACTTATTAAACATAACCGTTCCAATGTTGCGACACAGCTTTTGCATAACTGCCAATATTATCGGTTAATAAGTTAATCAAACAGTGTAGCTACTGCCACCGGTACTACTGTACGTGCGTCGAATTACCCAATAACACCCAATAACTGCCCAATAACACCCAATAACTCCAAAATAACACCCAATAACACCAAAATAACAACCAATAACTACAAAATGTTGACTTTGGAAACACAAAATAACAATTTAGTTGAATCTAAGAAGCATCGCTGCTTTGTGTCCAAATCGGAGTTTCACGCTCACTCGTCTAAAGGGAGATAACTCGTATATGTGATTTTTGTTGACAAGAAATTAATAACACCCAATAACTGCCCAATAACACCCAATAACTGCCCAATAACACCAAATTGTTGACTTCGGAAATACAAAATAACAATTTAGTTGAATTTAAAAGCCTCGCAACATTGAGCCCAAATCAGAGTTTTACGCTCACTCTCCTGATTTTTGTTTACAAGAAATTAATGTATGCTTTCGTTGCAATTCGTTTTAATTATACATGGGCATCAAATATGGAATAACTATTTCAACCCCTCCATTGGTATCGTCAGGCGGTTGCAATAACAAAACGTTATTAGAGATGTCCCCGCTATAGTTTTTCATGAAATACAAATGAACTTCCAATAATTTAGCGCAAAAATGCGCTACCCGACGACATAACGATTAGTCTGTAAAGAAATTCTAATTAACTGCCAAACATTCTACGCACAAAGGCGCTACCTGACGAGATAACGAGATACTTGGCTGTTAATTTTAATTGCTTTACAAACCAATATTTTATTAAAACATACACATATTTAAAAATGTTTCATATGAAAATATTATAAAGATAATAAAATAATTAGTCTGTAAAGAAATTCTAATTAACTGCCAAACATTCTACGCACAAGGGCGCTACCTGACGAGGGCCAGGGTACCAAAAGATAGAGCGCCTCTAGTATTCCAAATTCCAACATAAAACCCTTTAAAATACATGATAATGAAAGAGACAAAAGGCTGATTATTCACAATTCTCGTATCATGAGCAATTCATCTCATAAAAAATTATTTTTAATTTGACCTTCAATACACCGATCTTCATCAAGAAAATAGAATAAGCTTTTTGAACGAGACAGTAGATTTAGAGACACGATTCTTGCAAGAGCTCATATTCAGGAGCAAGTGTTGACGAGGCACTATAATGAGACTATAATCGAGCGAAACAATAAATTCAGGTAATATTTTCACAATATCTATTTCGTCCATAGTCGATTGTTCGGAGAATTCTCAGACATTGTGGACCTAATCCAGGTTTTCAGATGTCGCAAGGTTGAAAACATTCATCATTAGGGCATGGGTATACATGTATACCCCAGAAAAGGGCAGGGTACCATTTGTATACCCTGGTACCCGGGTTCCGGTGCCCCTGCTTTCGTTGCAATGTAATGTATTGTAATTAGATATTGATTAATAGTTTATTAAAACAGTAATTATATGCATGAAACATATTATGGTAGATTATAGTGCAATAAACAATTTAATATTATAGCTATATTTATTTATTTATTTATAATTGCAAATTGTGTCGATTGTAACTTTCGGTCATCGACATCGTAACTTGTTTTGAAATAAATAAATTCTCATTCTCATGTTATCATAGTTTATTATGTTTGTTGGATGTGTGATTGTATGTGATTTGTTACCTTTTACAATGACAATTAACTAGTGAACGTTATCTATAGTATAGGTATACTATTTATGGCAGTGTATACAGGCGGATTGATAATCATAGCCGGCGTTTTGTAGTATCTACTTTCTCACAATCTGAATGGCACCAACGTTGACATACTTCACAATATAAGCTTTGAATATCGCGAGTTTCTTTCAAACATGATCCGCAAGGATACTCAACTTGGGGATTTTTCCTATCATGTATAATTAAAACGAATTGCAACGAAAGCAAACATTAATTTCTTGTAAACAAAAATCACATACACAAGTTATCTCCCTTTAGGCGAGTGAGCATAAAACTCTGATTTGGGCTCAACGTTGCAAGGCTTTTAAATTCAACTAAATTGTTATTTTGTATTTCCAAAGTCAACAATTTGGTGTTATTGGGCAGTTATTGAGCAGTTTTTGGGTGTTATTAATTTCTTGTCAACAAAAATCACATATACGAGTTATCTCCCTTCAGGCGAGTGAGCATGAAACTCCGATTTGGACACAAAGCAGCGATGCTTCTTAAATTCAACTAAATTGTTATTTTGTGTTTCCAAAGTCAACATTTTGTAGTTATTGGTTGTTATTTTGGAGTTATTGGGTGTTACTGGGCCGTTATTGGGTGTTGTTGGGCAGTTATTGGGTGTTATTGGACAGTTATTGGGTGTTATTGGGTAATTCGACGCGACCGTGCCTGGTCAGTGGTACATTCAATGATTCATAGTTGCGGTGCATTGCCATTACTCACATGTCTTTAATTGGGCATCTTGATTGGCTGTTCTACAATTTAGCCGTGCCTTCATGACATCAACGTGAGACCTCTTCTGTTCTGAAATGTTGGGCCAAGTTTGTAATGTTTCTATTTAAAAGATGATTTGTACCCGCGGCACAGGGTTATGGACAAAGAGTAGTTCTGCTCTGAACGTAAGTCTCATTACCTCACCCTGTATGTCAGGAACCGACCTATTGAATCCTTGTGGAAAATAAAATCGGCCCCAGTCAATTTTAAGGGCAACTTTTTACTGCTAAACGGTCGGGTGTCAGTCTCTGTGAATGCCTGAACAATGTAAAGGAACATTTTAGTGAGAAAATAAGACCTTGCTTACCTCGCTAGTGTCAGTATGTGCAACACAACATGCTGTTATAAATACGTCCCCTTCTGCTAAACGACTTGTTGGGCTCTACTATTTTTAAAAAAATTAACGACAAAATTTACCCTCAAACATTAAAGCTGAGTGAAGTGGTAGAAGTTGTGTTTTGTCATAAAGAAAATTTACCAATTTATAGAGCCACTTCTTCAATAACTCTGGTCTAAATGGATTACATGTTGTTAGGGCTGTTTCTAAAACCTGGATTAATGTTCAGCTGCTGTTACCTGATCAGAATAGAGGGGTGTGAAGTACTTAATTAGGGATTAGCCAATCAGTTGATTAATTACTCCTCGCCTCTTTTCTTGTAAATATCACTGTCAATAGCCTGTTGATTTTTCCTGCCAATTTTTCTACAAACAACACATTTATTACTAGTTGGAATTAATATTGTTTGGGCATTATGACCAAAATGTTTTGCCGTTATGACCAAAATGTATGGCCATTATATACGGCAGAACGCTGTAATGACCACAACCCTCGTCAGGTAGGATTATATGGTAACACGATTTACCCAAATCCACCCATTATTTCAACTCATATAATAATAATTTATGTCTACATTCATATTTGATTATATATACTGTTCTCTATGCTAAATTGGCATTTTTAATTTAAAATCGTAACGATTCTGTTTCAAAAATGTTCCTAAAAATGCAGTTTCCAAAGCAGCGATTTCGGGGTCTATAGATTTACCCAAAACAACCAGTATTTTGAATAAAACATTTTTATTGTTTTTTCTCTCTTTTTATATGCATGATGAATAATATTCTGTAAACCTTAGGCCCTACTCTTTTTTTTAATAGTTCCGGGAAAAAACCCTGAAATAAATGGGAGATCAAAGCAAGAAAGACTCTCATTGTTTTCGTTTGTCCCTTGGATACATATTTCAAACTTGCTTTGAAATCGAATTTTGAGAGGGAATTTTGACACAAAAACATTACAATTTTAATTTCAAAATGACAATTTAACATAAAGAACAGAACATGTATATTATCAAATATCGATAAATTATTGTGATATGAGTTAAATTATGGTGGAGTTGGTTACAACTTCCGTTGAGTGGATGTTGACCATCAATCTCATTTCTCTCGTTTATTTCTATACACAGGGAAGCCGAAACGATCAAGATCATCTCTTATTATTATCAACTACTCTGTATGTTGGTAATTTATCATTCTACACAACAGAAGAACAGATATTTGATTTATTTAGCCGAGCTGGTGACGTAAAGAGAGTTATAATGGGCCTAGATAAAGTCAGGAAAACACCATGTGGATTCTGCTTTGTTGAGTATCCTTTCAATGTTGACAAGTGATCAAATTTGGACGTGTCAGGTGCCTTTATAATGCAATTTGATTAAAACACAGATCCTATTTCGTTTCATTTTTTTATAGTTCAAAATTTCATTTTACTTGTCTTTTCTACACTAGGATCTGGAGGAGTTGTTATATAACCCGTGTTCAGGATGATGTGAGGGATTAGCCAATGAAACGGTTTGTTACAAAGAGTTTTTAGCACGGTACTATGGGTAACCCACTAGAAACATCACCGCTGATTAGTTAATCAAATGTCTGACATCATAGGGTTAAAAGCCGCTCATATAACCTTTGTACTTTAATCGGATTGTTTATAATGTTGACAAATCATCATCTGTTTGTCATCCATCCGGGGTGGGTGGGGGGTAGCAAGTGTGTTGGATCATCCGGTCTGTCATTGAGCCAAGTGGCACGGTGCCGATTCCCTGACAATGAGTAGACTCATCTGTCCAAACTCATAGATTTTCTCTGGGTATTCCGGTTCCCCCCACAGCTAAAGACCCCCTACTCACAAGCAAATTATTGCAATTAAATGAACCAAAATGACATACTTTGAGTCAAGTGGATGCTATACCGTATTCCTCTCTCTTTCTAAATTTGTCGTCCATCCACAATTTCTTGGAGTCTACAGGGATTTTGACAGACATCTTTCAGCTTTGCGGGGATGTTCAGTGGATCATATAAAAGGAAAAGCATTTAAAGTCCTCATGCTCCATTTGCATTTTCACTAAAATATCAAGTTTCTCACGGCTTAATACGCGATAAATACAAGGATGTAGCCAAGCCGGACGGCACTTTTTTTTGCCACTCAACACAAAGAAATAATCGAAGAAAGCCGCCCAGCCGTATTTAAACCCCTTCGTCCTTCTCTGTACACAAACTCAGCGCTCTGAATTTACCACGGCAAACGGCAAAGCCATGGTAAAAGCTGATGCAGACCATGTCTACCACGGCATAATTTATTTCTGTGTGCCGTAGTAGACCCTATCATCCCAAATTAGTTTAAAGAAAGAAGTATTGGTATTTTGTTTATTTATATTTTGAAGTTGTTTAGGTCTATTCATTTTACAGTTCTACGGTCTTTAAATTTGTATATTTGCCGTAAATGGGGCACCCAGACCAATGTTAAAGGTTTGGATGTCGTAAATGGTGTTGTAATTCGTGAGACACAAAAAAAACGTGTTTTAATTATCAATATCTACCTATTGTCATAATTCGTTGTACTCAAATAAAACACAAACACCATTTTAAGAATCGTATTAATTTTTAATCTCAAAGTAATCAATTTTAATTATGGTCACAAATTAGTAATAATTAATTAGCTCTTAAGTAGCATTAGTACAGCATTTCATGCTCTTAAGCAGTCATTTTGTGCAGTTAAACTCATAGAAATGTTGTTAGAAAGAAAAATAATCACGGACAAGACAATTTAATCAAATCCACTCAAACGTCATTTTGTGACTTAAAATTTGACCTTTGACCCTTGTCACCTTTGAACCACTCTTAAGCAAGGTTTGTTCAACTTTTGTCACTCTTAAGTGATATTTTTGGTTTCCTGATTTGGTTAGCTAGCTTTTAGGCTTTGTTTCAGTTATGGACTCTAAATTTTAATTATGGTCATTCATTAGTGACCTTTGACCTTAAGCAAAGTTTGTTCAACTTTTGTCGCTCTTAAGTGATATTTTTGGTTTCATGACTTGGTTAGCTAGCTTTTAGGCTTTGTTTCAGTTATGAACTTTAAATTTTAATTACGGTCACTAATTAGTGCTAATTAATTAAGCTCTTAAGTAGCATTAGCACAACATTGTATGCTCTTAAGTCATGCATTCTGTTTCTTAGTGTTATGTGTGAAACGCTTGCAAAAAAAATGTAGATGGACATTGAATTTTAACTCCCATTAAATATGGGAGGGTTAGGGGGAGTGCTCCCTGGTATATGCACAGGTTACAAAACTTAAGACTTGGCTTTCCAAAATGATCTAGGGGTAAAATATGTGTTGTAGACCTCAAACCTTTTGGACTCAATATTTTGATTAAATCTCACTGGGATCCCAGACTAATCTGATTAAATTTATTCCATACATTTCCGTTTATGTGTCAGACCCTCTAAACACTTTTAAGTTTTTTGATTATGCTTGATTGGCGCATGACATCACAGGGACTGCACGTCTTATCACTGTATACACACGAGGTGTTGATCGATGGCGCACTTCAATTAACCTGCAACAAACTAAACTTACCCAATCAACAATCTTAATCTCCTGACAACTAAAGTGTTAATTTGATTGATGAGATTAATAGAAGTTATTCTCATAAAAGTTATAATAAACAAAATGTAGATTACTAATGTATGGAAGTTAATGGACTATTCTCATTTTGATTTGTTCTAAATTATAGCACTGCTAGAGAAAATGTGAATATGTGTTGTTGATGTTTCGTTACGAAAAGAGTGCATTGCATGAGATAAATACGGATAAAACATATATTATTGTAGGTATAAAGTGAACTTACTCTAATATATTCTGATCAAATTGATACAGGATGATGGCTACAGGGACTGTCTTGGTTATGGCATTTATAAAACAAATTCCAAAGTTGAATTGCTCTTTTAAGCTGTGCCAATTTTTCGATTATTTCATATAAAAAAAATAAATTCTGTAGTTACAGGTTTTGTTTTATTAGGGGATTAAGTAATCAGTCAACCGTTAACGAATACACATCCCGAATTAACATTTCTAATATGCATTCGGTCACTGTGACTTCACTGGCGTTTGAGGAGAGTGTTTTCGATAATTGGCACATTCGTTTATTCACGACTTTGAGTGGGGATGGCTCATTGTGTATATAGTAACAACTGGCTATAAGTACATAGAATTCCCTTTGGCCATTTTATGAGCTCTTTAAATTTTTATTTTTGTTAACTTGTAAGATATTATTCACGAGAAGATGCAGAGAATGCTATAAGATACGTTAATGGTACGAGACTGGACGACAGAATTATAAGAACTGACTGGGATGCTGGATTTAAGGAAGGAAGACAATATGGTCGAGGCAAAAGTGGAGGGCAGGTAGGAGGTTATTTTATCTAAAGGGGGGGGGGGGGAGTTGAATGGCCGAATGGTTAGCATCCATGTGCGTGCTGTATCATAAGGTCTGTCATTGAGTCAACTGGCGTGGTTTTGATTCGCCAGTTGTCCAACCTTGTGTGTTTTCTCCAGGTCTTCCGGTTTCCTCCCACTGCTATAGACTCCTACGCGCAAGTGAATTATTGAATGCTTTGATGGAGTTCGATGATAAACATTGTCTGCTTAAGGTAAGCAGAGATAAGCAATCTGATTGGTTGATGCTTTGGGGCCCGATAACTTTGGTTTTAATTAGTGAGAGTGATGAAACTCCGAGTATAGATTCATAATATCATTACCGTGACTAAGTTCGATGATGAGAATTTTCTGCTTAGGCTAAGGAGCGATAAGCAATTTGATTGGTCAACACTTTGGAACATAACAACTCTGCTTTTAATTAAGGTAGAATGTTTAAACTTGATGTAGATGTTCATTAGGTGAATGTCTTGACTGAGTTCAATGATTAACATTTCGAGCTAAAGCTAAGCAGAGCTACATGTAAGCAATTTCATTAGTTGATGCTTTGTGACAAGATAACTTGATTCTATCTGATAGATATTGATGAAGCTTAGTACATGTATATAGTTGATAATCAGTTTGAATGCTTGATACTTTTGAAAAAAATAAATGTGCGATTAATTAATGTGTCATCTATTTATTTTGGGATTTCGATGGGGGACATTATTTTGTGAGGTTCAATACCCAACACAAGCATTATTTTGTGAGGTTAAATACCCCAGAACAGCATTATCTTATGAGGTTAAATACCCCCAAACCAGCATGAGACCAGAAAACGAAATGAAAGGAAATGGGGTTTACGTCTTACTGTTCTGCTCCGACTAGGCTAATGAAGATGGAAATTTTGCTCTGGCATCGGCACTATGGCCTACTCTTATATCGAATTCCAACTCCCAAGGGATCTTTTACGTGCATGCCAATGTATACGCGGGACCTCGTTTTTTTGTCCCACCCGAATGACTAGACAGCTGTCCTTGTCAGGCCCTCCGTACTGACAAGGGAAAGCCTTGTAGGAAAATCCAGATGAACTATTTTGGCCAATGCAGGGATCGAACACACCACCTCCAGGCTAGCGAGCCAGTGTCTTACCCACTTAGCTGCCGTGGCTCCCTGACCAGAAAACGAGCATGACGTTATCACAACTATCTTGGAATGTGATGTCCTCTCAAAAATCAAAGTCCGTCAATTGATGTGCAATTATCCAAGCTACAAGTTTGTTTAGTTTCATATCGATCATATACTTGAATAGACAGAGCCTAAGGCTTTATTCAAAGGGCATCCCTCCCTCCGACGCACCCCCGCCACATATTAACACCGAGATCCACTTGGAGGAGCACTTGGAGTGGGAGTTGCAGTGGCTCGGTATGTAACATGTTGTGTCATTAACTAAAAACAGAAGTCCCTTGCTCACATTGGCCGTTGTCCAGGCAAATTTTCTCCCATAGCACAATGTATGGCATATGCCCAATTGAATAAGCCCACAACCGTATGATGTTAAAACCCGTGTCATTTAAGCACTGGGACTCCAATTCCTGGTCCAAGAAGAAGTCATCGTCATATTTTCTAAACTCTTGATTGTTTCATCTGCTGTTATGTTTTACAGGTTCGTGATGAATACAGATCAGATTTTGATGAAGGAAGAGGAGGATACGGCAAGATCGTTTCAAATAAAATACGTACTCGAGATACGTGAAATTGGAAGATTCTGTATTATCAGTGTAAGACAGGATCGTGTTGAAGACATTTTAAAAATTCATTCATCGTGGACATGTGTTATTTGTGTATTTGTCATTGGTTCACATCAGGGCTCAGGTTTTAATCATGTTTGCCAGTCTTGACTGTTCGGCTGGAATATTTGTTTAATTTGTCTGTCAGTCTATTTAAATGTCATAAATTTATTTATTTTAAAGAATTGATGTTTAAATCACAATACACTATAACTCTGGTATCATTTAGTTGTACTGTTTTAGCAGGAGTTTCTGTTTTTATACGCCCACATTTTCATGTGGACGTATATAGTCGTCGCCACAATTTGTTTGTGGACAATCTACATGTCACAATTTTTATCCGATTTTGATGAAACTTGAAATATGGGTTTTTCTTGCAAAGATATTGGCATGTATCGGACAGCAGATTCATCGATTATGTCCCCTGATTGTACAAAAAAATCATGTTTTTAGCTTGTGGACACTCTGAGGTCACAATATTGATCTGATTAAGATGAAAGTTGAAATGTATGTTTTTAACCCAAAGATATTGGTTCTTTTCGATATTAGCGCATATCGGACTATAACTTCCTGGATTATGGCCCCTGATTGTACGAAAAATCATGTTTCTAGCTTGTGGACCCTATAGAGGTCACAGTTTTTATCCGATTTAAAATACCCTTCAAATATATCATCGTAACACCATAATGATGATTGAGTTCGAATTTTGTGAAAATCTGACCGAAACTGCTGGACAAAATGTCCGCGTATTGTACGCTGATAGTGTTTAAATAACATCAAATTAACATCAACCCATATTTAATTGAAACAGGTTTAATAAATATCAACATATAATATTAACAATTATATAAATAACATATTTAATAACAATAACATCTCTGGCAATAAGGGGGTACAGGAGTCCACTCATGGTCGAACCGAGCTGGGGCAACGCATGGCTAGACAGTAGAAATTTTTTGTTGCGAAACTGAAAAGTCAGCACCTGAGAGGAGCTGAAGGCCATGAGTCTGAGGCAGTTGTAAGTAGAACAACTGCGGAATCTGAGTAGGAGTAGTTCTCCTGTGAGAGTGACCTCTTTCACAATACATGATAACGCCAAGCAATATGAAAGTCAAGAAGTAAAAGTCGAGATGATCTACCACTGCTTCAGTGTAGCAGACGACAGGAACGAGAACGAAGCCAGAAATACGAACGAGTCTCTCGTGCCCTAATTGATAAAACTATGTAAGTACTAAGTGGTAACTCTACTATCCTTAGACATCATGAAGAGTAGACTGGGTCCTTAATTTGGTTATTTAAAATATAGTTAATAATAACTCAAACTTAAAGTATGTAATATCAAGGTTGTGGACCCTCTATAGAGGATCCGATTTTGATGAAACATAAAATATATGTTAAGATCTGAAAGATCTTGGTTCCTTTCAATATTCACACATATTGGTCATTGGACCGTAACTTCCTGGATCATGGCCCCTGATTGTAGGAAAATCGTGTTTTTAGTGTGTGAACCCTCTAGATGTCACAATTTTTATTCGATTTAAAAAAAACCATTTAATCGAACTGAAACTGCCTGATAAAATGGCCACTTCTTGTACGCAAATAGTGTAAAAGTATGTAATACCAAGTTTGTGGACCCGCTAGAGTTCACAATTTTTATCTGATTTTGATGAAACTTAAAAATATGTTTATATCCCGAAGATCTCGGTTCCTGTAGATATTCACACATATCAGACTGTAACTTTGTGGATTATGGACCCTGATTGTACAAAAAATCGCTTCTCTTTTTGAGCTTGTTCTCCGTCTGTCTCTTGCAATATGTGATCATATCTTGCATGGCAACCGCTTGTTAAACAACAGTAGGAACCCAATATTTTTTTATGAATATAAACGAATCTGAACAATTTGCTAACAGTGGTTTGAAACTAAACATTAGATACAGAAACTTCCAGTAAAACACACATCTACATGATACCCAAGTTATATTTAAGATGATAGTAATTGGCATTCTTTGAAACAAAATGTACCATAAATCTGATGTGAGAATTTGGCCAATAATTTGGCAATGAAAGCCCAAGTTCACACATTTTATCCCCATACAAACATTCATTTAAAATCTCAATAAAAGGAAATTTTATTAATACATGTATCTTTGTGTGATTTTTTTGGTGTGACGTTTTAAGCATCAACATTTTTATTTTCCCATGTTTTCATATGTTGTCGTTGCACCTGTCTGTCCAACAACAAATGGTTAGCACATACTCGCTATATCATAAGGTCTGTCATTGGGTCAACAGGTCACGATTTTTATCCGATAAGGTTATTTTATCTAATGGGGGGTTGGATAGCTCAATGGTTAGCACATGCGTGCTGTATCATAAGATCTATCATTGAGTCAACTGGCATGGTTTCGATTCTTTGGTTGTACGTGACAAATAATAGGGTCGACTGTGCCACCTCGTGGCTTTTCTCTGGGTCCTCCGGTTTCCTCCCACTGCCAAAGTCCCCTATGGGCAATTGAATTATTGAAATAAATTGGTTTGAAATAAACGGCCAGACAAAATGGCCCTCCTTGTACACAAATAGTGTAAAAGTATGCAATACCAAGATTGTGGATAGCATAGAAGTCACAATTGTTATCAGATTTTGATGAAACTTAAATTATACTCTTCAAAAAACGTAGGGGATATTGAAATGCAAATACCTATGCAGGTTGTGATCTGATAAATAGTCATGGACACTTGACATGCTTTGAGAGTGTGTTCACAGATGAAGAACTTATTGCCCCAACAGAACCACTGGGCTGCACTTGCAACACACAATAGCGCCATACATGTGGGAGGGGTTCATTGTCAAATTTGACACTTCAAGGAAGGGTTGATGAAAACTGCCGCGTGCTGGTTTATCTATCCATGTTTGCTTTCCTATCAGTTTTTGCGTAAGATTTACTGTTTAGCGTATCTTTGATTTAGTGTGTTACGTTTAATTTGATCGGGAGACGTGTTCGTCAACATCAACCGACAACACTGCAAGAATTGGCCGTGGCACTGCAAGAGAAGAGTGTCAGATTGCCTCAAATCGTGATTGGACGGTTGATTAGGAGCATGCCACGACGAATTGCTGAATGTCTGAGGATTGGTGGAGCAATTACCCATTATAAAGATAAAAATCAAAAATGTCCATTTTCACTTTTGATGGTGTATCTCTTTGCGGGTGAAATGGGGCCGTCAGATAAGCCGCCCATATGAACTGTTTATGTTCATGTGTAGGCAATTGGCTGGTTATTAACATACACTGGTTATCTCTAATAAAAACAGCAGTGCATTTCCGCAGTTTTGTATTGTTTCTGAATATCCCCTACTTTTTTTGAAGAGTATACATGTATCTGTTTATGTCCCAGAGATCTCGGTTCTTTTCGCTATTTGCGCATACCAGACCCTAACTTTTGGGTTTATGGCCCCTGATTGTACAATAAATCATGTTTTTTTGCTTACATATATTATATTACCATTCCACCACAATGAAGGTTGAATTCGAATTTCGAGAAAATCGAAATGAAACTGTTTTGTGTTTCTGGATCAAAGATGTTTCTCATAAACAGTGATTGAAAGTTGAGTAAATTCTTAACTTAAGGATACATTATAGGAGATTAGAAAAAGAGCTGGCAGTTTTCACTATAATAGTTAAAAACTAGATAATGTAAAGGGAATTCGCTGAAAGTTTCAGTCAATTTAATCCACTCTGAACCGAGAATTTAGCTATTGAATTTTAAGCCTAGCCTCGATCATCATTACTAAAGTCGGTACGATAAAAAATATAATCTCAATTATCCATTTTTTGATTTAATCATCGAATATCTGGTTTTAATCCAGTAAATATCGCAGGCTAGCGATGACATCGAGAGTGGATTATGGTCTGGATAAGTTAATTATAGACAGATTTAGCTCTGGCATAATGTATAGTCTGAGAATGCTTTGTGATTTCAGGGCCAGTTATATTGCCATGTCGCAGTTGGCTGTCCCAATAGACATGGATGTGGATAGGTATTTCATATATTTCCACGTAGAAGAGTTTATGGAGATAAACATACATTTTCCAAACAAAAAGTATAGCTGAACATTATTAAAAACGCACATAATCATTATATAACCTAATTCTATAAGAAAAGTCAAAATTAAAGATACACCAGATAAACACGCTATTAAAGATATTTAACTTGCATATGATTTTAAAAATAAGATTTTTTTTTATGCAGACGGGTAAATTGAAAAAAAAAAAAAAATAGAATAATATGTTGGGGGGGGAAAAAAACCTTTTGCCTTTTCGACTAATCAGAATCGAGGAAATTTCTGATTTGTGCTACAATATATGTTATGGGTGATATTAAACCGAACATTCCCAAACAATGGTCTACAATTTTAACTTATTAATTCTCAAACAAGGTGTACTCAGAATAGTCAAGCAATAACGGGGCATCTGTATACAAAGTCTCCGGATACGGTTATAGAATGAAATATTCCAATTTATGGTCTTAAAAAAAAGCGAAAACGAATACAAAATCATAAACAACCAGGATGGTTTAATTCAGAAATCAATAACGCTCGAAAAACGAGAAAAAATGATCATAACTACAATCTATGGCGAAACAAAACCAAAAATTTAATAAGTTCTAAGTCTAAATATATCAAAACTGCCATTCAAAAAACCTAACAATTTTTGTTTCTTTTCATTCATATGGTGTTTACTACCAGCCCTAAAATACATTAGTATCTGTTTTATAAAAATGTCTTGAAAAAATACTTTAAAAGGCCTGTAATCGTTCATGGTTCATCTGGCGCCGACGGGAATTGGCTTCCGCAGTTGTCCACGAGATTCCATTGGAGTATCGACGTGCTCAATGAAATGATCTAAACAAAACATATCCATTACTCTCAAATAGACATTATTTTAAATAAAATAATCCAAACAAAAATGAAAAATTCACCTAAAAGTGAGATTCGAACCACCAACCGCATGATTGACCCCGACCCACCCCCTCACCGAGTTGCTTATCCACTTATATACACTTATATACAATACCACATGGTACAAATGATGGCTATGGATATGATGAAAACGTATACAAGTCAAAAAATTTATTTCTCTAATTAAATTTGCAAAACAATGTACCACAAAAGCTTATTTTCAGCACTTTTCAATAAGCTCTATATTTTAAGTATGTTGCATTCCGGTCAATATTCTTACACCTATTCATAATACTATGTGCTTAGCTCTTCAAAACCATCCGAAGAAATTCTGCTTGCGACCATGAAAGAAAAAGTTACAATGTATATTTTTCTGTACTGCACTGACAATGTGAATATGGTGCCCTAAAAGAATTTCCCAAAAAATTGGTAGGGACTGATTTGTTTTTTTCAAATTGCACCATAGAATGCAACCTGGGAGATAAATACACATGTAAAAACCAAAATTCTACCCAGAAAATGACTATTTCCAGTACAGTCCTTTATAACGACATCAGGTTGTAAACACTTCAGCATGTCACTTCTTGGCCCTAGGGGGTGTCATACCATAAGTCTGATCAAAAACTTCCGCCCCCCCCCCCCATCCTAGCACCTATTGCGATTTTTGCCTGGTCTTCTCGCGGACAACTCTTAAATATCGTATAGCCCTTAAAGATAAATATATTCACTTTTAACTGCCTCAACAATCCAAATTCACCAGCCTGTCCCACGGAACTTATACATCCACACAAACCTTCCGGAAAGCTCAGATCATCAACACAAAATAAATTAATCTACCCCACGACCAGAACTCGTTTTGATGAACGAGCGTTTTAAGTACGGTACACATCTCCTTGTGAATGGAACAAACTGCCTTATGATGTAAAAGAACGCTCTAATATATCAGTTTTTAAATATAGATTAAAAACACATTTCTTCAGACGTGCATCGTTTGTAACTTACAATTAGTTTATACGTAAATGTGGATTCTGTGATAAATTTATCTCTATATTCGTTTACAAACTTATGAACAATAATAGGAAGTGGAAGCACCACAGAGCAGTATTACACATAGTCCGGTGGGTGAAGGTGGGGGTAATCGCCACCCGAGCTGTAAATTTACGAGACCATCTTTTTCTAGACCAGTTTTTTTGCGCAGATTCCGAATCTGGGTGGTGATCAGGCGTTTTCGGGGGCGTTTTCCAGATATGGGGGGGGGGGGTGTCCAATGTCTACAATTGGGGAAAATGTGATTATGTTGACATAAATGGTATAAATGATGATCATGTTATATATTAATAAAACATAAATTTCTAGAAATAACCATCTTTAAATAAGTGTTTGTGATGCCAATGGACAGCTGTTTTCTTTAGAGATGCACGGTCCTAGAAATTTATGTTTTATTAATATATAACATGATCATCATTTATTTATTTCCCCCGATTGTAGACAGTGGTCACCCTATATCTCGAACACGCCCCCTCAAACGCCTGATCACCACCCAGATTCAGAATCTACGAAAAAAAACAGGTGTAGAAAACTTGGTCTCATCATAAATTCACAGCTCGGGTGGCGATTCTCCCCCTTCAGCCACCGGACTAACACTAATATTATTTATTTAAATTGATATATGCTATAGTTTTTAACTAACTCCTTCCAAATTTGATGGGAATCATTGGGGGTCCTAATGAGAGGTCAAACCGTATGAACATCCAGCGTTCTTATATATTTCGTTCCAAAGTTATCCCCCTTTGGCCAAATCCGTGTGAGCTCGATAGTTTTTAACAGATAGGCCTACTCTTAAGTTTAGAAAGAAAGCATTGGGGTCATGAGAAGACGAACCCTGTCTATATTCAGCGTTATTCGACATCCCCCGCCACCCTTCCTTTGCATTGCCGAAAACCTTATGACCCTTTATAAAAGGCTACATATGGTTTTCAAATTTAGCGTGGAGCTATGGATATTCATATGGAGTTAAGCGATTGGTGTCAATGTTAACTCAGATGATATGAAATGGGGTGTAATTACGCCCGACTATTCTGTACCGACTGGGCTTATGCAGACGGGAGTTACGGCCGGCCTAGATCATATTTCTAATTCCAACTGATAGAAAACACACACAGAGCCTCCATCATTTTTATACGCCCACATTCTCATATGGACGTATATTGTCGTCGCCCATGTCCGTCCGTCCGTCCACAATTGTTTGTGAACACTCTACAGGTCAAAAATCTTATCCGATTTCAATGAAACTTGAAATATAGGTTAATCATCCTAAGATATCGGTTCCTTTCGATATTGGCATGTATCGGACTGTAACTTCATGGATTATGGTCCCTGATTGTACTAAAAGTCACGTTTTTAGCTTGTGAACACTGCAGAGGTTACAATTTTTATCCGATTTGTCGGTTTATAATCCACAGATCTGGAGGTTACAATCTTCATCTGATTTTGATTAAATCTGAAATGCATGTTTATAACCCAAATATCTTGGCTCCTTTCCATTTTCGTAACTTCCTGAATTATGGCCCCTGATTTAACGAAAAATCGCGTTTTTAGCTTGTGGTAGAGGTCACAATTATTATCCGATTTAAAACAAACGTTCAAATATATCACCGTTACACCGTAATGTTTGTTGAGTTCGAATTTCGTGAAAATCGGGCCAAAACTACCGGACAAAATGGCCGTCCCTCGTACGCAAATAGTGTAAACATCTGGTAATCAAGGTTGTGGACCCTCTAGAGGTCACAATTTTGATCGGATTTCGATGAAACTTGAAATACATGTTTATAACCCAAAGATATTGGCTCCTGTCGATATTCGCGCATATCGGATCGTAGCTTCCTGAGTTATGGCCCTTGATTGAACAAAAAATCACGTTTTTAGCTTGTGGTTCCTGTAGAGGTCACAATTTTTATCCGATTAAAAAAACCACGTGTGAATATATCACCATTACACACTAAGATCTTGGTTCCTTTTGATAATCGCGGATACCCGAACTTAACTACCTGGATTATGGCCCCTGATTGTTCGAAAAATCGCATTTTTAGCTTGCTGATTCTCTAGAGGTCACAATTTTTTTCCGATTTTAAAAACCGTTTAAATACATCACCATTCCACCATAATGAAGGTGAATTCTAATTTCGGGAAAATCGAAATGAAACTGCTTATAAAATGGCCGCTCTTTGTACGCAAATTGTGTAGAAGTGTGTAATACGAAGTTTGTGGACCCTCTAGAGGTCACAATTTTTATCCGATTTTGATGAAACTTAAAACATACCTTTATATCCCAAAGATATTTGCACTTTTGATATTTGCATATTTCAGACCATAACTTTCTGGATTATTGCCCTGATTGTACAAAAAATCGCGTTTGCTTTTAGCCTGTTCATTATCCATCTCTTGCAAAATGTGGGCATTCTGCCTGGCAGCCGCTGGTCTTAGTATACAACACATCTAAATTGACTCCCCCATATTGCAAATATAGGAATGTCAATTAATCTGACATATCAAATAATTATTTTAATATCGTCCGTATTCTAATTGATGTAATTATCAAAGATAACACTGGGAGATTTTAATATACTAGACAATTACACGGCAATTTAAAAAGCTATCTATTAAATGCTAAGGGGTGAGGTGACCAAATGGTTTAGTTTTCTGGATCTGCAGTTTGAGTTTGAGAACTGAATCCAACACAAATTAAAAATATGAACATAATTCCATCACGCAAAATGAAGTGCTGCACACATATATCCCCCCCCCCCCACACACACACCGGCTCGAACTCCTATGTTTTTCTCTGTCCGTTATATGTTACAGTTCAACTATCGAACAATTAATAATACAAAGAACAAAGATACAGAATATAGCCCTAATTACCCTTATTAATATCAAATTACTTGATTACCACGTAAGCTTATTTGGTGTATTTAACGTGTGATGAAATTTAGGCTTTTCATTTGAAACTGGACTTCCGAACAGACATGTCGACTCTATTTATTATTCTGTGGATGCTTCTACCATTCTATACGGAATCTATAGTATTTCCAGGACAAGGTAAACCATTTATTATCATTATATCATTCTATACGGTATCCATAGTAATCCCTAGACAAGGTAAACTATTTATTATTATTATACCATTCTATACGGAATCTATATTATTCCCTGGACAAGGTAAAACCCATTTATTGTTTTTTAGAATCCGATATTACTGCAGACGGGGCCCAGGACTGTATAATGAAATGTGCATAATAATTACTTCTCGCTCGGAATGTAACTTGTCGGTATAAGTCTAACGTTAGGTTACTAAACTTCTGGAAGATAGAAACTGCTACTTCTAGATCAGCAGCCCAGAGCATATTGGTCAAACGAACAAGGTATCAATAGCCAAGTACCGTAACATTTACTGTGTAACCTAACATATTCAGATATGGATGTCTGCCGGGGCCTGGTTGCTGCGTGCAGCCCTTGGAGCCCTAAACAAGGTTCCCAAAAAGTAAAGACTTGTCATGAAATCTAAGAATAATAAGAACCAGGCCTGAAATTTGAGAATAATAAAACCGGATTTGAAACCGGATTTTTTTTGCGTTTGTCGCACGTTTGGTTTGTTTTTTTGAATAACGTTTCAAATAATTCGAAATACAAATATTTCAGATGAAGGTCCCCTGATCGCCGTAACGGATTTTAAAGCATCCAAAATGGACATCTTTGACCCGTCTGGTGGAGTCAATGCTACTGTCATTGAAGAGATAAATTTAGAGTATGGACAAGCAGGTGCTTGTGGCATTGAGTTTAATTACAGAAGGAATATGATTTATTGGACTGATGTATACGATAAGAAAGTCTACAGGTAAAATAATACGCCAGGAAAGGGATGATGACCCAGGAAAGGGAGAATCGGTATATTCCTATTGCCTATGAATATATATCGCAATATCGTTGTGTTTTTTTTATAAAAATCTCTCGATAAAGTTCGTCCGTTCATGACCACAACGCTTCACAGAAAAAAAATCCATTAAAAATGATAACCTGTATTGCGTTTACAATGGCTGTGGTAAATTCGGAACGGAAGGTCGCGAAACACTGAATGGGGTTCATCCGCATGATTTTGAAAAATAACCGTTAAAACCATAGCCTCTATCGCGTTCACTGGGTGTTCGGAAAAGGAGACATGACCCTAGAACAGAAGATCGCTAAAAGCTGAATATCGATATAGTTTGTCCTCTAAAAAAAAGTCTCGGGTTCCTATTAAAATATGGACGGATGAAAATGTCTTACATTTCTTGGCATAACTTTTCTTCATTTGAGTTATGACTGGAAATTTTCTTTTAATTTTTCATGAAGTTTAAACTCTGGTGGTGGTGATCAAGAACAGAATATTATATTGGAAGGTGAACTGAGTTCACCGCAAGGTCTGGCGTATGATTGGATACATAATAATTTATACGTCAGTGACCTTGGACTAAATAAGATCTTGGTAATTAAACCAGAAACTGGAGCCCGGAAAACTTTATTATATGTATATGCAGTGGCCGATTTGGAATTGGATCCTAGAACAGGGTAACTATTTTATAGAAATCTGCAAAGTAACAAAACAACTAAAATACCCCTGCTATTCCTTGGGGATTGCCTGGCCGAATGGTACGTCATTGAATCAAGTGTCATGGACCTCTCTCTCTCTCTCTCTCTCTCTCTCTCTCTCTGTTTTTGAAAAAAATATTATAAGCACCAAAAGATTCAAAATGGGAACTTTTGTTAATCGTTTAACCGTTACAGCAACATCTCAAATACAAATACAAAAGGAGCAAACGACACATACATATTAAATCCAAACATTGATGTAAAAGGAAGAACATACGAAAGCCCGCCTCTTCTGTCAGGTTTGCCGGTATAATAGGGCGTGAGAATATCATATTAGTTTGGCTGAATCCATCCATTGTAATTTGTCAAAATGTTGATAAATTTGATTTTTACATTTTACTAGTTGGTTATATTGGATAGCTGGATGGGAAGATACAGCTATGTTGATGAAGTCAACATTGGACGGGCAGAACCAAGTTGTAATATCTTCTGACTTAGACAGACCAATGAGTTTATCTTTAGGTGAGATTCTGATTTGGAAATTCACATAAATGAAATCCAAGTACACGTAGTTTCTAATCCTGAATTCTATAAGTAGACCCAACTTCCCAAATCTAAGCCGTTTCATCTTCTGATTCTGAAATCCAAATCCCTGAACTGTATGTATATATATGCTGATTCTGAAATTTTTGCGATGCCGGGGACCACGGATTTAATCCTTGATTGCATGCCCACAAGACTCATGTACAAGGCCTGGTATTCAGATTATATTTGATAAAGAAAGACTTTTTAAATATTTAAAAACAGATGATATAAACTTTTTGTTTCAAATAGCTCTACAAGTGTAATACATATAGGGTGAGTGGTAGACAGATTCTGTATCTAATGTGTTGTATATTTTTATAGATTATGATGAACAGAAATTATATTGGACTGAAATATATCCTGTTAACCTTATTAAAAGCATTCGTGTCGATGGAGAAGGTCAAACTATAGTTCATCAACCAAGCTCAAGTTATCATTTTTCACCAATGTATATAACTGTAACAATGGTAGGACTCTTTAAGAATTATTATCGAAGGATTTTAAAGTTAATAAATATCGGAGCAGTGGCTGGTGCGACGCCGCCAGAAACTACAAAATGTACGTGCTAATAAATATTTTGACTTTCTTTAACCGTTTGACTTTGTTAATGAAGCATTATGTAATAGGTAAATCAGACTATCGCAGGTCTTTCTGTGGGCCGGACATGTTATATAAACTATTAATTAGACATTTATTAGCATGGAAAGACCTTAATCAAATCTCGATGCCATCTTATGTGTCGAAATTTCAATGGATTTGAACCCGATTTGCTGCTCAACGCTCATTGATGATTTCATCCAAAAATGGATATTCGAGACTTTTTGTTATCATACCAACTTTAGCATACAAATTATGACCGAGGCTAGGCCTAAAACTCAAACGCTAATATCTCGGTTCAGAGTGGAGCAATTTGAATGAAAATTTCAGCATATTCCATTTACATTATCTAGTTTTGAACTATTATAGCGAGAACTGTCAGCTCTTTATCTAATCTTCCGTAATGCTCCTTTAATTATTATTTCGACATTTATCAACAGGACAAGCCCGTGATCAACTCTCTAGAAAATCAGATGGCTGAGATATACAGTAGATTAAACAATATCTGTCATATTAAACATTCATTATGCAAGAGCAAAATCTGCTTATTACAATTCTTTCTTGAGGCCTGAAATGTTATCTAAATTATCAATTAAACATTAATTAACTTATCCAGACCATAATAAACTCTCGATGTCAAGGCTATCCTTCGATGTTGGCTGGATTAGATTCCTATATGCCGCTAACGGCTATTGATAATTAAATCAATAAAAGTGGATAATCGAGACTATGCTGTTTATATTAATGATTCTAGTAATGATGACCGAGACTATGCAAACATTTCACCCGCTTGTTTCTCGGCTCATAGTGGATCAATTTGACTGAAATTTTCAGCAAATTACCTTTACACTATCTAGTTTAATTTTTAACTATTATAGCGAGAACTGCCGTCTCTATATTTTATCTCACATAATGTATCTTTAATATGGACAATCGAGATTATCGTAGCAATAATACCGCGTGTATTAAATAGCTTTATTTACGCCCGCTTACACTGAAGTGGTATTGCTGACAATAATACCGAGACTACTAAAGCATAGCTCACATGTTTTGACACGGCCAGTCTCACTCTCCACACAAGTCTCGCTATCCAGCGGAAGACAACTCTGTTTGGGAGATTGGGCCAGTCTACGGTGCAGTACACACTCAAGTGACCCTTAAATCTTACGCACAGGTTTACTAAAATCCCCCCAGTAGACTGCCCGTATGGCGGGGTGTGAGCTAGACTTAACGCCATGTATTAACATAACTTCAAGAAATCATAACCTCGAATAAAGTAACTGAACTCAAATTTCAATATTTTCATAGCCTAATATAGCAAGAACGACCAGTCCATTATCTAAATCTAACATAATGCATCTTTAAGTATGGCTTTGTATGTTGAATAGTCAAAACGATTTGTTAATTTCCAGGACTATATCTACTGGACCCAAGGCTCAACACATAGAGTTCTCGGACGTTCGAAAAACAATGGCGGACAACCTACCAGGTACAAAAACTTAGAATCGCGTGGTGGGAGGAACATTCAGGAAAAGCCATTTTCGGGTATTCTTGCTATAGATCCACGAAAACAGAGAGAAAGTAAGAAACCTTCTTTTGATCATATTAAATGTAGTTTTGTCATACACTATAAATTTGATATCTTGTCATACATGCTGGACGCCATGTTGTATGAAAGGGTCTGTGTGGACACGCGATGCTGGGCATCATTCTGTACTAAAGGTTCTGTGTGAACATCATACTGTACCATAGTTTCTGTGAGGACAAATCATGCTGGGCATCATTTTGTATCATACGACGTAGGTTCTCTGTTGGCATACCATGCTGGACATCATTCTGTATCATATATTCTGTTTGGACACACCATGCTGGGCATCATCTGTATCATATGTTTTGTTTGGACACACCATGCTGGGCATCATTCTGTATCATATGTTTTGTGTGGACACACGATGTTGGGTATCATTCTGTATCAAAAGTTATATGTCAAATCCAATGTGTCTTTTTGCTAACATATTTGTTGTCCTTATGGTGATTGTCTAATAATGCGAATCCATCTCCATCGAAATTAAAAGCCTCACCTCAGTTTTTAGAACTAGACTACCTTTATTTCAGTTCAGTGTAGGCTAATCGCAGCTATTTACAGGATTTTTAAGTTGTTGTATATTGTAATTATATCTGTAATTGTTTTATAATAATAGGGCTGAGAAATAAAATTGTCTTTTTTTTATCACACATTTTGGCAGATAAAATATTCCAGTTGACCAAAAGAAATATGAACATTTTTTTTATATAAAAATTATTATCCATTTTGGCGGAAAAACCCGTGTGAGCCCTGATTATCTGTAATTATAAAACTTGTAAAATTACCGGTTGTAACAAATTAGTATATTCTATTTCCTTGTTAAACTCTATTTTTAATTTTTTTTTAGGTCCAAGCCTCTGTGGCGATAATAATGGTGGATGTTCCCATTTCTGTCTGCCATCATTGATACAATCTGTTACGTCATATAAATGCGCATGCCCAGATGGAATGAATTTAATGGATGATAACTCAACATGCTCAGCTGAAGTAACCCAAAAACCGAAGTCGAATTGGTTCGATACCCTATTTTCTTAGTTACAGAGAAATCTCGATTTAGCTTGATACCTTATTTTGTTAGTTACAATAAAGCGACTGTAGTCCCATGACTCGATCCACTATTTACATAGCTACAAGGAAGTTTCCATTTGACTTGATACCCCATTTCCTTAGCTACAATAAAGCGACCTTACCCTCGATAGCCTATTTTCTTAGCTATGACATGTTTGGAAATAAAGTGGTTGTCATACATAATATTATGTACAAACGAAATATAACCATTAAGTTTGAGACAGTTGTTGAAAAGGTTTCGAGTTAACAACAAACAGAATAAATACGTGTAGCTATGACAATTATAAGCTTGGCTTCTGACCCCCGATACCTGCATCTCCTCCTTTCATTACAAAATCTTCATAAGTGACTGGACCCGTGATTGATACCGAGCGGTAAGGGTTGTATTATGGAATGATTCATAGCCGGAATTGGGGTACTTGGAATTGTACAAATGCCGAGAAGTTAACTGTCTTGACGTGAGATAATAATCATCTATTCCATCTGAAACTACGTGTATATGTAAGAGTAGGCCGTAGTGTCTCTGTCTGGGAAAAATGTCACACATACTGTATGTCGTATATCTTCATTGAAATACAAATAGAGAAAATTGACGACAGGGCTCGAAATTTTCGACTGTCTACTGTTTTACAGGTGAATATGAGAGAGCTGGACAAAATTTTACTTACATTCATTTAATTGACTTCAAACCACAATACCGTACTCATATAAAACCCCGCATAGCTTATAATAGTCCCCTGACCGTACCTACTCACTATAAATAAAGACACTGCATATTGTAACTATAAAACTACCGTACTATGGATATCAAATATTTCAATGTTCATCTATAGTAATATTCAAATATTTCAATCTTATACACACGTTATCTATAGTAATATGGATATCAAATATTTCAAAGTTCTTCAAACAGTAGGTACAAAATCTATAGTACCGTAATATATGGGTTTCAAATATTTCAAAGTTCTTCAAACAGTAGATACATTATCTATAGTAATACGGGTTTCAAATATTTCAATGTTATACAAACATTATAAAAGACATTATGTGTATAGTAATATGGGTTTCAAATATTTCAATGTTATACAGACATTAAAGACCTTATAATATGGGTTTCAAATATTTCAATGTTAGACAAACATTAAAGATATTATTTATGGTAATATTGCTTGGCTCAATGTTATAGATACTGTAAATACACTACTATAGTATTATGGATAAGTAATATGGATATCAAATATTTCAATGTTGTTTGAACAGTAAATACATTATCTGCAGTAATATGGATATCAAATATTTCAATGTTATACAAACAGTATATGTAGATACATTGTCTATAGCATATGGGTATCAAACATTTCAATATTAAACACGCAGTAAATACATTTTCTATCATCAACATAGGTCATACAGTAAATACATTATCGCATATGTGTATCACATATTTCAATGTTTAAACAGTTAATACATTTTCTATAGTAATATCAACATCAAACATTTCAATGTTGTCTCAACAATAAATACATTGACTATTAATCCCGTCAATATAGCAAAAAATAACCCAAACCTAGAAAAAATTGCGGTTTAGGGTAAACAACTTCTGAACGGATTCCAAATAACATATCAAAATTGTAGATTCACGGGGCTACGAGAAAATTTATAATTGGCATACATCCAAGATGGCCTCCCCATGATTTTTTCCTGACAATATATCTGTGCACTATGATGTGCTCGCTTAATGGATGAAATAGCATGATCTGGGGCTAATATAGATGTCCGTTGCACGCGTTGAACAGGTGCGTGTTTAGTAGGGGTTAAATTAATTAAAAATCGCTCGGGGGGGGGGGGATTTTTTGGTGCTCGTTGAAGCAAGTGTTCGCTGATTAGGAGTGCACGCCCGAGCAAGTTCTACTGTATCACCATTGTAATTTTTGACTAGAAATAGGAGTCAACTCTCTCTTCACCGTTTCCGAGAATGGCCGATCGTTTGATTGACAGGCGTTAATTCCACCTACATAATCTCGATTATCAAGTAACGTTTTCAATGGCTGTGATACCGTTAGTCTATTCGGTTTGAGATGGGGTTGCAATTCGTATCACATTTATTTTTTACTACAAATTAAAAATAAGACTTTTAATATATAGATAAGAAGCCAAAGTTTGAAAGGAATGGACCAAATCAATGGGGCATAATTATAGCCGACTTCTTATTAGCCTGCGTGTACTCTTGTACTGTAACTGGTAGGCCTACGTAACTCCCGAAGCAGACTAATAATAGGAAACAGTGATCCAATGGGGCTGCAATTCAACTGGAGCGATGTTTATCAATTTCCATAATTTTTCTGTAAACGCAAGTGACAAAAGAGCGTATAATACCGACATCTAAACTCTTCATTTTAACCACAACTAAACATAATATCAAGGCATTATATATCGAACTTTCAATCAAATTGACTGACATGCGGCCTCGCTTCGTACACTCTATCATTTAGCCATGGATCGTATATAATAAGTTCTATGGTATAACGTCTTACTGTACAATACAAGTCTAATACTTTCATTTACGAGTTGTGTTGTTTTTTCGGTATTGTGAATGGTCTCTACTGACGCTGGGCAACGTACGAATCCGAATTGTCTTTGCGAGATTGGCCTATAGAATACTCCCCAACCCTGTTCTTTACTCGTGTAATTTCTGAAGATATTGTGGCTGCAACATAACTATGTTGGCTTTTAAAGATTTGGGTAAACACAACAACTGCGGGGGCAGTGTCTTAGAACAATGTCCCTCAAGTGACGGATTTTTAGATCATCGGATTCATTTTGGAGCGTGGGTTTCTTATTCGTCACTACCATCCTGGACCTGGTCTTGCACCCTTTGTTCGGCTATCTTATACACTTCTAGAATTAAGTACTTAACAGATTCAGGATTTTCTCGGCGGGCATACAGACTGCGGTTGGGCGATAATTACGTTTTCAGAAAGGAGGGTACAGCCGAGCTCTCAAGATTTAAGAATGCTAATAAAGGCGAGGCAGGACACCTCCGAAAAGTATCTCATTTTTTATCATAGAACATTGAGAATGGTGGTCGTATCATTAGCAGGACTCCCGACAAGTAATAAACATATAAGATACAACATGCTTGTATTCAAAGTAATAATTATTTACCGCAACAGAAATATAGACTACGAAGGAATAGCTGCAACTTAAAAAAAATAATCCTTATTGTCTCAGATCGTCATTTGAGTGATTGGGGAATTCCTAGGAAACTACAGTATTGTGAAAACTTAAAGGAGCTAAATCGCTAACATTTGGGACCTAGAAATTGACACAAGTGGGTCGCAACTCATATAATACTGTAATATGAATGTATATAAACTGATTTACATTCAATCGTTTCCGTTTTTACTCTAATTTCAAATCAGTTATGTTCCGTGAAATAAGGCAGCAGTCTCAATCGAATGCAAATTCCTAGCGTCTGGTTATTCCAGTCTACATGTCTAGCCTCGTTCCTCGAGTCTCTTGCTAGAACTGGGGCTGAAACGCATTATGGTACACGATTCGTGTACCAATGGTAAAATATTTATTTTGTCTTAAATATTGGATATCAGAAGCCCATCTTTTTCCGGTAAGATCACAACATCAATGTTGTTTTAAATTGACAAATAATTCGTGTTTTCAATGTTGAAGATTTTGGATGATATTGAGTTAGAGACTTAGCTACTTTAATCTCTAATTGTCGTGTCTCTTTAGAGGCGAAAATTTACAGGGAAATCACTTTTTCTCTGACAATTTATTTGAGACTTATTTTCGTATTATATCGCTCTCATTTTCCAACAAAGGTCATACTGTCTCCATACTGGTAGGATGTTAGTCATCAACGGACGCCCAGGTTCCCGGCCTATTTTCAAATTACAAGTGAATATTGACCTTACACAAGTGAATGCACAGTACATGAAAGACGATAGGTAACGCGTAAAAAGGTGTTCAAATATTCAGTCAATACAAAAACATAGCGGTAGATTTAAATTACTGTTTATTGTCCAGCTGAAATTACATATAAACCTACACTGGCTCTGCGTGATGAAAGTAAAAGGGGTATTGCCATTTTCAACAAGAAAATAACTTTATATAATATATATATCATCAAACTAAAACACAAATGACCCAAGTCATATTTGAAAATTGGTTACATTTTGAGCCTATGTAGCTTCCCGGTGGCAAATATATCTATAGAACATTCTAATTTGTTAGGTTTATCAAAAGGAATGGAATTGAGGATTCAAATAATATTTCTGTATTCAATGTTTGAATCCTTTGTAAAATGTGTTAAAATGACTCGGGTAATACTTCCTTTATGATGACATTCACAATAACTTTAGACACACCAAAATATCGAAGCACCAGCCTGTTATGGTGAAAGTACTTGCCGGAGCGTACGCCGAACGCCTAATGGATCTTGGAACGTGTACATCTCCGCGAAGAGTTAGAAGATTTGTATTACATATTAGCATACAATATGATTTGATAAGCGTAAATGTCTAAAGCGCTAGTGCCCCTTTAATATTGATATATATATATATATATATATATATATATATATATATATATATATATATATATATATATATATATACTGATCATGGTTATTTTGGTGATTATTATTACCCCAGATGACTAGTTTCAAGGCTATTAAATTGATTGTTTGGTCTGGAGATCAAGCTGTATTTACCAACTGATGTGCTGAGTTTCTGTATAAAATTGTCTGATCTGTGCCTCGTAATGCCAGAGTAATTTCTTCCATCATGAAAATCTTCATACTTCTTGCTATTGTGGGGTTTGTTTTAGTCTCCAGCAAACCATTTAGGGTAAGTAGACGTGCTGTTTATTAAGAAGGGGTTTGAACATTTTAAAGTAATTCCACATTCGCTTCACATAGGTAATCTAAACCAGATCACAGACCTACAAGACTAGTGCTACGTGGTTAGAACAATGAATCTTACAGTTTGGGTATCTTGGTTTACGCTGGCCCTAACCGCGCTACTTTTAAGAATTCTAGGACTGTGGGTGAACTTTAATACCCCGTATCTCGCTGCGCATTAGCAAGTTGGGAGGGGGGGGGGGCACTCGTTATTCAAATTGTATATTGTTATAACACGATCACTATTATTTTTTTATACGCCCACATTTTCATGTGAACGTATTATGCCGTCGCCCCTGTCCGTCCGGACGTCCGTCCGTCTACAATTTGTTAGTGGACACTCTACCTTATCCGATTTTGACGAAACTTGAAATATAGGTTTATCTCCAAAAGATCTCGACTGCTTTCGATATTGGCATGTATCGGATCGAAACTTCATGGATTATGGCCCCTGTTTGTACGAAAAATCACGTTTTTAGCTTGTGGACCCTATAGAGGTCACAATTTTTATCCAATTTTGTTGAAACTTGAAATGTAAGTTTATAACCCAAAGATCTCGGGTCCTTTCGATATTCGCGCATATCGGACAGTAACTTCCTGAATTATGGCCCCTGATTGTACGAAAAATCGCGTTTTAACTGGTGGACCCTATAGAGGTTACAATTTTTATCCGATTTTGTTGAAACTTGAAATGTAAGTTTATAACCCACAGATCTTGGTTCCTTTCGATATTCGCGCATATCGGACCGTAACTTCCTGAATTATGGCCCCTGATTGTACAAAAAATCGCGTTTTTAGCTTGTGGACACTATAGTGGTCATAATATTTATCCGATTTAAAAAGCCGTACTATTATATCACCGTTACACCCTAAGGACGACTGAGTTCGAATTTCGTGAAAATCAGCCCAAAATTGACAGACAAAATGGCTGCCGTTCGTTCTCAAATAGTGTAAAAATATGGTATATCAAGGTTGTGGACCCTATAGAGGTCACAATTTTTATCGGATTTTGTTGAAACTTGAAATGTAAGTTTATAACACAAAGATCTCAGTTCCTTTCGATATTTGCGCATATCGAATTGTAATTTCCTGAATTATGGCCCTTGATTGTAGGAAAAATCACTTTCTTGTTAGCTTGTTCTCTATCCATCTCTCGAAAATGTGGGCGTATCCTGCCTGGCAGCCGCTGGTTATTATCATGAACATTTTTATAGCACACAATTCACTAGGGTGCTCAGATGCGCTTTGCAAAACATATAAATTATCACACATTATAAATTATCACAGATATCACAGACAAAAATAAAATATAATCATAAATTATTTAGTAAACAATACATTATGAAGATATTATGAATAAAGGTATAAAACAATGAAATGAAATGAGAAATGAACTGGGGTTTAACGTCCTACTGTTCTGCTCCTATACTGGGCTAATGAAAACGGGCATGCGCCACACAGCGTGCAATGAGGGAAATTTTGCCGTGGCAGCGGCACTATGGTCTACTCTTATATCGAATTCCAACTACCAAGGGATCTTTTACGTGCACGCCAATGTATACACGGGTCCTCGGTTTTTCGTCCCATCCGAACGACTAGGCAGCTCTCCTTGTCAGGACCTCCATTCTGCACAACTGACAAGGGGAAACCACGCCGGAAAAATCCCGATTAACTTTCTCGCCCAATACAGAGATCGAACATGCGACCTCCAGGCTAGCGAGCCACCGTCCCACCCACTTAGCCACCGTGGGCACCGGTATAAAACAAGACAACATAAGTCAGTAAAATAAAATATATGTTTCATTTTGTATATTTCAGGAATCGAAAAGAGAGAAACGAGCAGGTACACCGAGAATTTCTTTGAAAACAGTATTTTGTCTTAAATATATTGTATTTTGTTGACTCCCATTTCTTCGAAAATAGATACACCTTTTTTCGAAGCAGAATATTGTATGTATTTACGCACGTATGGTTGCATACAACGGGGGCTCTTTCAGAGCGTTTTAAGGGCTCCGATGTAGTAAGGTAAATCCGGTTTCACCCTGAGCTTATGTGAATAATAACCGCATCGCGATTTCAGCGTAACATTTTGGCGCCATTGTTTATCGTTCTCCCACACAAAAAGTTGTTTGTACAAAGATAAATACGGTGGCTTCCAAGGGCTTAAACAAACCATCACCGCTATGGAAGCGTACATCGGGAAAACGACGAATCGTCCACGATAGATTGTCTGTTAGTAGCGCATACGAATTGGGTGGGTTAGAACATGACACGCTATGCAATTCGCCTCGTTATTTCAGTATTTCAAAATTGTAATTGGCTGCCTTTAGATTAAGTTGCAAGCCGATATGCTTCAGAGATATATGGCCGTGTAATGGAATTTTAAATAAGAACACGTATCCTTAGACCGGGAAATGAAATAGATGTTACGGAGCAACCGCCAGAATCCATCCCTACATTGCCATTTCATCATCACTATTTCTTTCAACAGTATGTTCTACAACAACTTACGATAAACCAGAAGGAAATATAGTATCCCATGGCGACTACGGACTTTACAACTACATGACCAATCAAGATTGCACATATATTATCAAAGTTGAATCTCCAAGCAAATTATTTCTAAACTTTCATCAGGTGGCTTTAGAAGGAGATAATCCCTCATGTCCTTATGATTATGTGAAAATTGTGTCAACAAACGAGATATTTTGTGGAGACGCAGCAAAGAATTTTGAATGTAAGTTTGTATACCCTTCATTTGCGGAAGTTAAAAATGTACGCTGATAGAAATACCTCTCGGCTTTATGTTCATGTACGTGGGCTGGGTTATAATATAGAGTTATATAAATTTGTCAAAAATTTTATAAATTTACCATGAGTTATTTAAATTGTCATGAGTTGGTTATGGAGAGAGAGAGGGGGGGGGGGGGGTAACGTCCATTCGACACAAACTAGGTCATTTCGGGACTAACATATGGTTCAAATTAATTTCAATTTTTTTTAGATGTGGGAGAAAACCGGGGGATTCGGAGATAACCCACGAGGTTGGACAGATAACCCTACTCCTTGTCACTATAACCGGGAAACGAATTGGTCATGGTCATGAGTAATATGACTTGTTTAGTTGCTCGGTTAAAAGAACTATGGTAAACGTGTTTAAATATTGACAAGTCGCCGATCCCCAGACTTCTTGAAATAGCGTTCTGTTATCTTTCCAAAAACCTAAATACAAAATACTTTTTTTTCAGTCGACAATATAGACAGTGATTTTACAATCAAATTTCATTCTGATAGCTCGGTCCAGTTTGGTGGATTCATTGCATCTTACAGAATAGAGCCACTGTGTAAGTTTCTTCCTAGAACAACTTATCATACAACTAACACATTTTTGTTGTGCTTTGGTATTCAAACCGCTGGGTTTTACCAATGGATTTTGTGCCCAGGGCTAATTTCTACCCAGTGAATGTTCTACCCAGTGAATTTAAGATCTAAGAGTTTTCAAACGTCGTAATTGTGAAGGCGTGTAAGATTAAATAAGTTTGTAGATGACTTTAATATAGTATGCTTAACTATGTGCAAAGGGTGGAATGGTTGGTTTTCATAAATTAGTAACACTATTGCTTCTTTAAAATAATGTGCGGTGTCATGCACGTCTAACTCTTTGTAGACCACCTAAAGATGCTTCTAATATATTATATTTATACCTCTTTCGTGTAGTTCAAGCAGCACCATTCATTGCGAATACTACAGCAAACATTACTACGTCATGGCCAAACTGGAACACCACTACCCCATGGCCGAACTGGAACAACACCGGGAACAGCACAGGAAATCACACTACATCGTGGCCTAGTTGGAACACTACTACATCATGGCCGAACTGGAACAACACAGGTAACAGCACGGGAAATACCACTGCATCATGGCCGAGTTGGAACACTACTACCCCATGGCCGAACTGGAACAACACCGGGAACAGCACGGGAAATACCACTGCATCATGGCCGAGTTGGAACACTACTACATCATGGCCGAACTGGAACAACACAGGCAACAGCACGGGAAATACCACTACATCATTGCCGAGTTGGAACACTACTACATCATGGCCGAATTGGAATAACACAGGCAACAGCACGGGAAATACCACTACATCATGGCCGAATTGGAACACCACTACCTCATGGCCAAGCTGGAACACTACCACGTCATGGCCAAGTTGGAACACTACCACGTCATGGCCCAACTGGAACATCACCGGGAACGGTACTTTCCCCTTAAAGAATTTTTCCACACTGATTAACATGTTAAATGGTACCTATGTAAACGTCTTGGTTCTCAATTACCAAGGCTACAATAACGTAGATTTGTAAACTAATGGAAGATATTAAAGTTAGTTACCAGAAAAAAACGTTTACTTTTTACTTCATCAATATCTAATACGCCTCCGGCAGTACGTGAATGGGGGTTAAAGGGAGGGAACACACTTTTCTAGATTCCAGGAATCGATAGATACCGATTGCCACAGATCACCATTCCCCATTGACCTTAATGTTAATTCTCGTCGCTTGGCCGGCTCTAACGTTTTCCCAAATTTTCGTTGGGTAGAAAACTTTCTACCACAGCATGTATGAGGCTCACCATGAAAAACTTGAGATACACAAGCTGGAAGTAGAGACAAATAAACATGCAATTTTACGCCCTACATTTCAACCTAACCAACCTATTAACCCTTGCATCCTTCTGCCTCAAAATCATGAATATTCACCAAAACCTGAGAAAATGTATATTCAACCCCTTTCTTCAATTCTACTTATATCAGACGAGGATGATATAAGAGGAAATCCATTACCAACTCCACCGGTGGAAAAACGAAAACGGTTAACAAAGCGAAATTCGGAAATTCTCCAAGTCCTGGAAAACCATGAATTAAAAAGACAAGGTGACACTGAAAAAATTCTTGAAGTCATGAATAAAGAACATCAGGAGGTTATGGAAATTGAAAGGAGAAGATTAGACTTGGAGCAATCGAAAATTGATATTTTTAAAAAGCTTATCGAAAAGTTTTAGGTTATAGATATTCCAATTCGAAACGAATAATGTTATTGATTTTTGTATCATTTATAGTTAATTTTACGTTAGACAGAGACTGTCCTGGTTGGAAACAGTTAATTTAGTTATTATCAAACGGAGGAACAACAACTGCGAGAATGGTCATCAATTTTAAAGGGACAATCCCACTCTCGCTGGGTTAAAAAAAATATTGCCTTACTTTTAAGTTTTAAATGTGTAGTACTAGTAGCCTACCTTCAGTTGAAATCATCCTATTAAATTCTATTTTACTAGTCCAAAAAATTTGAAAATATTTTAAATTTCAATTTTCAATTCTATAATAGGTACGTGCCGAATAGAAGTCCGGGTTTTTTTATACCGAATTAAGTAATAAAGTCCAGTCGTCGTTGCGAAAAATAGCCTTTATAGACGTAAATACACAAGATATAAACCAATCGTTATATTCTACTTTTGATTTTTGTACTAGTTTACGTTTTTATATTTTTAGATAATAAGTTAACCTTAAGTATTCCATTTTTTTAAAAAATAGGTTGATTCAAATGCAATGTATAGCACCAATAAATTGAAATATCTTATAATACTACAACTTATTAATGAAATATTCAAAATGAAGATTGGGACATTTTTATACAACCAGAGAGGGATTGTTCCTAAAAATTACTTGTATTACATGTATCTATGAAGTGCGACCATAAGAACAATTTACTTACGAGAAGACAGATTGTCTCTTTTAGTACTTTTGTTTACTACTATTAGGTATTACTATGCATTCTAGTTTTATGCATTTATTATTTTCTGTTAACTTAAATAGACATAGTCTGTTTATTTAAAAGTTTATTTATGTTATTAAAAAATAATAAAAAATTAAATTACATAAAAAGCAACAAGCTGATAGCATTGCGTTTTTGTTCACCATTTGGTTGAGGTGTATCGTCACCAAAATACTCGTTTTGATCACCAGCCTCTTCTTCAGCTAGACCTTCGTGCAGATCAGCGCTCACGATGTCGATCGCCATTGCCGCCAATTGCGATAAAAATATAATTTTGGCGATAAAATATTCAATCTGGCGAAATTTTTGGCGATAACATTTTCCTGTATGGCGATTCTTTTTTAACCATGGCAATACATTTTTCTTGCCACAAAGCTTTATTTCCACGCCGTGCATACACGTTACAGTATATTGCGCTTGGCTAAGCCAGTTATCAATCAATTAGGTGCCAATAATAGAGATATCTTTTGTCTTTTGATCAATCTCGGATTCTGAAGACATATATTATGTAAAGCAAAGCAACTAGTTATAAAATGAATGAGTCTATCATGATCCTGCATATCAATATATTTTAGTCGCCTAAACCGACCCTTTAGAAAACCAAAAGCATGCTCGATGGGTATACGCGTTGAACTATGTTTAAAGTTATAATTTTTCTTAATGTCTGACAAATTGCCAAAATCCTTGTAAGGCACCAAAACATGTTCTTCTAGAGCATAAGCTGAGTCCGCTAATAGATGACAATTGTCTGGAAATAACTTTCGACGAACGGTCATATCTTCCGAGTCTGTATATAGTGAAGAGTTTTGAAAAACTCTAGCACCATGTGCCGAGCCGGGCCATCCTGCATATACTGATGTATAAAAACCCTGCATGATCACATACAGCCATAACATTAATGCTATGAAACTTTTTCCTATTGATGTAGTTCTCCGGAAACTCTTTTGGTGCTTTAATGGGAACATGGGTTCCATCTAATGCCCCAATAACACTGGGAAATCCTCTTAACCTTTTAAATCCTTCAATTATTTCCTGTAGCCTGTCTCCAGATGGCCAACTTATCACTTTTAGCAAAACATGATCCACCACGATCTTTGATAAGTTACCAACAATCTTAAAAACGATAGCTTCACATACGCCAAACACATCTCCTATACGTACGAGTGGCAGTTGGCTTGACGCATAATACAAAAATATTAATAGTTGTTTTTCAGCAGAAATCGTTGATGAACGGTTGGATATAGTCAATGATGACATCAAATGTTGATTTTTCACATCGGAATCTCTATCTAAATTCTCCTGGGCTGTATTCATTTACAGTTTTTTCAATATATTCCTCGATCCTAGGTTTTCTTAGGACACTTTTTACATGTTTTGTCACTACAGTTTTCAAAAAAAAAATACTTGAACTTGTTGGACATAGGAGATCGTTTCTAACGGCAACCATTTTTCTTTTTTTGCGTAGATAACCTTCATTTGTCTTTAACAAGTCATCAATAATTAGCAGAGACAATTTTTTTTTCTGATCGGTGTCCGCGATGGCAGACATCTTACCAAATCGTAATTATCAAATTTCACATTTGTGGACCATAGCTAATCAAATCGAAATCATACCAAATCGTACTAGCAAATCAAAACCTAATCTAATGGACTCACAAATCGCCTCTGGTGTTGTTAATAGACATGAAGTATTGTAGGGTAGGTCTCTTTCGCGCATGCGATGTATAACATAAACGACCAGTCGGACTTCCTTTCAATACAGTTCTATGATTTGGCCTCGATCTAAAATTGCCGGGAGTATGACGTCAACGTAACGGTTAATCTCCGCTTACGACGCCATTTAAAAGTTTAATCAATCAATGAAATCCTGTTTAAATCCAAGTCGAATTCAAGCCATCCGTGGGTCTACAGAGTTAATATTGTGCTTGTTGTGTAAATAAAGATCTAATTTATAATTTCTATGACATCTGAAGCCTAAATAAAAACTTGCAATAATCAGATTTAGCTCTTGCATAATGTATGTTTAATGTCTAAAGAAGATCTGCAATAGACAGATTTAGCTCTTACATAATGTATGTTTAATGATTAATTCATTCTAAACTGGCCCTCAGACTTTTCTTGTATATTTCATTATCACAGTAAATGGAATGAAATGGGGTTTAATTTAACGTCTTTCTGTTTTGCTCCGACTGGACTAATAAAGGAGGGCATGCGCCTGGCGGCATACAATGTGCTATGAGGGATACAGTGTAAAAGATCCCTTGGCAGTTAGAATTTGACATAAGACTAAGCCATAGCGCCGCTGTTCGCGCAAATTTCCCTCATAGCACACTGCATGGCGTATGCCCGTCTTCATTAGCCAAGTCGGAGCAGAACAGTGTGACGTTAAACCCCAGTTCATTTCAATTCATTTCAAACGTGGAGACGGTTGAGGGATTGATTTTTTGACAGAATATGAACAATACAAATCGATTAATATAGTGCATACAATGAATATTCTTTTCGGAAACTAAGTTTCCAGACAACAAAATATAAATACGTCCCCAGCGGCTAAGTCGTCCGCGTTGTCCACAAGAGATGTCTCCTATTCTGTGCAACGTTAGTTATCACTGTAGTTTTGACAAGATGTGTGCATAGTGGGAACCAGGGCATTGGTATATTCGAGACTTAGCCTCGCTTTCCCATTTTTAAATTAAAATTTTAAATGGCGAACCGTTCTAATCTAGATAAAATCTCGAGTATCCAATGCCATCTAGAGTTGGTTATGGTCTAATTATTAGTTTATATAACATTTCGGGCCTAAAGAAAGACCTGCAATAGGCAGATTTAGCTCTTGCATAATGTATGTTTAACTATTGGCGTTCCTCAAGGGTCTGTTTTAGGTCACTTTATCTTTCTTATCTTTATCTTGCCAACTGGCTAGCTAGTAAAAAAACACTGTGTGCAACCAAGGATTTGCTGATGATGCTCAGATATAGGACTTTTTTTCTTGCTCATGGTAACCACAATTCTATGTAATTATCCCTAATGTAGCTGGGAAATTGTTTGTGGACATTCGAAAATGGATGTTGAACAATCAACTAAAACAAAACGATGATAAATCTGAATTTCTGGTAATATCAACTAGGGTGTAAGCACGTAATTTAATAAAAGCTGAGGTATCCTCCCAAAATCTCAAGTTAAAAACCTTGGATATCTAATGAATGATCATCTGCCTGCTGTATCTCAAATAAACAACATTATAAGCCGATTGCATTTCCAAATGAGGTCTGTTTACAAAATTAGAAATTACCCTAATCCGGGTGCTCGCAAAACTGTTATCAACGCCTTGGTCATTTCGCCCTATATCATACTGTATGGAGTATGCTCGTCTTGATTAGCCCATAATACATTTTCTAATATTATTGAATATTATTATCTCACTTTACTTGAATAACTGAATTTGTATATAAAGCAAGTAATTATACCTTATTTGAATATCATATGATGTATTTAAGATAATTAAAATATACTTTCATCATAAACCACAGTATGTCGATTTGTTTCATAATGTTGAATTTATATTGCTGTCATGTATACTGTGTTTACTTAATGGAATGTATAGTTTACAATTTTACATGACCTGGGAATGAAATCTGAAAATCAATGCCATCCGGTCAAGACGTCCAGGCGAAGGTGTTATCCCGCACGAGTACCGTAAGTCAGTTATTTCTACTGGGCCGTAGCGAAGCTTTAGTTAATAAACCTATAGTTATTGATAAATGCCTCAGCAGGAGTAAATGCAAGGAAATAAAATGGGGTTTAACTTCCTACTGTTCTGCACCAACTGAGCTAATGAAAACGGGGATGCGCTACAAAATGTACCGTAGTGATCTTTTACGTGCAAGCCAATGTGTACACTGAAACTCAGCTTTTCATATCATCCTAACGACTATACGTTGTCTCTTGCCAGGCCTTCCACCCTGCACCACTGCCAATGGGGAACCACGCTGGAAAATCCCGATGAATTATCTCGGCCAACACTATTATCGAACCCGGATCCTTCTGGTTAGCGAGTCAAATACTTTCCCACATCAAAACCATAAGATGCGGTATCTTGAAGTTGATTCCATATCAGCCGGACAGCGGCGCAAAAGCCTGCCTTTCCTAATTTCGAATTCCAGCTGTTAAAGGTGTTAAACGTGTTTACATGGCTGTCGTTGATCGCCTTCACTGTCAGGTCGTGCGTCCTCCACCACTGAAAAGCCTGATGAGCGAACACGAGACCTCTAAGTCAGCGAGCTAGCGGCGACTTTACCGGAATTTCAATTGTTCTATGATTGTCTTGTTTGACATTCATAATAATTATTTTTATAAACGTCGGTATTTTAAATGGTGTAAATTATAGTTATAACATCGCTTTTATAATACATTGAACAATCTCTATGTTAGAGGGTTAAGAGTGGCGAACGCAGGATATTTGGTAGGCGCATATCTGGACTCGAACACTCAATTACAAAAGCTACACCAGCCAACCAACAAAAAGCTACACCAGTACAACCAACAAAAGCTACACCAGCTCAACCAACAAAAGCTACACCAGCCCAACCAACGAAAAGCTACATTAACCCAACCAACAAAAGGCTACACTAGCTCAACCAACAAAAGCTACACCAGCCCAACCAACAAAAGCTACACCAGCCCAGCCAACAAAAGCTACACCAGCCCAGCCAACAAAAACTACACAACGCCAACCAACAAAATGTTCAAATACAAAAGTGTCATGGAAACAAAACATTTTATGGATATTTTATGCTGTTGTTTAGGGTGCGGACTCCTCGCCCCCCCCACCCACACACACACCCTGGATCCGCCGCCACAGTACACGAAGACAGAACATACAGTTAAATGTCATGGTAAATGTCGGAGTATTACAATAAACTATTTGCTGTATTCACTATGATGGTAAATTATTCCCTATATTAAACTACGGTGATACATTACTATATCCTATTCAGTTGAAACTAGACTTTAGCACAGACATGTCGACTCTACTTATTATTCTGTGGCTGATTTTACCATTCTATACGGACTGTATAGTATTCCCTAGACAAGGTAAACCATTTATTATTCTTATACCATTCTGTACGGTATCTATAGTATTCCCTAGACAAGGTAAACCATTTATTATTCTTATATCATTCTGTACGGTATCTATAGTATTCCCTGGACAAGGTAAACCATTTATTATTATTATACCTTTCTATACGGTATCTAACTCGCGTATTCTAGTATCAAATAGTAAAAAATTTATTTAGACTTGTCTGATACGATTAAAAACGCATAGACAATGAATGTTAGGGGGGTGGGGTTTAGGCCCAACGGGAATCAACATAGGCCCTCACCCGAAATTAATTAGACCCACGCCATTTTAAATAGGCCCTATTGTTTGGAGATCTGATTTTATTTTTTAAACGTAGGCCTACAATGTACGTTAAATCCTTGTAAGTTTTCGGTTATGTCTTGCTTAATATATTATATCCACGTGACGTCATTTATGGGCATATAAAGTTACATTACCAATATCAAACGACTTTGGCTTAAGAAAAAATATCTAGCAAAAGATCTTGCGCTAGTTTCCATGTAAACACCCCATCATGAGGAAATATTATCCTTGAAAATAGGTGTATGTACAGTTGGTTTCCGGTGACGTTTCTGCTGTCAAAGCATTTTGTACGACAAATTTCAATAGTTATAACTAATATTTTAATAATATTATAACCTCAGTAACGAATCCCGTTTTTAATGTTAGCAACTACCTTGGCTCTAACTTTAAAAACTAAATACGCCCTCCAGCAACTGCCGCCTCGGGCCTTGGTTGAGCTTAATCCGCCACTGTATGTGACAATGAGACGTGTTACTCGTCCTACGTCAACGGTTTTCCTCCGGTTCTCTCCAATTATTAAAGACACCAGCTAACAAGGAAAATGTTTACAAGTATGTTAGTCCTATACGATATGGATTATATTGTTTCTACCTTAATTTTCTTCTTGATAATAATAATATTGGTAGGATTAAAACACAGGTCCTATTTCGTTTCGTTCTTTGTAGTTCAAAATTTGATTTTACTTGTTTTTACTATACTAGGACCTGGAAGAGTTGTTATATATCCCGCGTTCTGGGTGATGTAAGTGATTAACCAATGAAATGGTCTGTAACGGCGAGTTTTTGGGTAAACAACTAGTAACGTCAACGCTGATTGATTAATCAAAGTCTGACGTCGTAAGGTCAAAAGTCGCTCGTATGACACCTGACGCGACCTTCCACTACAACCGCTCAGATCTTCATGTAGTGTAGGCCATCGAAAGTATAAAAAACGAAACAAAATATAGATCTGTATTTTAATCAGTTGGCAACATGACATCTGAAAATTTTATGTTTGTTGTACGTTGCTTTGCTTGTTGGGTTTTTTTTTCAAATAATTCAAAATGAAAATATTTCAGATGAAGGTCCTTTGATCGCCGTGCTGGATTTTAAAGCAACAAGAATAGATATCTTTGATCCATCTGGTGGAGTCAATGCTACTGTCATTGAAGAGATAAATTTGAAGGGTGGACGAGGCGGTGGGTCTACTGGTATAGATTTTAACTACAGAGGGAATATGATTTATTGGTCTGATTTATTTACAAGGGACGTTTATAGGTAAATGATAATCGTTTTACAATTCTTCCCTTTTGCCCGATAAAGGGAACTTTCAAAAGGAGTCGATTTTATACTGGTGACCGTGAATGTCCGAGAATATATAGCGGGTTACCAAGGACGAGTTTTAACAGAGAATGTGAACTTATCTTTTGCCGGGCTGAGACGTCACATTATACCTACCCCAATTTACATAAACAATTAGTCAATATGTCGCGCGTCACGTTAATGCCTTTTCCGCCAAAAATCGAATTTCTTATTTCTTCCTAGCTTATTTCAAACCTTTTAGCTTGAATTGTATCCGCCAGATCGTTTTCCGTAATGATTTCGTGCGTCCTTCAAAAGTCTTTTCCTAGAGACTGTTCCAGATGACGTTATCGATTGGATCCAAATCCCGGTACTGATGCGACCACTGATCTTTTTTTTATAACTGCCAACATATTTGGGTCAAGGGACAGAGAAACTAACTTCGTTACTTGATGTGTTCAAGAAAGTGAATCGTCAGAATGTTACAGAATAAACTCAAACTACAATACACGACCATTATATAGTTGATACCCATGCACGCGACTGAACCGTCAACATGATGAACTAGCCTCTATCGATATCTCAGTAATTTTTTTTCGATATAGCTTTTTTTTGTCCTCCACAGAATCCCACCGCAACCCTTAAAACAGCATTCGGTAATTTTTCGGGAAATACCCAGACCCTTTCTGAACAAAATGTCTCTATGAAATTAGCTATGGCACAATTACATCGATAGCCAATACTTTTTTTGTTTCGTAAATGTGCTAGGATGTGGGGATGGTACTTCACGGCGGTTCGCTTCGAAATTTCTCTATGAAATTAGCTATGGCACAATTACATCGATAGCCAATACTTTTTTTTGTTTCGTAAATGTGCTAGGATGTGGGGATGGTACTTCACGGCGGTTCGCTTCAAAATCTGCTGTCGGCAGTCATATTGGGTATGACATGTGATCGCCTATAGCCAATGAATTATGACTATTGGCAATTAAAATGGTTGCCCTCAGCTCTCTAAGCGAGCTCCCTTGGAAATTTTATTTTAATTTTTCATGAAGTTTAAAAACTGGTGGTGGTGATGAAGAACAGAAGGTTATATTGGAAGGTGGTTTGGGTTCCCCGGAAGGTCTGGCGTATGATTGGATACATAATAATTTATACGTCAGTGACTGGGAACTACATAAAATCATGGTAATCAACCCAGAAACTGGAGCCAGGAAAACATTATTAACTGATGTACATCGTGTTCGAGATTTAGAAGTGGATCCTAAAACTGGGTAACAACTTTATTTTATTTAATGAGCGTAGAGCTCTAGCTCAATATTATCCAGAGTCTCCGACATTACAAACATGAGTTATTGGTCCATTCAAATCAAAAGTAATGTTGTTATCTTACCGTGAAGATATAGTCTCCTGATATCTAGTATTTAGGACACTGAACAATTTCAAAACCAGTACTCTATACCCTCGATCGCGATTTGTAAAGAGCCCCCCCCCCCCACTACTGGCGAAATCTGAAGGTGGTTCACTCCCATTTCGACTACGTCCCATTTCGACTACACCCCATTTCGACTACAAATTTTATTACCCTCAAAATCCTGACCCCCAACTAATCAGCAATGAACTGCTCCGCCGATTAAAAGATGTAATTAAGGTAATGATAATTGTTAGCTTGTTTTCTTTAACAGCGAAGAAAAAATATCAATTCAGAGTACATTTTTGTTTTGAATATTTGTAATATTTGGAGATTACAATGAGTTTAATACTTCTTATCTTTATAAGATGATTTTTTTCAAATTTTGTACATTTATTTTTTAAGTTCACTATCATTTAGTCAAAATTTTTGTTATCTTATTAGAATTCCTTTATATCAAATATCAACAATAGAGGAAACTCCAAACATCACCAACTCCGATGAATTTCAATGATTACGTTACCAAAACATGGGTACATTACGACGTCAAATTTCCTGTTTGTTTATGGAAAATTTTTAAGACCGATGGACCCAGAAAAAATAACAACCTAGTAGGTTTCCACTCAAGAATGTATAGAACCCTACCACAGTCATCCCAAACTCTATAGATTCATTGACATAATTCGAAATATTGAGAAGTGAGACGATCTTGTTTTGTTACATATTTTATACAATTTCTATGTAAATTAATTTTCATTCTTTTTTTCTGTTTGTTTTGATATAATCTGTTAATCGCTGTAGCCTAAATGGGATGTTTAATGGAACAATCTATTTTAGCTATAGGGAGGGTATATAAGTAGGGATAATAAAACCACCAGGCCATATACTCTGTTGTCATAAGCTGTAGTCGAAATGGGACGTAGGCGAAATGGGAGGGTACCATTTAGACCTTACCTTGACGAATGAAAAGTTAAACCGTTTTTCCGATATAGACTGGATTAAAATTAACCAAGCGCGACCGATTGCCTTTCAGTGTAGACAAATCAAATACCGGTTCAAATCTGTGTCGCTAGAATTGAGTCATTTTGCGTGGTTCCGATTGCCCGGTTGCATGTGACAAGGAGTAGGGTCGCCTGTCCAACCTCCTGGGATTTCTCCGTGTGCTCCGGTTTCCTCCCACTGCTAAAGATCTCTACGCACAAGCGAATTATTGAAATAAAATTTAACCATATGTTAGTCCCGAAATGACCAAGTTTGTGTCGAGTAGACGTAAACTCTCTCTCTCCCCCCCTCTCTCTCTCTCTGTTGAGATGTTCAACAAACCCCAGGTGTTTATTATTAGTATAAATCTGTGATATTTTATGGAAGATACAAATTACCATATGTTAGTCTCAACATAATCAAAATGTTTTATTGATTAAATCTATTATTTAGAGATGGGGTGACTATATTATATATACAGTTATATATAGGTCCAATGGACAACCTTCGATCTCTGTTGTCCAAACGTTAATCTGAGTGGTAACACCCAGAGCCTTATATATAAGGGTCTGGTAACACCCATCACACCGCAAAAGGCACAGCCCTTACCATGATCTGAGAAGAGAGGGAGAGAGAAATGGGGTTTAACGTCCACTCGACACAAACTAGGTCATTTCGGGACTAACATGGAACAGAAATAATTTGTACGAAAATCAATTTGGGTTTTATAATAAATATGTAGGAAATCAAATCGGGTTTTACTCCTTACTCCAACCGCGGATAGTCTTTGAAATTTGTACAGTCTCAATTGGCATGTATTTTTAGTCATCTTCTGCTCACTAATTTTGCTGAATTTGTCCATTAGATTGTATCAGATGTCAAAATTTTAATCAGTTTCATTGTTATATTTTCCTAGTTGGTTATATTGGATAGCTGGATGGGAAGATACAGCTCTGTTAATGAAGTCAACATTAGACGGACAGAACCAAGTTGTTATATCTTCTGACTTAGAAAGACCAATGAGTTTATCTTTAGGTGAGATTCGGCGTCTGAAATTCACGTTACTAATATCAACGTAGTTTTAAATTTTGTCTGGCAGTTTTGGCCCGATTTTCACAAAATTCGAACTCAATGAACATTACGGTGTAACAGTGATATATTCGAAACTTTTTTTTTTAAATCGGATAATAATTGTGAAGGACAACAAGCTAAAAACATGATTTTTCATACAATCAGGGGCCATAATTCAGGAAGTTACTATCCGATATGCCCGAATATCGAAAGGAACCGGGTTATAAACATGCATTTCAAGTTTCATCCAAATCAGATCAAAATTGTGACCTCTACCACCCTTAGGGTGTAACGGTGATATACTAAAACGTTTTTCTAAATCGGATAACAATTATGACCTCGATAGGGTCCACAAGCAATAAAACGCGATTTTTCTTACAATCAGGGGCCATAAAAATCGGGAAGTTAAGGTCCGATATGGGCGAATATCGACAGGAACCAAGATCTTTGGGTTATCAACTTACATTTCAAGTTTCAACAAAATCGGATAAACATTGTGACCTCTATAGGGTCCACAAGCTAAAACGCGATTTTTCATACAATCAGGGGTCATAATCCATGAAGTTATGGTCCGATACATGGCAATATCGAAAGGAACCGAGATAAAAATTGTGACTTGTAGAGTGTCCACAAACAATTGTGGACGGACGGACAAGGGAGACGACAATATACGTCCACATGAAAATGTGGGCGTATAAAAACGTCCATTTTCACTTTTGACAGTGTATCTCTTTTCGAGTGAAATGGGGCCGTCAGATAAGCCGCCCATATGAACTGTTTATGTTCATGTGTAGGCAATTGGCCGGTTACTAAAATACACTGCTTACCTCTAATAAAAAGAGCAGTGCATTTCCGCAGTTTTGTATTGCTTCTGAATATCCCCTACTTTCTTTGAAGAGTATACATTACACGTGTTATATTTAAATATAAATGGTGTTCTGGCTTTATGGGACCCCAAGAACACATATTTGTTGTTAGTATACCCTGTCTCTAGCTCTACAAGTGTAATACATATAGAGTGACTGGTAGACAGATTCTGGTATCTAATGTGTTAGTAGTATACGCTGTCTCTGGTATCTAATGTATTAGTAGTATACGCTGTTAGTAGTATACGCTGTCTCTGGTATCTAATGTATTAGTAGTATACGCTGTCTCTACACATGTAATACATTTAGTGTTAGTGGTAGGCAGATTCTGGTATCTAATGTATTAGTAGTATACGCTGTCTCTACACATGATACATGTAATACATTTAGTGTGAGTGGTAGACAGATTCTGGTATCTGGTATTTATTGTATATATTTATAGATTATGATGAACAGAAATTATACTGGACTGAAGTATATTCTGTAAACCTGATTAAAAGTATTCGTGTCAATGGAGAAGGTCTGACAATAGTTCATCGTCCAGGCCTTCATTATCATTTTTCACCAAAGTACATAACAGTATCAAGGGTAGGTAACTTAAAATATGTATTATCACTGTCAACAAGGATTTATGGTGGACGAAGCGAATTATTGAAATGAAATTGAACCATATGTTAGTCCCTAAATGACCTACTTTGTGTCGAGTGGACGCTAGACCCCATTGCTCTGTCTGTTCAACTAGAATATAATTGCCTTCAATTATTTAAGTACATATTCGGCGATTTCAATCCCAAACTCTTGCAGCATTATATACAGGAAATAGTTCGGATATCAGCTTTTGGTGACAACTGCTTTCTGAGAGAAATCGTTTAGGCTAAAGCTTTGTGAGGTGAGCTGGGCGGTTAAACAGATTTACAACTTTGTCTCCGTTTGTAAATTTCCAATGATGTCAACTCGACCCTAGGAAAATTTATACAACGGGTTTTCGATTATCACCAATTAGCCCGGCAGCAGGTCCACAAACAAGGAAATATAGTCCACCCAATGTTTTTGAATGGAATATACATCTTCAATATGTGTTGATCCAGAATCCGGATTTAGCACCACCTGATGGTCGTATATGGAAAGAAAAAAAACCCCAAAGCTTATCACATCTGACGTGCTCCTTGATTTTCTCATATACGTTTTTCTATCAAGCAGGATACAGAATTTACTAGCATAAATTTAGATAAACTCAAAAATAAAATGTCTTTCATTCTCTCAACCTACTCAGCTACGTCAGAATCTCCCAAAAATTCTTAACCCTAACCCTAACCTAACAATCACGTGCCCTAACCATGTTTACATCTCGTGACACAGGTGGCCTTGTAAAATAGATTTAGCCGTCAAGAATTAGCCAAATTAATATAGATATGTAAGCAAATTGGACTCGACTTTAGTTGACTGTTGACTTAAACTGTACACAATTAGATGGATTTTACCGAAGTCAAATACATATAATTCGACACAAATCTGGAATATGCAAGATTGAGTTCGTGACCAACCGCCTGCACCAAAGAATACAAGTTTTAGCATCTAGGCAAAGTCGTTGAGACATGATAATGGACCGTCTGTCTCCTATATCTAATATTAAAACACCTTAATATTTTCCAGGATTATATCTACTGGACCCAAGGTTTAACATTTAGAGTTTTCGGACGTGAAAAAAATAATTCTAGAGAAATTACCAGATACAGAAACTTAGAAAAGTATGGTCGATGGGATATTCAGCAAAATATCTTTATGGGTATTCTTGCCATCGATCCAAGAAAACAGACAGATAGTAAGAATGTATTTTAACTGTAGTATTGATTGCACTACCCACCATGCTTGACGCTATTTTGTAGTAGCTTACTGACTACACGACAAACCATTTTTGACGCCATTTTATAGTAGCATAGACTACTGACTACACGACAAACCATGCTTGGTGCCATTCTATGTTAACCTACTGATTACACGACACACCATTATAGTTCCCTACTGACTTGATTAAAAGACAAACCATGCTAAACAACATTATCAACCCAATTGACATGTCAAATTGAGTTTCTTATTTGTTCAGAGTTATTAGGAGACTAACATTGATAATTCCTGTGAAGTCACGAGTATTTACCCCACTGATCAGCAGTGAATATTCCCTAGTCCGCTACCATCACTGATAGGAAATGACATCGATGCGACTTAATGAGCCCCAAATATTAACTTTTTTCCTTCTGCAAATTAAATTCTAGAACACCTTTTTAAGCACTAGAAAAAAAATAAAGATATTTCAAGTATATGTAAGTAAAAAATATTTCCTATTTTGTGTAAATGGTTATGTAAAATGAGTATAAAGGGCAGCATTCTTCTAGGACTAGTAACGTCTTATGTAAACAATGTACGCGCCATTAAGCCAATGATTGACGCCGCGTGATGTGACTTCATATGATAAATGAGTCATCTTTTACAGAGCTATTAGTCTTCGCAATACCTCTGTGAAACAAAATGAGTATTTGTATGTACGCATAAAACCTTTTTACTAGAGGAGATAACAAATCATTCCATTCTGTTGGTTAAACTCTATTTTAATTTTTTTTAGGTCCAAGTCTCTGTGGAGATAATAATGGTGGATGTTCCCATTTCTGTCTACCTTCGTTGATACAATCTATTCCGCCATATAAATGCGCGTGCCCAGATGGAATGAATTTAATGGACGACACCTCAACATGTTCAGATGAAATACCGATTTAACCCTTATGACGCGATGATATATATGTTCGCTTACTTACCAGAAAATAACATTAGCCATGACATTTCTAAAAATAATAATAAAAGCAATTTATATAGCGGGTGATTACTAACCATTTAGTTACGTATGCGTTTTCAAGTAAGGGTGGGGGGATGGTCGAATGGTTAGCGCGTGCGCGTTGTATCATAAGGTCTGTCATTGACTCAATTGGCGTGGCCTGTCCAACGTGGGGTTTTCTCGGGTCCTCCGGTTTCCTCCCACAGCGAATTATTGAAATAAAATTGAACCATATGTTAGTCCCGAGAAGACCTGGTTTGTGTCGAGTGGACGTTAAACCTTGTCACGTACAAGGGGGAAATTGAAACCATGCCACTTGACGCAATCCTAGACCTAATGATTTAACCTTTCGGCCACCCAAGTCACTGGATCTATTGTATATACATTTCATCTTATTGCCATAATTTTTCTATTGTCACCAAGTCATGCCTCCAACTCAGTATCAGTGAATTCAAGAAATGGGTGGAAACCCAGGTTTGCGATAGCACGCGGTTACATAATTCACGGACTCAAAAAGGAACTATTTTAACTTCGTGCAGAAATCAAATGTTGAGAAAAATGGGCAGTCAAAGAAAAGTAACTGATAGAATAATTCAAAATAAACACTGTTTTGTGGTAGGTTGATTTGTAAAAGTTGAAGTAAACGAGGAAATAATTTGACTTATTTGTACCCCTTATGGTACCTTTTTGATAGGTTATTCCTGTCAAATGATCACATGATATTTCTTTGGTAAAGTGGGACTTCGCAGCGCTCTTGAAGAGATAGTATCCCTAATTTTGGTGGAATAAAATGTCGTATCTAGTCAAATTGCTGTTACCTGGTTTATAAGATGAGATCCCAAACCCCCGGGCGTGTGTTTAGACACCAGCACATGCCACAAAAACAATGGAAGTCGAAGAGCGATTTTTGAAAAGACAGAAGATGATTGAACTATTAATAAACAAGGGGAATTACCCAGAACAGAATGGTGAAATTATTCAATTTAGACTATCAATGGGAAACAGATCCGGCCCAAACTGTTTTGGTTGGATTACTGATCAAGCAAAACAGGGCCCACTGTCACGCAAGCTTAAATCTCTGATAATCGAGTGTATAGCTTAAAATTATGACCTTAACTTAAGATAAGCCATATTTATCAAACTCATTTTCACAAGATTTCGAGTTACAATCGGTTTTAAGTTAAAAGGGCGTTAGGCAAGATTAGAAAAAAAAGCTGACAGGTCTCGCTATAATAGTTACAAAATAGATAATGAAAACAGACTATGCTATTTTAGGTTTCAAAGAATAGAAATTTAGCCCCTGGTGGCTCAGTGAGTAACGAGTTGGCTAGCTAACCTGCATATCTCGTGTTCGATCCCTGTAATGACCGAGACGGGACTTTCCGGCGTGGTTCCCCCATGTCATTGAAGCAGGAAGGAGGGCATCGCATAGTTCTTCGGGTGGTATGGAAAACCGAGGTCCCGTTTACTCATTGGTATGCACATAAAAGAACCCATGGCAGTTGGAATTCGAAATAAGAGTTGGCCGTGGTGCCGTTGACGGGCAAAATTTCTCTCATGGCACACTGTATGGCGTATGCCCGTCATCATTATCGCAGTCTGTGCAGAAAAGTTGGACGTTAAACCCCATTTCATTTCATTTCTCCCTAGATAGATTTTTTTATCATTACTAATATTATTATTATTTTAATATTTGATTTACATATATTTTGTTTTTACTTTTATTATTAGACTATCGGATGACCCCGCGTAGCACGGATATAGCCATGAACCGGAACTAGCATAACTCCAAAACCTGAAGTGGTAGTCCATCGCCACCAGGTCCATGCTACTCCCCGGTCCGAGCTACCACTATACACCAAATTTAAACCTCGGGACAGCCCTGGTGTAGCCGCCAACCCTGAACAGACAAACAGACAGGCAGACAAACGACAGTCACAAATATTAGTATACTAGCAGGATACCCGGCTTCGCTCGGGGGTCATAACTCCGAAACCGGAAGTGGTAGACTAACGCCACCTGGCCTATGATACTCCTCGGTCCGAGCTACCCCTATACCCAAAATTTCAGACTCTGCGCAGACCTAGTGTAGCCACGAACCCCGAACAGACCGGCTTCGCTCGGGGGTCATAACTCCGAAACCGGAAGTGGTAGACTAACGCCACCTGGCCCATGTTACTCCCCGGTCCGAGCTACCCCTATATCCCAAATTTCAGACTCTGGGCAGACCTAGTGTAGCCGCCAAACCCCGAACAGACAGACAAGCAGATACCCGTCTTCGCTCGGGGGTCATAACTCCGAAACCGGAAGAGGTAGACTAACGCCACCAGGCCTATGTTACTCCCCGGTCCGAGATACCCCTATACCCCAAATTGCAGACTCGGGGCAGACCTAGTGTAGCCGCCAACCCTGAACAGACCGGATTCGCTCGGCGGTCATAACTCCGAAACCGGAAGTGGTAGACTAACGCCACCTGGCCTATGTTACTCCCCGGTCCGAGCTACCCCTATACCCCAAATTTCAGACTCGGGGCAGACCTAGTGTGGCCGCCAAACCCGAACAGACAGACAGACAGACAGACAAACGACAGTCACAAATATATATATATATATAGAAGATAGAAGATTGTGTTAATGACATTTAGTAATCAGGGGCCATAATCCATGAAGTTACGGTCCGATACATGCCAATATCGAAAGGGACTGTACGCAAATTGTTAAAAGTATGTAATACGAAGGTTGTGGATCCTCTAGAGGTCACAGTTTTTATCCGATTTTGATGAAACTGAAAATATATGTTTATCTCATTCAATGTCGATATTTGCGCACTTCAGACCATAACTAATTGTTTTTAGCTTGTTCTCTATCAATCTCTTGCAAAATTTAGGCGTATCTAGCCTGGCAACCGCTGGTTACTGGAAGGCCATCAACAGCAAACATTCAAGAAAAAACTACGTGGGTGCATGACATGGTGATGGCTGATCAACGCTCAAGCAATCTTCTGTTTTATTGCTGAATCCCGAATCCCAAATAACGTGCTGGCTCGTTATTCGGGATTCGCCGACTTCTAATTTCGCGAGTCCCAGAATTCGTTTGCCAATCAAAACCGTCCGATGCTTAAGATGGCAAACAAAATGCCGACCTCCAACATTACTGAAGGTGTTGATTAGTATCATGACGTAGACTACTGGATTTTTTTTTATCCATGCAAGATAAAAATTTAGATCATCCAAAATGGCAACTTGAAGTTGGCACTTTATTCGTGATTCGAATAACGAATAACGAGCCAGCAAGATAATTGTGGTTCGGGATTCGCCATTAAAACAAACAGGTCTACCTTCCATCCGACCATTACTCGCTACCTCCGACCCCAGGGGTAAGTGAACGTCGGGTGGCCGACTAGTACGGAGACGGCAGCTTCTCAAGCGAGTAGAGTGCTGACTGGTTTGTTGGAGTGCACGGGGCGGTAAGTGAACGTTGGGTGACCGACTAGCAAGGAGACGACTGTTTGTCGAGCGAACAGGGTGTTGACTGGTTTGTTGGCGCGCACTGGACAGTCCTCTCCTGCACTCACCTGTTTTATTGTCGAATCCCGAATAACGAGGATATTTAGGATTCGGAAGTAAAACAGACTACCTTCCGGACCCGACCATTTCATCACGCTAGTAGGGTGCTGACTGGTTTGTTAGAGTGCACCGGACAGTCATCTACAGCAATCACCGGTTTTATTGCCGAATCCCGAATCGGCCACCCAATGAGAAAATGGACGGATGCAATATAGATCCTTCTGTTGTTTGTCTGCCTGTCTGTTTGTCTGTTCAGGGTTGGCGGCTACACCAGTGCTGTCCGGGGGGCTTAAATTTGGTGTATAGGGGTAGCTCGGACCGGGGAGTAGCATGGACCTGGTGGCGATGGACTACCACTTCAGGTTTCGGAGTTATGCTAGTTCCGGTTCATGGCTATATCCGTGCTACGCGGGGTCATCCGATAGTCTAATAATAAAAGTAAAAACAAAATATATGTAAATCAAATATTAGTTACCAGGGGCTAAATTTCTATTCTTTGAAACCTAAAATAGCATATTCTGTTTTCATTATCTATTTTCTAACTATTATAGCGAGACCTGTCAGCTTTTTTTCTAATCTTGCCTAACGCCCTTTTAACTTAAAACCGATTGTAACTCGAAATCTTGTGAAAATGAGTTTGATAAATATGGCTTATCTTAAGTTAAGGTCATAATTTTAAGCTATACACTCGATTATCATTGATTTAAGCTTTCGTGATTGTGGGCCCTGTTTTGCTTGATCAGTAATCCAACCAAAACAGTTTGGGCCGGATCTGTTTCCCATTGATAGTCTTAATTGAATAATTTCACCATTCTGTTCTGGGTAATTCCCCTTGTTTATTAAAGATACATTATGGGAGATTTTTATAGAGAGTTGCCCATTCTTGATATAACGGTTCAAAAGTGGATCTAACTGACGTATTTTCATCAGGTTGCCCCATACTTGATTTAATCAATTAGTGAAATCCTATTGAAATCCGAGCTGTAGTCGAGCCATCCGTAGGTCTACAGAGTTGATTTTGGGCTTGTTGTTTAAATAAAGATCTAATTTATAATTTCTATAACATCTGAAGCCTAATATAAGACTTGCAATAATTAGATTTAGCTCTTGCATAATGCATGTTTAATAGTTCAATCATCTTCTGTCTTTTCAAAAATCGCTCTTCGACTTCCATTGTTTTTGTGGCGTGTGCTGGTGTCTAAACACATGCCCGGGGGTTTGGGATCTCATCTTATAAACCAGGTAACAGCAATTTGACTAGATACGACATTTTATTCCACCAAAATTAGGGATACTATCTCTTCGAGAGCGCTGCGAAGTCCCACTTTACCATAGGAACAGGTCACATGACCAAAGAAATATCATGTGATCGTTTGACAGGAATAACCTATCAAAAAAGTACCATAAGGGGTACAAATAAGTCAAATTATTTCCTCGTTTACTTCAATTTTTACAAATCAACCTACCACAAAACAGCAGTGTTTATTTTGAATTATTTTATCAGTTACTTTTCTTTGACTGCCCATTTTTCTCAACATTTGATTTCTGCACGAAGTTAAAATAGTTCCTTTTTGAGTCCGTGAATTATGTAACCGCGTGCTATCGCAAACCAGGGTTTCCACCCATTTCTTGTTTTCACTGATACTGAGTTGGAGGCATGACTTGGTGACAATAGAAAAAATATGGCAATAAGATGAAATGTATATACAATAGATCCAGTGACTTGGGTGGCCGAAAGGTTAAATCATTAGGTCTATGATTGCGTCAAGTGGCATGGTTTCAATTTCCCCCTTGTGCGTGACAAGGATTAGGGTCGCCTGTCCAACATCGTGGGTTTTCTCCGGGTCCTCCGATTTTCCCCAACCGCTAAAGAACCCTACGCGCCAGCGAATTATTGACAACCCCATAAGACACAAGTCTTCTCGGGACTAACATATGGTTCAATTTTATTTCAATAATTCGCTGTGGGAGTAAACCGGAGGACCCGAGAAAAACCCACGTTGGACAGGCCACGCCAATTGAGTCAATGACAGACCTTATGGTACAACGCGCACGCGCTAACCATTCGACCATCCCCCCACCCTTACTTGAAAACGCATACGTAACTAAATGGTTAGTAATCATCCGCTATATAAATCGCTTTTATTATTATTTTTAGAAATGTCATGGCTAATGTTATTTTCTGGTAAGTAAGCGAACATATATATCATCGCGTCATAAGGGTTAAATCGGTATTTCATCTGAACATGTTGAGGTGTCGTCCATTAAATTCATTCCATCTGGGCACGCGCATTTATATGGCGGAATAGATTGTATCAACGAAGGTAGACAGAAATGGGAACATCCACCATTATTATCTCCACAGAGACTTGGACCTAAAAAAAATTAAAATAGAGTTTAACCAACAGAATGGAATGATTTGTTATCTCCTCTAGTAAAAAGGTTTTATGCGTACATACAAATACTCATTTTGTTTCACAGAGGTATTGCGAAGACTAATAGCTCTGTAAAAGATGACTCATTTATCATATGAAGTCACATCACGCGGCGTCAATCATTGGCTTAATGGCGCGTACATTGTTTACATAAGACGTTACTAGTCCTAGAAGAATGCTGCCCTTTATACTCATTTTACATAACCATTTACACAAAATAGGAAATATTTTTTACTTACATATACTTGAAACATCTTTATTTTTTTCTAGTGCTTAAAACGTGTTCTAGAATTTGCAGAAGGGAAAAAAGTTAATATTTGAGGCTCATTAAGTCGCATCGATGTCATTTCCTATCAGTGACTGTAGCGGACTAGGGAATATTCACTGCTGATCAGGGGGGTAAATACTCGTGACTTCACAGGAATTAGATCACAATTATTTTTTCTATTGATAACAATGTTAGTCTCCTAATAACTCTGAACAAATACGAAACCCAATTTGAAATGTCAATTGGTTTGATAATGTTGTTTAGCATGGTTTGTCTTGTAATCAAGTCAGTAGGGAACTAGAATGGTGTGTCGTGTAGGTTACCACAGAATGGCACCAAGCATGGTTTGTCGTGTAGTCAGTAGTCTCAAGCATGGTGGGTCGTGCAACCAATACTACAGTTAAAATACATTCTTACTATCTATCTGTCTGTTTTCTTGGATCGATGGCAAGAATACCCATAAAGATATTTTGCTGAATACCCCGTTGACCATACTTTTCTAAGTTTCTGTATCTGGTAATTTCTCTAGAATTATTTTTTTCACGTCCGAAAACTCTAAATGTTAAACCTTGGGTCCAGTAGATATAATCCTGAAAATATTGAGGTGTTTTAATATTAGACATAGGAGACAGGCGGTCCATTATCATGTCTCAACGACTTTGCCTAGATGCTAAAACTTGTATTCTTTGGTGCAGGCGGTTGGTCAGAAACTCAGTCTTGCATATTCCAGATTTGTCTGGAATAACAGGTATTTGTCTTCGGTAAAATCCATCTAATTGTGTACTGTTTAAGTCAACAGTCGACTAAAGTCGAGACCAATTTGCCTACATATCTATATTAATATGGCTAATTCTTGACGGCTAAATCTATTTCACAAGGCCACCTGTGTCACGAGATGTAAACATGGTTATGGCACGTGATTGTTAGGTTAGGGTTTGGGTTAAGAATTTGGGGGAGATTCTGACGTAGCTGAGTGGGTTGAGAGAATGAACGACATTTTATTTTTGGGTTTATCTAAATTCATGCTAGTAAATTCTGTATCCTGCTTGATAGAAAAACGTATATAAGAAAACCTAGACAATTAAGGACAAAACAAAGATTTGTAGCACGTCAGATGTGGTCAGCTTTGGGTTTTTTTCTTTCCATATCAGACCGTCAGGTAGTGCTAAATCCGGATTCTGAATCAACACATATTGAAGATGTATAATCCATTAAAAAACATTAGATGGACTATATTTCCAGGTTTATCTACCCGATGCCGGGCTAATTGGTGATAATCGAAAACCCGTTGAATAAATTTTCCTAGGGCCAAGTTGACATCATTGGAAATTTACAAACGGAGATAAAGTTGTAAATCTGTTTAACCGCCCCGCTCATCCCACAAAGCTTTCGCCTAAACGATTTCTCTCAGAAAGCAGTTGTCACCAAAAGCTGATATCCGAACTATTTATTCCTGTATATAACGCTGCAAAAGTTTTGGACTGAAATCGCCGAATATGTACTTATTATATTCTAGTTGAAAAGATAGAGCAGTAGGTCATTTAGAGACTAACCAATTTCATTTCAATAATTCGGTTGCGCGTGGACATTTTACCCCCCCCCCCCCCACCATGCATCCTTGTTGAAAGCGATAATACATATTATTTTAAGTTACCTACCCTTGATACTGTTATGTACTGTGGGGAAAAATGATAATGAAGGACTGGACGATGAACTATTGTCAGACCTTCTCCATTGACACCAATACTTTTAATCAGGTTTACAGAATATACTCCAGTCCAGTATAATTTCTGTTCATCATAATCTATAAATATATACAACACATTAGATACCAGAATCTGTCTACCACTCAGGCTATTATGTATTACACGTGTAGAGCTAGTGACAGCGTATACTACTAACATATTATATACCAGAATCTGCCAACCAATCACACTATATATGTTACACTTGACTTGTAGAGCTAGAGAATATATATACTAATATATAACACAATAGATACACGTATAGAGCTAGAGACAGTGTATACTAATAACTCATTAGATACCAGAATCTGTCTTATCACTCACACTGTATGTATTACACTGAATAATAATAATAATAATAATAATACATTCTTAATATAGAGCATTCTACAAATATAACATAAATATCACTAAAAATGCATGGCAAAGTCTCAACGCGCTTTACAGAGACATGGGTTATAAAAATATATATTATGATTTACTTGTAGAGCTAGAGACGGGGACATCTCACTGTGCCCCCTGCTATTGTTCTCATGGGGGGATTAATCAAGCAAGGGGATTATCGAATACAATGGTGTTAAAAGTATAGTCTGTTTTTTTTAAAACTACTAGGTTTAAACTAATTAACAACTTTATTCACAATAAATTTCATAAAAGTAACACCAATACATGTATCAAACATAAATCATAACCCTACTAAATGTGATATGGCGTCAGTATATTCAATTGCACTTTTTACTCCATTTAACAGTTTGATTTTTAGAACATTAAATAGATTCTTCTACTCTTTTATATTTTCATCTTTTAGGGGGCAATCGTCCCCCGTTATCCAATTGAACTATTGTATTTTCAGTAAAAGTCTGCTGGTGCTATTGGGTTTCGTATTTTTTACTCTGTACTTATACCCCAATTAACTAAATTTTAACCTCCTTGAAAATTAGGAATAAACCCTATGCGAACTTGAGCCATTTTAAAAGATATAATGTATTTGGGGGTGACAACTATCCTTATATAATGATAGTGAGTTTCTAATCATATATTTGATTCATTTATGAGTACTGTCTGAATGAAAGGTAGGTGAATAATATTTAAGATACTCGTTAACCGTTGACACGTGAACTTAACTTATATATTTTAATCATTAAAATAATTAAATTTTAACTAGGTGAACAGTACTAATAAGGATACAGTCTATAATCCTTTGTTTACTTAAATTTTCACACCACTACCCTATAACACCAGTTGATTGGGGGGCACAGTGAGATTAAACCCTAGAGACAGCGTACACTAATAATACATCATGTACACGTGTAGAGCTAAAGACAGCGTACACCTACTAATAATACATTAAATACCAGAGTCTGCCTACCACTCACACTATATGTATTACACGTGTAGAGACAGTGTATCCCAATAACACATTAGATACCAGAATCTGCCTACCACTCACACTATATGTATTACACGTGTAGAACTAGAGACAGTGTATACTAACAACAATTATGTGTTCTTGGGGTCCCATAAAGACAGAAAACCATTCGTATTTAAATATAACAAGTGTAAGTATATTACTCTAGACAGCGGATAAATGGCGTCCCAAGATAGAAAAGATGACGTCAATAGATAGAAAAGATGACGTCAATAGATAGAAAAGATGACGTCAATAAATCAATATAATAGGAACTTAAGTAATTTTGTGGCTGACGTAGCTCAAAATTTATTGCTTCGTTCGCTATATATAGCCACAGGTTGTATTTGGATTTCAGAATCTGGACCTACATGTACTTGGATTTCAGAAGCTGACACAACTTTGATATAAGTAACGTTGAGTTCAGAATTTAAAACTACGTTGATATCAGTAACGTGAATTTCAGACGCCGAATCTCAGACGCCGAATCTCACCTAAACTCATTGGTAGTTCTAAGTCAGAAGATATTTCAACTCGGTTCTGTCCATCCAATGTTGACTTCATTAACATGGCTGGATATTCCCATCCAGCTATCCAATATAACCAACTAGTAAAATATAACAACCAAACTGATTAAAAGTTTAGCAAAATTAATGAGCAGAAGATGACTAAAAATACATGTCAATTGAGACGGTACACAATTCAAAGACTATCCGCGGTTGGAGTAAAGAGTAAAGAGTGATTTCCTACACCTTTATTATAAAACCCGATTTGATTTTCGTACAAATTATTTCTGTTCTTTTCTCAGATCATGGTAAGGACTGTACCCTTTTTCGGTGTGATAGGTGTTACTACTCAGATTAACAAACACCTGGGGTTTGTTGAACATCTCTTTAGAGTTACCTAAAGGTAGTTTAGGAGAGAGAGAGAGAGAGAGAGAGAGAGAGAGAGTTTACGTCTACTCGACACAAACATGGTCATTTCGGGACTAACATATGGTTAAATTTTATTTCAATAATTCGCTTGCGCTTAAGGGTCTTTAGCAGTGGGCGGAAACCGGAGTACACGGAGAAAAGCCAGGAGGTTGGACAGGCGACCCTATTCCTTGTCACACACAACCGGTCAATCGAAACCACGCCAGTTGACTCAATTCTAGCGACACAGAGTTGAACCGGTACACCGGGATATTGTAGTCCTGTTTTTGCTTTAAAGGAGTTAAATCTCTGTTTTGGAACCCAAAATCGACGAAAATGGGTAAAAAGGGCACATATTAATATAAACTGATTTACATTCAATTGTTTTAAAACTTTTATTTATCGTAATTTTTAATCAGTTTTGTTCACTGAAATATTTGAGTTGTCTACATTGAAAGGCAATCGGTCGCGCTTGGTTAATTTTAATCCATTCTACTTCGGAAAACGGGTTACCTTTTCATTCGTCAAGGTAAGGTCTAAATATTAAGGCCACATGCAGATTTCGTCAGGGGGGGCCTCTTTACAAATCGCGATCGAGGGCATAGAGTACTGGTTTTGAAATTGTTCAGTGTCCTAAATACTAGATATCAGGAGACTATATCTTCACGGTAAGATAACAACATCACTGTTGATTTGAATGGACCAATAACTCATGTTTGTAATGTCGGAGACTCTGGATAATATTGAGCTAGAGCTTTACGCTCATTAAATAAAATTAAGTTGTTACCCAGTTTTAGGATCCACTTCTAAATCTCGAACACGATGTACATAAGTTAATGTTTTCCTGGCTCCAGTTTCTGGGTTGATTACTATGAGTTTATGTAGTTTACTGTCACTGACGTATAAATTATTATGTATCCAATCATACGCCAGACCTTCCGGGTAACCCAAACCACCTTCCAATATAACCTTCTGTTCTGGATCACCACCACCAGCTTTTAAACTTGATGAAAAATTAAATAAAATTTCCAAGGGAGCTCGCTTAGAGAGCTGAGGGCAACCATTTTAATTGCCAATAGTCATAATTCATTGGCTATAGGCGATCAGATGTCATACCCAATATGATTGCCGCCAACAGATTCCGAAGCGAGCCGCCTTGAAGTACCATCCCTACATCCTATCACATTTAAGAAACAAAAAAGTATTGGCTATCGATGTAATTGTGCCATAGCTGATTTCATAGAAAATCAAGGTTCAGAAAGGGTCAGGGTATTTCCCGAAAATTTACCGAATGCTGTTTTAAGGGTTGCGGTGGGATTCCGTGGAGGACAAAAAAATTAACCTAAATGGAGAAAAGCTATAAGGAAAAAAAACAATTACCGAGATAGAGGCTAGTTCATCATGTTGGCGGTTCAGTCGCGTGCATAGGTATCAACTATTTATATATAATGGTCGTGTATTGTAGTTTGAGTTTATTCTGTAACATACTGACGATTCACTCTCTTGAACACTTCAAGTAACGAAGTTAGTTTCTTTGTCTCTTGACCCAAATATTTTGACAGATATAAAAAAAAAGATGATTGGTCGCATCAGTACCGGGATTTGGATCCAATTTATTACGTCATCTGGAACAGTCTCTAGAAAAAGATTTTTGAAGGACGCACGAAACACTACGGAAAAAAATCTGGCGGATACAATTCGAGCTAAAAAAAAAAGGTTGGAAATAAGCTTAGAAGAAATATGAAATTCGATGTCTGGTGGAAAAGGCATTAACATGACGCGCGACATATTGACTACTTGTTTATTTAAATTGGGGTAGGTATGATGTGACTTCTCAGTCCGGCAAAAGATAAGTTGGCATTCTCTTTTAAAACTCGTCCTTGGTTAACGCTACTTGAGCTCTAGATCTGCAATTGGCAGAGAAGATGTCAACAGCCATATTGTATGGAATGTGAAATATTATAGGTAAAATACTTTTGAAATTATTTAAATGGTGTACTCGTTTCGTTCTTGGTAACTCGATATATTCTCGGATATGCAGGTTCCGGGTATAAAACCGACTCCCTTTGAAAGTTCCCTTTATCGGGCAAAAGGGAAGAATTGTAGCACGATTATCATTTACCTATAAACGTCCCTTGTATATAAATCAGACCAATAAATCATATTCCCTCTGTAGTTAAAATCTATACAAGTAGACCCACCGCCTCGTCGACCCTTCAAATTTATCTCTTCAATGACAGTAGCATTGACTCCACCAGATGGATCAAAAATATCCATTCTTTTTGCTTTAATATCCAGCACGGCGATCAAAGGACCTTCATCTGAAATATTTTCATTTTGAATTATTTGAAAAGTTATCAGCAACGCACAACAAACATGAAATTCTCAGATGTCATGTTGCCAACTCTTTAAAATACAGATCTATATTACGTTTCGTTTTTAATACTTTCTATGGCCTACACTACATGAAGATCTGGGCAGTTTACGTAGGACGAGGAACACGTCTCATTGTCACATACACGTGTCCGATTGAATATTTGATACTAGAATACGCGAGTTAGATACCGTATAGAATGGTATAATAATAATACATGATTAACCTTGTCTAGGGAATATTATACAGTCCGTATAGAAAGGTATAATAATAATAAATGGTTTATCTTGTCTAGGGAATACTATAAATACCGTACAGAATGGTATAATAATAATAAATGGTTTACCTTGTCTAGGGAATACTATACAGTCCGTATAGAATGGTAAAATCATCCACAGAATAATAAGTAGATTCGACATGACTGTGCTAAAGTCCAGTTTCAACTGAATAGGATATAGTAATGTATCACCGTAGTTTAATATAGGGAATAAATTACCATTGTAGTGAATACAGCATAAAGTAGCATAAAGTATTCATTTAATATTTTGTTTCCATGATACGTTTTTATTTGAGCATTTTGTTGGTTGGCCTGGTGTAGCTTTTGTTGGCTGGGCTGATGTAGCTTTTGTTGGTTGGGTTTGTGTAGCGTTTGTGGCTTGGGCTGATGTAGCTTTTGTTAGTTGAGCTGGTGTATCCTTTTGTCGGTTGGGTTGGTGTAACGTTTGTTGGTTGAGCTGGTGTAGCTTTTTGTTGGTTGGGCTAGTGTAGCTTTTGTTGGTTGGGCTTATGTAGTTTTTGTTGGTTGGGCTAATGTAGCGTTTTGTTGGTTGGGCTGGTGTGGCTTTTGTTGGTTGAGCTGGACCTGTAGCTTTTGTTGGTTGGTCTAGTGTAACTTTTGTTGGTTGGGCTAATGTAGCTTTTTGTTGGTTGGGCTGGTGTAACTTTTGAAATTGAGTGTTCGAGTCCTGGGGCCGATTCCTAGAAAATTCTTAAGCACGTTCTTGTGCTTACATTTAAGTAGACTTTGCATTTAAGTAAACTTACCTTATTTTGTGTTCCCAGAAAATTCTTAAGAACGTTCTTGTGCTTAGATTTTAAGTAGACTTCATTGTAAGCAAAAGAACGTTATTATGCGTTCCAAGAAAAAACTTAAGCACAACTTCGTTCTTAAACATAGTCAATCTAAGCACAAGTCCCAAGCAAGGTATACGGCTTGCTTACCAACCTTAGGTCTGTTTCTGCTTCAAAAAGATGGCTGACCGTAGAGTTATTCGACGGCATTTCCGACACCTTTGATACTAATTAAATTTCAAATTAAAATGCTATAGAAAATTTCGCTTCTAGGCCTACCCTGAAACCATTTTATTTATTTGCCAGGCTACAAACACACAGGCTACTTTAAGATCAGGCGCTCTCACAATTATTCACTTAGTTTGTATGTGTCTGCGTTTTTTATCTTGTGGCACATTTTATATGTGAATAGGGGACATGTCAAATGCATCGAAATGAACCATGTATAATATATATGACGTCAATGAAGCAGACGACAAATTTAAGACGTAATTCTCATACCAAAGTTGTTTTTATGACGTTAAAGAGCATCGTAGTCTCAGTTTATGGGAAACTTTACCAGTCACAATGTGCTTAGACTTATACTTGACTTGTGCTTTTGTAAGAATGTTCTTGAGAATTTTCTAGGGACGGTATTTTTATAAGTTTCTTACGTAAGAAAAAGTGAAGCATGACTTTGTGCTTGCTTTAAGAATTTTCTAGGAACCGGGCCCAGATATGCGCCTACCAAATATCCTGCGTTCGCCACTCTTAACCCTCTAACATAGAGATTGTTCAATGTAGTATAACAGCGATGTTATAACTATAATTTACACCATTTAAAATACCGACGTTTATAAAAATAATTATTATGAATGTCAAACAAGACAATCATAGAACAATTGAAATTCCGGTGTCGGTGAGTAAGGCGATCAACGACGGTCCTGTGTACACGTTGTGTGTATACTTTAAAGAACCTTTAACAGCTGGAATTCGAAATTATTTTAGTCCTTTGCGATATTAAGTTAGGCCTTCAAGATCCCCGCATCTTATGATTTTGATGTGAGTAAGAGTTTGACTCGCTAACCAGAAGGTTCCTGGTTCGATAATAGTGTTGGCCGAGATAATTCATCAGGATTTTCCATCGTGGTTCCCCTTTGTCTGTCGTTAGGATGGGACAAAAAGTCGAGGTCCAGTGTACATATTGGCTTGCACGTCAAAAGACCCTTGACAGTTGGAATTCGAAAAACGAGTAGGTCGTAATGGAGCTGTCCAGGAAAAGTGTCCCTACGGCACACATTGTGGCGTATGCCCGTTTTCATTAGCTCAGTCCAACCTCGTGGGTTTTCTCCGGGTCCTCCGGTTTCCTCCCACTGCTAAAGACCCCTACGGGCAAGCGAATTATTGAAATAAAATTAAAACCATATGTTGGTCCCGAAATGACCTGGTTTGTGTCGAGTGGACGTTAAACCCAATTCTCTCTCTCTCATTAGCTCAGTTGGTGCAGAACAGTGGGAAGTTAAACCCCATTTCATTTCCTTGCATTTACTGCTTCTGAGGCATTTATCAATAACTATAGGTTTATTAACTAAATAAAGCTTCGCCACGACCCAGTAGGAACAACTAACTTACGGTACTAGTGCGGGATAACACCTTCGCCTGGACGTCTTGACCGGATGGCATTGATTTTCAGATTTCATTCCCAGGTCATGTAAAATTGTAAACTATACATTCCGTTAAGTAAACACAGTATACATGACAGCAATATAAATTCAACATTATGAAACAAATCGACATACTGTGGTTTATGATGAAAGTATATTTTAGTTATGTTAAATACATCATATGATATTCAAATAAGGTATAATTACTTGCTTTATATACAAATTCAGTTATTCAAGTAAAGTGAGATAATAATATTCAATAATATTAGAAAATGAATTATGGTGAAATGAAATGGGGTTTAACGTCCTGCTGTTCTGCACCAACTGGGCTAATCAAGACGAGCATACGCCATACAGTAAGCTATAGGGCGAAATGACCAAGGCGTTGATAACAGTTTTGCGAGCACCCGGATTCGGATAATTCCTAATTTTGGAGACAGATCTCATTTGGAAATGCAATCGGTTTATGATGTTGTTTATTTGAGATACAGCAGACAGATGATCATTCATTAGATATCCAAGGTTTTTAACTTGAGATTTTGGGAGGATACCTCAGTTTCCAATCCGGATTCCATCAGCTTTTATTAATATACGTGCTTGCGCCTTAGTTGATATTAGTAGAAATTCAGATTTATCATCTGTTTTAGTTGTTTGTTCAACATCCATTTGCGAATGTCCACAAACAATTTCCCAGCTACGTTAGGGATAATATCATAGTATCGTGGTTACCAAGAGCAAGAAAAAAAGACCTATATTTGAGTATCATCGGTAAATCCTTGGTTGCACACAGTGTGTTTTCTTATTAGCTAGCCGATTGGCAAGATATAGATGAGATAGCACAAGGGACCTAACACAGACCCTTGAGGAACGCCAATAGTTAAACATACATTATGCAAGAGCTAAATCTGCCTATTGCAGGTCTTTTTTAGGCCTGAAATGTTATATACACTATTAATTAGACATTTATTAACAAAACAAGACCATAACCAACTCTAGATGGCATCAGATACTCGAGATTTTATCTAGATTAGAACGGTTCGTCATTTACAAATTTAATTTAAATATGAGAAAGCGAGGCTAGGTCTCGAATATAACGATGCCGTGGTTACCACTATACACACATCTTGTCAAAACTACAAACAGTGATAACTTGGCACAGAATGAAGTAATTTGAATGAAATTTTCAATATTTTAATTTTACATTAACCATTTTTGAGCTATTATAGTAAGAATGGTCAGCTCGTTATCTAAATCTTACATAATGTATCTTTAATGATTTAGGTTTGGAAACTGATCTATTGCATTGAATTTTCTGTGATCTGTTATGAAGGTACGATATGATCCATTGATCATCTTATATTGGCGGGAAATAGGATAATGTTGATATCAGTTATGATTATCCCATAGATTAGTGCTTTCTAGCACTGTACATATCTAAAGAGGTGTATAGGTTGCCATTTGGGTTAAGGACAATTCCTAAAATTGACGAGAAATGTGATAATGTTGGTATATACATGATGATCATTATATAGATCGGTAAAACATAAAATTTATAGTAATGTACAGCTCCAAATATGTGTATATGATGCTACTTGGACAACTGCTTGTATTTTGGGGGACAAAAATTTCAATTGTCGTGTAATTTACTTGTTTGACATTCAAAATAATTATTTTGATTAACGTCGGTATTTTAAATGGTGTAAATCACCAGGGTACTATATTGTTACAGGGATTTGAGTATCTTGAGAGTCTTGGACCATTCGGCCATCCGGCCCGCTTATCTCTGTCCAACTACCAAACACGATAAAGTATTAATAGCACACAGAAGATAGGTCTACAATGAAATATCACGGTTAATGTCAATTGTTGTCTATAATAAGTAAAATTACTCTGTGTGTGAAATAGCTTGCTTGATGTCTGTTTCCGCTCCGCCGACAATACGATGATACCTGTAACCTGGTTAGTTGTATTAGACTGGACTTTATTACAAACATGGCGACTCTAGTTATCATTCTGTGGACGATTTTACCATTATATACGGAGTGTATATTATTCCCTGGACAAGGTAAACCATTTATTGTTATTATACCATTCAAAACGGTATCTATAGTATTCCCTACACAAGGTAAACCATTTATTATTATTATACCATTCTGTACGGTATCTATAGTATTCCCTACACAAGGTAAACCATTTATTATTATTATACCATTCTGTACGGTATCTATAGTATTCCCTACACAAGGTAAACCATTTATTATTATTATACCATTCTATACGGTATCTATAGTATTCCCTACACAAGGTAAACCATTTATTATTCTTATACCATTCTATACGGACTGTATAGTATTCCCTAGACAAGGTAAACAATTTATTATTATTATACCTTTCTGTACGGTATCTATAGTATTCCCTACACAAGGTAAACCATTTATTGTTATTATACCATTCTATACGGACTGTACAGTATTCCCTAGACAAGGTAAACCATTTATTATTATTATACCATTCTATACGGAATCAATAGTATTCCCTGGACAAGGTAAACCATTTATTATTAATTAGAAGCCTGTACACCAAAGTTAACAGCCACAATTTCAAACTAGAACTACGATGCAGTAATGACGGTTTCATCGGTGCCACGTCACCCTTGAACTGATCCGACTGCCCGTATCAATGGAAACGTTAAACAGATTTCCACTTGAGCATTGTAAACGTGTAATAGAATGGACGCAGAATTACCCAATAAATCCAGCAATATCAGTTCCATTTATAGAACGAAGATTCGACATAATATTTGAATTGGATAACATAAATAACCAATTCGATTATCCTTTGCGTGACAGAAAATTGATTAAAATTTGAACAGAATTAACACTTTATAAAGCCTTATTACGATGCGAAAATAACTTGATTTCAATTTCACCCTTTGATATGCCCCTCTTTGATTATATACCCATCTGGAATTCTGAAATTTCGCTCTCTGCACGCCACTTCCTCAAACTCGGTGTGTGTCTGTCAGTGCGTGTGTGTGTGTGTGTGTGTGTGTTTGGGGGGGGGGGTCCTATTGGTAATGCGATAGCGAACTATGGAAGTAAAAGTGTTAGTCCCGAAATGACCTAGTTTGTGTCGAGTGGACGTTACCCCCTCCCTCTCTCTCTCTCTCTCTCTCTCTCACTCTCTCTCTCTCTCTCTCTCTCAAACTGTCCTGAAAATACGTGCTCTACATTAAGCTCGCTGTAACAACTGATTCAAGGCGACGAATCCAGCCATATTAAACAAACAACACAAAAACATATTTACAAAATACAATTGTAAAGATAAGAAGCAGTACCTTGATTAAGAGAATAATTTGACGGTTTTCCTTCTCGTAAATTGTTATCACCATACGACTTTAAATAAGGATTGTCCTTAAGAATGGTTTTAAGGAAAAGCTTTTTTTAAAAAAATAATTCCCTGCACTTAAGATGTTTATGCATATGGTCCTTGTACCGCTACAGGCCCCAAAATGAAAATAGCAGTGGGGGCTTACGGTCGGTCTTGCAATGTCCTGGTCTCCATCATTCACTTAACAGTCTGTACATGAAATCGTTAACATTTGAGCATAACTAGGTCATTGGCTAGTTTATCCAGCCTTTAATGTACGTAATAATGGAGGTATAATTTCCACGAATCATGATTTCACACTTTTCGTAATCGTAGTTTGTCGTGACGATTCATGTTCTAGTCCAAACGACTAGACACCCTCCTTGCCAAGCCCTCTGCCCTGCCCTCTGACAAGGGGGCACCCCGTATAATTTTCTCGGCCAACACCGCGGTCGAACCCCGGACATCTCAGTTAGTGAGCCAGCGCCCTACACACTGAGCCACCTTGGTCCCACAATATCAAACATTCTCAGAATTGTATGTTTGCTTTGCGTTTATTTTGTCCGGTGGAGTAAACTGTCAGATTATTCAAAATATAAATATTTCAGATGAAGGTCCTCTGATCGCCGTGTTGGATATTCTGGCAACAAAAATGGATATCTTTGATCCGTCTGGTGGAGTCAATGCTACTATCATTGAAGAGATAAATTTAGAGAATGGACAAGCAGGTGGTTCCTGTGGTATAGATTTTAATTACAGAGGGAATATGATTTATTGGACTGATGTATACGCTAAGAAAGTCTACAGGTACAAATAATCGGACCCATTCATTTGATTTCATATGCGTTGTATATTTCTTGCAGTGTGTGTGTGTGTGTGTGTGTGTGTGTGGGGGGGGGGGGGTTCGAATGGTTAACGCGTGTGGGTTTGATAATAAGCTCTGTCATTGAGTCAAGTGGCGTGGTTTAGAATCCGCGCTTATACGTGCTGAGGAGTAGGGTTGCCTGTCCAACCTCGTGGGTTTTCTCCGGGTTTTCCGGTTAGTTCCAAATGCTTAAGACCCCTGCACGCAAGTGAATTATTGAAATAAAATTGAACATGTGTTTGTCCCAAAATGACCTGGTTTGTGTCTGTGTAGTTGTCTTGTTCGCGGGTTTGTTTGCGTGTAGTGAAATCCTACAGCATTTACTATTATATCTGGCCATATGTAGTCTCCGATTATCGTGGACGATTGTAGTCTATTTTATTTAGTCATTAAATGGTTATAACTTATTAAATGCAGCATGACCGTCTTCTAGTGTGGACACTAATGTAAGACTTTTAATAGGGGCCACGTTGACTCAGTGAGTACGGCGTTCGCTCGCAAACCTGGAGGTCCCGTGTTCGTTCCCTGTGTTGACCGAGAAAGTTCATGGGACAACGTAGAGTCGTTGGGATGGGACAACGTTTCGGTATAATTTGTACCCAGTTCATTACCGATAGTATAACTAGACATTTTTTTTCTATCAAGTTTAAAGGCTGGTGATGAAGAACAGGAGGTTATATTGGAAGGTGGTTTGGGTTCCCCGGAAGGTCTGGCGTATGATTGGATACATAATAATTTATACGTCAGTGACTGGGAACTACATAAAATCATGGTAATCAACCCAGAAACTGGAGTCAGGAAAACATTATTAACTGATGTACATCGTGTTCGAGATTTGGAAGTGGATCCTAGAACAGGGTAACAACTTTATCTTCTTTATATCTTCAAATTAACAGAACGACTAGGCATACCTAACCTCGTGGGTTTTATCTTCAAAACAGCAATACGAAGTAGGATGGGATGCTTAACCTCGTGGGTTTATCTTCAAAAGAGCAAAATAAAAGTAGGATGACATGCCTAACCTCGTGGGTTTTATATTTAAAACAGCAATACGACTAAAATAAAAGTAGGGTGGCATGCCTACTGTCGTGCGTGCACGCACGTGCTGTATCTTACGGCCTGTCATTGATTCAACTGGCGTGTTTTCGAATCCCCGGTTATACTTGACAAGGAGTAGGGTCGCCTGTCCAACCTCGTGGGTTTTTTCCGGGTCCTCCGGTTTCCTCCCACTGCTAAAGTGGACGTTAAACCCCATTTTTCTCTCTCTCTCTGCTTTGAGGGTATGTTCACATATGAAGAACTTATCGCCCCAACAGAACCACTGAGCTTCACATGCGACACGCAATAGCGCCATACACGTGGGAGGGGTTTATTGTCAAACTTGACACCTCAAGGAAGGGTTGATGAAAACTACAGCCTGCTGGTTTATCCTATCCATGTTTTCTTTCCTATCGGTTCTTGCATAAGCTTTACTGTTTAGCGTATCTTTGCTTTAGTGTGTTACGTTTAATTTGATCGGGAGAAATGTTCGTCGACGTCAACCGACAACACTGCAAGAATTTGCCGTGGCACTGCAAGAGGGGTTGATTAGGAGCATGCCACGACGAATTGCTGAATGTCTGAGGATTGGAGGAGCAATTACTCATTATTAAGACAAACATAAAAAACGTCCATTTTCACTTCTGACGGTGTATCTCTTTGAGAGTGAAATGGGGCCGTCAAATAAGCCGCCCATATGAACTGTTTATGTTCATGTTAAGGCAATTGGCCTGTTATTAACATACACTGGTTACCTCTAATAAAACCAGCAGTGCAATTCCGCAGTTTTGTATTGTTTCTGAATATCCCCTACTTTTTTGAAGAGTATATAATATGCACGGAAATCAAATATGGTTTACCCAAATCCAGGACCGACTAATTAGTGAGTCAGTATCTTACTAAGATACCAGATTGTATACAGTCTCAGTTGACGTGTAACACTATCGATCATGTGTAGTAATATGGAGGGAAAGAATTTGTGCTTTGAAACATCTATGTAAAATAATATTAGGGTTTTGATTAATTATTCTCCATTGTCAAAATATTAGCTATGGTATAAGTTAAATTCTGAAACGCAAATTAAAATTGGCTATGAATATTGTGACAATAACAAGACATGGGGTGGGTCTAAAGACAAGAATGCAGAAATATGATGGCTAGAACAATAGCGTTATCTTTCATATTATTGATTCTAACTTCATAACCACAAATATGGAAAGTATATGCCGGTTATTTTGATACGTTAACTGAGCTACAGATTAATGAGCATGTTGGTCATTCACATTTTTCTTTGTTATAAAACATATATCATATTTGTTGACCAAATAAGGTAACAATCCCTGGCGATGTTCAGTTTGGGGTGCATGTCCTTTCCATATTTAGAACGTAGTTGTTATCAGTCTTTAGATTAACACCTCAAACAAAGGAATAGGCACCTATAAAATAGGGTGGGGATATAGCATTCGGCAGAGCTCACTCCGCCGGTCATACCAGCCATTTAGTTATTTGAGACTAGGAAGAATTGTAACACTTCCAGTTTGTAGTAATAAAGCATTTAAGAAAAGAACCTGAACTGTAGTTGTAGCTTAGTCACGGAAGAAAACACAGCGTGAAGATTGAATATTGAAGATTTAACATCTGATAGTACTACACATGTTGATCCTATCTTTGACTTCACGTTGTGTTCTTTTTAAATATTGACATTCGGGAAACCCATGTTGTTCTAACTATGTGTTCATTTAACAGTATAACCAGAAACTACAAGTTTTTAATGTCTACGCAAATTTGAATGAAATATCTTTCAACTGGAATGATGTCTCCCTCATCCTGGGGTCAAAGCCGGCCGATGTGTGAACCAACGTTAAGATCTCTCCATCGTCGCGGAATGATGCCTGAGAATTCTAAGCCCAATCCGTGCTGGCCACGAAAGTTCTTCGGATTGTGTACTCATTCGTCCTTTGTTGTTTCATTTCGTTGACTTCGCCCATTAGATTGTATACGGTGTCCGACTGTTAATAAATTTGATTGTTATATTTTACTAGTTGGTTATACTGGATATCTGGTTGGGATGAAACAGCTCTGTTGATGAAGTCAACATTGGACGGACAGAACCAAGTTGTAATATCTTCCGACTTAAGAAGGCCAATGAGTTTATCTTTGGGTGAGATTCGGCGTCATAAATTCACATTATTGATATCAACGTAATTTTAAATTCTGAACTCAGCGTTACTTGTGTCAGTTTCTGAAATCCAAGTACATGTAGCTCTAGATTCTAAAATCCAAATACAACCTATAACTATACATAGCGACCGAAGCAATACATTTTGAGCTAAGTCAGCCACAAAATTATTTAAGTTCCTATTATGTAGTAGTTATTAGCACACTTTCCGAGGTGTATCGGTGAATATCAGGACAGTTTTGGTCGAGGGGCCCAGCCGAGGCGGAGCCGAGGCAGCTCCCGACCAAAACTGTCCTGATATTCACCGATACACCGAGGAAAGGTGCTAATAAGTTACTTACATCACATTTCTATCGAGTATTGTGAAGCAAAATGTGAAAAATAGTATTTATTATCGAGTCGTTTCAACCGAAAAGTGACAAATACTTTCTGTTCTTTCATTATTTATCCCTTTCTGAGCCTCACGTTACATTTCATGGTAGAATGATTTCGTAGTGGAGAGACGACCTGAGTAATATTTACACGTGCGTCTTGCTATGATACTCTGAGCGTAAAACAATCACGTGTTTGTTTAGACCACATCGTCAGAACAACTTGTCTATGGCGCAGAGGACTGCGATATTATTAAATGTAGTGTAAAGGAAATGCGAAACGTGAGTCATTCCTGGTGAAAGTATGCATCGGCGGATGGTTCTTCCGTTGAAATTTATTTGTAATAAGGTTTATGACTTTCTAGGCGTTTTTTTTCATCCTGCTTATTTTCAATGCCTGTGAAGTGTCCAGCAAGAGAACTGCGCCTTCTATCATCACAATTAATTAAAATAATTATTCAATATTCTAATTTATATATTTTGCATATTAATATAAATCAAACCAAATTATGAAATAGATGCCAATTGGTATGTATAATAATTGATTTTTGTAATATGTTCTTATGTTAATTTAATGTCATATGTATATGTTTTTGTTTTGTTACTATGATTTTGAATAGTTGTTTCATGTACATTGTATAGAACCGTCGTTATCAATTGCGATCTGGGTCGGACTAAACGTCCGCTACATATTGCTTGATAGGTATTTCAAACGGTATAAAAGTATCCGTGTATCAGAAATGAACAGTACTCTTTCTGTACAGTTCTGATACACGGATACTTTTAGGCATGTATTGCAAATAAACAGGACAGTTTTATCAAAGGTTGCCAGTGGCAACGAGTAGAAGTGGGATGTAAATTATATTTAAATATATTTTCTATCTTAGAACGCAAGTCATCCGCTGTATAGATTAATATACATCACACTTATTATATTTTAATACGAATGGTGTTCTGGCTTTATGGGGTCCCAAGAACACATAATTGTTGTTAGTGTACGCTGTCTCTATACGTGTTTTACATATAGTGTAAGTAGTAGACAGATTTTGGTATCTAATGTATTATTAGTATACGCTGTCTCTACACATGTAATACATTTAGTGTGAGTGGTAGACAGGTTCTGGTATCTAATGTATACTCTTCAAAAAAAGTAGGGGATATTCAGAAACAATACAAAACTGCGGAAATGCACTGCTGTTTTTATTAGAGGTAACCAGTGTATGTTAATAACAGGCCAATTGCCTACACATATGAACATAAACAGTTCATATGGGCGGCCTATCTGACGGCCCCATTTCACCCGCAAAGAGCTACACTGTCAAAAGTGAAAATGGACGTTTTTTGATTTTTGTCTTAATAATGAGTAATTGCTCCACCAATCCTCAGACATTCAGCAATTCGTCGTGGCATGCTCCTAATCAACCGTCCAATCACGATTTGGAGCAATCTGACCCACTCCTCTTGCAGTGCCACGGCCAATTCTTGCAGTGTTGTCGCTTGACGTTAACGTCGACGAACATGTCTCCCGATCAAATTAAACGTAACACACTAAAGTAAGATACACTAAACAGTAAATCTTATGCAAGAACCGATAGGAAAGCAAACATGGATAGATAAACCAGCACGCGGCCGTTTTCATCAACCCTTCCTTGAAGTGTCAAATTTGACAATGAACCCTTCCCACGTGTATGGCGCTATTGCGTGTCGCATGTGCAGCTCAGTGGTTCTGTTGGGGCGATAAGTTCTTCATCTGTGAACATACTCTCAAAGCATGTCAAATGTCCATGACTATTTATCATATCGCAACCTGCTAGGTATTTGCATTTCAATATCCCCTACTTCTTTTTTTTGAAGAGTATATTATTAGTATACCCTGTCTCTAGCTCTACAAGTGTCAAGCATATAGTGTGAGTGTTAGACAGATTCTGGTTTCTAATGTGTTGTATATTATTTATAGATTATGATGAACTGAAATTATATTGGACTGAAATATATCCTGTAAACTCGATTAAAAGTATTCGTGTCGATGGAGAAGGCCAGACCATAGTTCATCAACTAGGCTCACATTTTTGGTTCTCGCCAAAATATATAACTGTAACAAAGGTAGGTTTGTTAAACAGTGTATAATTATTAGGACCCTTTTAACGCAAGGGCGGACCCGATGAGCAGTTGTCCAGGGTCCATGTGTATATGGGCCCCTGGGCAGCTGCCCATCTTGTCCGCTAATCTATGTATTTTATATCTTGCTGTCAATAAATATATTTGTGCTTTTTTCATTTCACATGTTATATTTTGCAAACGTGTTAGCTTTGTATTGTTGTGAGGCGTACACGAACCATAAAATATATGTTTAATTTTATCGATTGTCTCATTAATGATTTATATAACTTTAAATATATTCTCTTTTCATTATTTATTTCTAAACTATTATAGCGATATCTGTCAGGCGGGTAGGCTACCTGAGCTACAACAAAAGGTCTGCCACTGAGTAATGTGGCATGGTTTCGATCCCACGCGTTTACGTCTGAAGACGCAGTGTCGCCTGCTCAACCTCGTGGGTTTTCCATAGGACCTCCGATTTTCTCACTGTTAAAGAAAGACCCCAACAAGAAAGCGAATTATAGAATTAAACTTGTGTCGAGTGGACATTAAACTCTCTCTCTCTCCCCCCCCCTCTCTCTCTCTCTCTCCTCTACACTCAAGATTTAGGTAGTAACTTCGTGGGTTAGAGACCACGTTGATACGTGATAATTGGCCTTGTTATGTCTAATGTTCAAAGAATTTCTATTTCCCAGGATTATATCTACTGGACTCAAGGTATAACATTTACAGTTTTCGGACGAGCCAAAAACAATTCTGGAGAAGTTATCCTATACAGAAATTTATTAAAGTATGGTCGATGGGATCTACAGAAAAATAAATTTATGGGGATCCTTGCCATAGATCCAAGAAAACAGACAATAAGTAAGAAGCTGTACATTTGTTTATTCCGTTAACTGTAGTAGCTAATATCCCCGTCAGACAGGTATGGCGTCATTACCGCGCTTCTGCGACCGTACAGCAACCAGAAAACTCAAAAGGTCGCCGGCAAACGTGCGAACACAACGTGCGAGAAAATGTCCCAAAAATTGACAAACTTCAAAAAAAAAAGTCGTGTTCTTACCGCCACCTGTGCGATTATACCGCGTTCTCATAGCGCGCCCGTCAGACATCTCCGCGCTTATGGCGTTTCTATTGAGATCTAATGGGATGGCAACGGCGATCATCGGCGAACCCGCGGCGCTCTAACCACCTTCATAGGGTTCTTACCACACGTCTTCCACGTGTATCGCGATTGCAAGTGCGTTTCTACCACGTGATCACGGCAACTATATAAGCTGATCAGATTTTTGGAAATTTCAAGATGACGACGTACACACTGATGTATGAACTTTGAATCGCCTGTTTTTAAAGCAAGTCACACAAGGACAGTATTGTCGCTATAGGAGCGTAATGCAAGCTTGATAACCGCGTCATGGTCGTATTAAGAAGTCCAGAAACGCAGCAACAGTGGTAAAATCATCGTAACATCGCCATGACAACGCCATAAGGACCCCGAACGCTTGGTGGGGTCGTGGCATACACGCGAGGGTCGTGGTGAAGACACCATGAAGTCGACGTTGCAAATGTTACTATTTTCGCAGCGTCTTTGCCACGTGTATACTGCGCGTGCTCCACGTTCATGGAGATGTTACCACGCTTGTCTCGCGATCTTCGCGACCCCACAGCTTTCCAGGTCAGATCGCGTTGGCGGCCATGGAGACCACAGCACGATATCTGGCGTTTCCACCACGCTTTTACCACGTTTATGGCGATCTTGACGCGCCGTCAGTCCAACATTGTGGGTATTCTCCGGGTTCTCCGGTTTCCTCCCACTGCTAAAAGACCCCTATGCGCGCGCGGTTTCTATTCCCCGGTTGTGCATGACAAGAAATAGGGTCGCTTGCGCATCCTCGTGGGTTTTCTTCGGGTCCTCCAGTTTCCTCTCACTACTAAAGACCCCTACGTGCAAGTGAATTATTGAAATAAAATTGAACCATATGTTAGTCCAGAAATGACCTAGTTTGTATCGAGTGGACGTTACACCCCATCGGTGATATAAGCGACCAAGCAAATATTTACTGTGCATTAGTTTGCGACAAACCATTCTAGTTTACTAACTTACAAGACAAACCATAGCATGGTAGTAACCTACTGACTGCGCGACAAACCATTCTAGTAGTAGCGCAATGACTGTGCGACAAACCATTTTCGTAGCCTAATGACTGCGATACAAATCATGCTAGTAGCCTAATGACAAACCATTCTACTAGCCCAATGAAACCTCGACAAACCATTATAGTAGCCCAATGACTGTGCGACAAACCATTCTCGTAGCCTAATGACTGCGAGATAAATCATGCTAGTAGCCTAATGACAAACCATTCTACTAGCCTACTGACTGCGCGACAAACCATTCTAGTAGTAGCGCAATGACTGTGCGACAAACCATTTTCGTAGCCTAAAGACTGCGAGACAAAACATGCTAGTAGCCTAATGACAAACCATTCTACTAGCCTAATGACTGTGGGAAAAACCATTCTATTAGCCCAATGTCTGTGCGACAAATCATTGTCGTAGCCTAATGACTGTGCAACAAACCATGGTAGTAGCCTAATGACTGCGCGACAAATCATTATCGTAGCCTTATGATTGCGCGACAAACTCTCCTAGACAATAACCGCAGCCGAAATTAAATTTCAAACTGAGAATCTTATTTGTGCGTAGTCATTCAGAGGTTAAACATGGACGTCAATAATTGTGGTCTAATTTCTACAGATTCGCTTGTTTTTCTGAAATTTATATCTGTACTCATAAAAACTGTAAAATTGAATCGGGGGAGATAATAAATTGTTATATTCTACTCTATTTTAAATTTGTAGGCGTGTGTGGAGATAATAATGGTGGATGCTCCCATTTTTGTCTTCCGACATTGATATTGTCTGTTCCGCCATATAACTGCGCATGTCCAGATGGAATGGATTTAATGAATGACAATTCAACCTGTTCAGGTGGAATGAACTCAGTGGATGGTAACTCAACATCTTCAGGCGAAATGAACTCAATGAATATTAACTCAACATCTTCCAGTGGAATGAATTTAATGGATGGCAACGCAACATCTTCAGACGGGGTGAACTTAATGGATGACAACCCAACATCTTTAGATGAAGAAATGAACGTAATGGATGACAACTCAACAGCTGAAATACAAATTTGACCTTTGACCCCATGCCTCGGTTCACTCGGCATCGGTTTGTCTTAGTTACAAGATAGCGACCTTATTCATGACATTTAGGCAAATAAAATGGTAGGCATACATGTATAGGCAATACTGTACCCAGCAGACTCAATGGGACCTAATAATGTAGGCATACATGTATAGGCAATACTGTACCCAGCAGACCCAATGGGGCCTAATAATGATATAAATAATAAGTAAGAAAATTATGTAAATAAATGTAACCAAATCGAAGATTTATTTAGGTCTTAAATGCTATCTAAATTATTAATTAGATATTAATTAACTTATTAAGACCATAATCAACTCTCCATGCTTGCGATATTTAGTGGATTGGAATACGTTTTGTGATGAATTATCCGATTTAACGTAAAAATGGATAATCGAGACTGTGTTTATTATCGTATCAACGGTAGTAATGACGATCCAGGCTAGCCTAAATCTAATCGCTAATATCTCGGTTCAGAGTGAAGTAATTTGATTGAAATTTTCAGCATATTCTGTTTTCATTATCTATTTTTTAACTATTATAGTGAGAACTGTCAGATCTATATCTAATCTTATCTAATACCCCTTTAAAGAAGGTCAAAATAAAATATTTATATGACGATATATTGCTTAAAGAATGTAAACATTTTTTAAATTTAGGTCAAATAAAGTCTTGCGATACGATGTGTTATTTAGATCAGGAAAAGTATTAATAAGATGTGTTAATTTAGGTCAAATAAAGTTATGAAGTATTATCTAGGTCAAATAAATTTTGTGATACATGTTATTTAGGTCAAAGTATTGTTAGGTCAAAGTATTGATGCGATGTGTTATTTGGGTCAATGAAGTTTTGTGATAAGTTTTGTTATACGATGTGTTATTTAGGTCAAATAAAGTATCGATGCGATGTGTTATTTAAATCAAAAAAGTATTGACACGATGTGTTATTTAGGTCAAATAAAGTATAAATACGATGTGTTATTTAGGTCAGATAAAGTTTTGAAACTGCAATATCCATCATTTATTTACCCTTCTTTACGGTTCTTGTAAAACTACACTTGCCTGACAATTCTTGTTTTCGTGTAACATGTAAAATGTACTCCTATTTCGAACTGCCAGTGTGTAAACAGGGGCTCGTTATTTGCTGGACCCGAAAAGTTAGAGTATATTTGAAACCAGAATCAAGCTGTCGCACATCATTATATTGTCACCCAATAGCACTATCATACCCATAGTGAGATGTCACACCACCATTCATGTCCATTCCAGGAATATCAATAAAGCTGGCGTTAAATATACTAGACCAGTCGGTTGGGGAGAAATTTCTAACGGTTGGGGAAACGGTTCTAACGTTTGGGGAAACGGTTCTAACGTTTGGGGAGGAGTTTAAACAGGTTGCAATGTGATCAGGTCGGAAAGGGAGATGATTAGACTGGTTGCGAAGGGGATCAGAATGATTGGGGAGAAGATCAACTGGTTGGAGATCAGCTGCTTAGGGAGAAGATCAGCTGGTTCGAGGGGAGGTCGGCTGGCTGGGAAGAAGGTCGGCTTGTTGGAGAGATCAACTGGTAGGGGAGGAGATCAGCTGGTTGGGGAAAGATCAGCTGGTTGCGGAGGAATGAATGAATCAAACGGAGTTTTATGGCACGTTAGCTCTTACCGGGTTATATTGTGCCAAACATATGGTGATTTGCACGAGATAAAATAGATATAAATATCACAGTAAATATAAATTAAAAACAAATATCACTAACGTTTTACAGTATAGACCCAAATAATAAATTCTGTAATGACTGGCAAGGTATGCATTTCGATCTTAAAGTAGCTAAGTCTCTCACTCAATATCATTCAAAGTCTTCGACATTGAAAACACGAATTATTTCTCAATTAAATCAACATTGGAGTTGTGATTTTACCCGGAAAAGATGGGCTTCTGATATTCAATATTTAAGACAAAATAAACAATTTACCATTGGTACACGAATCGTGTACCATAATGCCTTTCAGTGTCATTTGTAACAAGGGACCCGAAGAACTAGGCTAGACACATTCCACAAGTCATGTCAAACGGTGACGGCATATTCTTAGCTGGAGAGGATGCGCAATAAATACTATCAGTGTAGACTGGAATACCCAGACGCTAGAGATTGCCATTCGATTGAGACTTCTGGCGTATTTCACCGAACATAATTGATTGGAAATTACAGTAAAAACATACACGATTGAATGTAAATCAGTTTATATACATTCATACTACATTATTATATACGTTGCGACCCATTTGTCTCAATTTCTAGGTCTCAAATATTAGCGATTTAGCTCCCTTAAGTCATTGAAATACTTGCACTTAATCAAAATTGAGCGTTACTGTCAAAGGAACTTGACAATGTTCACATTCTCGTTGAGGTTCTCGTTTGAATTGACAAAGTATGACCTGTGCGAGAGCGACACAAAACAACTTCAGCCCTCCTTTTGGACCTATAAGAGTTGCGCCAATCTCCAAGGAGAGGATTAATGTAAGTGTGGTATTCTTTGGCTATAAGACGTGCAACTATAGCAATTGAATTGGAAGTTTAGACCCCTGAACAATTTACTAGTGTAAACCTGACCATATTGGTTAATATGGACTAAATGAAATGAATTGGGGTTTAACGTCCTATTGTTCTGTTCCGACTGGACTAATGAAAACGGACATACCCCATACGTTGTGCTATGAGGGAATTTCAACTGCCATGGGATTTTTTACGTGCACGCCAATATGTACATGGGACCTCGGTTTTTGCCCTTTCGAACGACTATATAACGATCATAAAAAAAAGACAATAATTGCAATGTCAGTTGGTGACAAGAAGAAAGAACGGCTACAGTGTAATAGATTGTGTAGCTAACACAACAGTTGTATGAAGGGGTGGGTAGTTTTTAAACAATTATTAAAATTCTTCAAATATGACAAGAAGTGGGATGGGGTATATAGTAATAAAATAAAATTGTGTCGCTAACATGATATTCCACACCTAACAGTGAACGGATATAGTGTAATGTCGCCAATATGATATCCCACACCCAACAGTGAACGGATATAGTGTAATGTAGTCAATATGATAACCCATACGGTTAGTGCTAAATGATAAGGTCACGAGATGTAAACAAGGCTCGCACTAATCCCAATCCTTAAAACTAACCTTGGACTTACCACTTATGCTTACCCTACCCCTAACCTACATTATTTACATCTCAGCGACCTTGGCAAAAATTAAGCTGGCCTTAACAAATAGATTTAGCCATCCCACACCCAGCAGTTACCGGATATAATGTTGTTAATATGACATCTCATAGTGAACGGATATAGTGTACTGTTAATATGACATACTATAGTGGATGGATAGTGTACTGTTGATATGATTTCCCATAGTGAAAGGATGTAGTGTTACGTCACGGATATGGTTGTATTTCACTATTATCTTTCAAAAGTTTGCTTCAAATCGCTCTAAAAACTTTTTAAACGCAAGAAGACTAATCCATGCCACACGAATCTGTGTTTAGCTTCCTTGTTTGAGGGAGAATCTAATTCAACTTATATTTGTCGTTACTGGCTGTCCATGTACCATAAATATCGACGCTTTATTCTTGGATTATTAGATCAACGTGTAAGGTGGGCTCCTTACGTCACGTCACTCGAGGAGACATACTGTCATTTACTTACACACCCATATCTGTGTCCCGTGGGTGTTTTTCAGGGAATCCAGTACTTGTCTAGTAAAAATGGGTTTCTCTTTTTTCTGTTATTACCAAATATGACATACGGTACTATTTTGGGAAGTAACTACCCAATAATAACTATCATGGGAATGTATCTTTAAAAAGAACCAACATTTTTCTAAGCATTTTATTAACAAATACTAAGCTTTAACAATGGCACATTTTCATCCCAGAACAGCAAAGGGATTACTTAAAGAAACTCCCCCTTCATCGCCCTCTTCATCATCATCATCATCATCGTCATCATCACCATCATCCCCCGCCTCTGCATCACTATTATTGGTTGCCACCTGTATATTGTCAGAATCCGAGGAATAATCGTCGGCGTTGTGATTAGATCTTGCCTGTAGTTTTATACTGTCCTCGTGGTCTTCCCAATATTCTGATAAAATTTTTAAATAAATATAAGCCAAGTATATACAGACACAAGATACATACACAGTGAAATGAGGTTTAACGTCCTACTTTTCTGCACCGACTGGGCTAAATGAAATGGGGTTTAACGTCCTACTGTTCTGCTCCTATACTGGGCTTATGAAGACGGGCATATGCCATACAGTGTGCTTTAAGGGAAATTTTACCCGGGCAGCACACTATCGCCTATTCTTATATCGAATTCCAACTGCCAGGGGATCTATTACGTGCATTCCAATATATACACAGAACCTCTGTTTTTCGTCTCATCCGAAGCTGACTGGAAATGAAATGGGGTTTAACATCCTACTGTTTTGCTCCTAAACTGGGCTAATGAAGACGGGCATACGCCATACAGTGTGCTATGAGGGAAATTTTGCCCGGGCAGCGGCACTACGGCATACTCTTATATCGAATTCAAACGGCCAAGGGATCTTTTACGTTCATGCCAATATGTACACGGGACTTGGTTTTTCGCCATCCAACGACTAGACAGCTGTCCTTGTCAGGTCCTCCGTCCTGCATCACTGACAAGGGGAAACCACGCTGGAAAATCTGGATGAACTTTCTCGGCCAATGCAGGGATCGAACACTCGACCTCCAGGCTAGCGAGCCAGTGCCTTAGCCATGTGATCCTCCGGAAGCCGACTGGGCTAAAGAAGACGGACATACGCCATACAGTGTAATACGGCCTACTCCAATCTCAGTGGTATTGAACTATTTTGACTCCAGAAAGTAGACATAGTACATGGATAATGAAACAGATTTTAAGAGTAAAGGCCATTTTACACGATCCTACTTTTGTTCAAGAACATCATCCAACATTTGTAGGATGATGTTCAAGGTCATGAGGCGTCCACGAACATGTCAATTTACACCATACAACATTTAGTGAACATGTTCAAGATTGTTGATGGATTTTGGAGGGAAACTTCACTGTTCCATCATGGATTCCCACAGAAGGTTGGTTTCCATTGGAGCAATTAGCAATCAATCAATCAATCAGTTAGATTTAAAAGACAATTAGATTGCCCCATTATATATTATATGTTAATCTTAATCTCAAGGTGACAAGTGTCAAACCAAATAGTAAATTCTAATGGCCTTTAAGTATCTCATCATTTTATGGTATTGGTTACTTAATATAGAAAAAAATGTTCCATTTTGTTTTAAAGTCATGCTGAATAATTTCCCAGTCATACATTGTTTATTGACAAACTATTTATATTAATTACGAACTTTATCAAATTACTTGAAATTAAATGTAGTTACAGTTACAACAACAGTTTTTATCAGCACCGCCCTTGATGTAATATTTTATAAAAATGACGATTGATACAGAAAAATCAAATATTGTGGACTGATTAAGACTTTTTACTACTTGAAATAAAATGTAGTTACAGTTATAACAACAGTTTTTGTCACCACTGCCCCTCTCTTTAAACTTTATTTTTGCCTTCTGATATTTTATAGAAATCACAATTCAAACAGAAAAATCTATTATTGTGAATCGAAGATTATTTTGAGCCCAATTTTCTTGGTGCTTCATGGTAGAAAAAAATGAGGTTGTCTGTAAAAAAGGTTTTTCTTTATATAGTCAAAAAGTAATGGGTAATGGTAATTAATTACATTGCTACAAATGAGAAAGTAATTGTCATGTGACCCAATACACCACGTGACCCAGAGAAGCATTCTCATTGGTTCAAGGCCTTGAACACTGTCCTACCATGTTCAAATTAATGTGCATGCTCGAACACCATCCAACATGTTCAAGCTTGTCCAAGCTTGTTCACAGTTGTTCAAATTCCCATACACACGATAGGACATTTTCCTGCGAACATCATCCTACAAATGTTGGATAATGTTCTTGAACAAAAGTAGGATCGTGTAAAATGCTTTAGGATATTATAGATAATCTCCTACGAGTCTTTTTTGATATCAAAACATATCAACACAAGTCCATAAAGTAGGAGATTTTATTTATCACCCAATCCTTTCTTATCCAGGGTAAGAGCTAAATCTTGGTATTACAGGTTTTATTTTAGCTTCAAATGTTATATAAATAATTTTTTAGACAGTTACTCAAGAGCCCTATAAGCAATCCTCTAGACGATCCGATGGTGAAGATTTAATCAAATCGAAATATGATTGCCATTTAATGATTTAATTAAAAAAAGGAGGCACGAGACTGAGGTTCGATTAAAAAGTAACGTTGCTACGACAATAAACAATCTATGCGACAGTGATAACTTGGCTAATAATAAAGTAATTTGAATACGATTTTCAACATATTCCCTTTTCATTATCTATTTTTGAACTATTATATTGAGAAATATCAGCCCTATATCTTACATAATACATCTTTAATGCAACTAATGTTGAGAGTAAAACTAAAAGACTGCTGTACCTTTATTATCTGTATAGCCCGGTGGTCTAAAACAGAGTTGTATTCTACCATCAACTGTAATTCTCAACAAATGATTGGCCGCTCGACTTATATCAGGTCTTGCAGCTTTTGATGTGTAAAATCTACGTTTCTCAGCCCAGGCTGTTTATGAAAACAAAACAAAACAAGTTTTTATTAAATCACTGGAATATAATTTGATTAAACACACTCAATTTCCCGCAGAGTGAGTTTGATGGGGGGATTTCTCGGTGGATAGGATGCATTCATATTTAAGAGTAAATTGTGCTGCTGGGGGAGGGGGGTCAAATGGATAATGTGTACGCGTTGCATCATAATGTCTGTCATTGAGTCAATTGGCGTGGTTTCTATTCCCCACTTGTACATGACAAGCCTGTGGGTTTTCTCCTGGTCCTCCGGTTCCCTTCCACTGCTAAGACTCCTGCGCACAAGCGAATTATTGAAATAAAATTGAACCATGTTAGTACCGAAGGCGAAATGACCTAGTTGGTGCCGAAATGACCTAGTGGACATTAATATCTCTCTGTCTCTCTGTGTCTGTGTGTGTGTGTGTCTCTCAACAGAGATTGCTAAGTATATCCAAATCCCTGTAACAATATAGTACCCTGGTGATTTACACCATTAAAAATACCGACATCATCAAAATAATTATTTTGAATGTCAAACAAGTCAATTACACGACAATTGAAATTCTTGTCCCCCAAAATACAAGCAGTTGTCCAATTTGTATCATATACACATATTTAGAACTGTACATTGCTATAAATTTTATGTTTTACCGATCTATAAAATGATCATCATGTATATACCAACATTATCACATTTCTCGTAAATTTTAGGAATTGTCCTTAACCCGCAAGACTATACAGTTGTCCAAAGGGCAACCTATACACCTCTTTAGATATGTACAGTGCTAGAAAGCACTAATATATGGGATAATCATAACTGATATCAACATTATCCTATTTTCTGCCAATTTTAGGCATGGATCACATTTCCCGCCAATTTTAGCCCCTCCACGCACAACACCACCACAAAGCAAACCAGAAACCAGTTGCCCAAGGACATTCTATATACTAACTATGTAAGAGATCCACAGTGCTAGAAATTAATGTTTTACTAATCTATAAGGTGATCTCTCTCTTGCTTGCTCATATGATCTAAAGTGCCTAAATGTTAAGACCAACCTCCTGGGTTTTCTCCGGGTCCTCCCACTGCTAAAGACCCCTATGCGCAAGTGAATTATGGAAAGAAAATTGAACCATATGTTAGTCCCGAAATGACCTAGTTTGTGTCGAGTGGATCTCTCTCTCTCTCTCTCTCTCTCTCCTCTCTCTCTCTCTCTCTCTCTCTCTCTCTGTGTATCTCTATCTCTCTCTCTCTCTCTCTCTCTCTCTCTCTCTCACGCACACATGTTAAGACTACCCAACCACCCATAGCATTTGATTCTAGGGCAGAACAACATCTACCTTCACATATATAAACAGCTGACCATTCTAATGTTTTCTGTTCGATATCTTTCTCATATTCTGGATGCACCAATCGCAATAAAGCTGGAAGATCAATTCGCTGTGCCAGGTAACCAATGGGAGTGTATGGATCACGAACTTGAGCTATAGGATAAATACCGGCTAGAATCTGCAACAAGATCATAAATCTTGTTAAAAATGCATTTAGTAAGATTTTTACAAAAGGCTAACGGTTCTTACTATAATAGTTAGGAAATAGATACATGTAGCAAAAAATGAATATATTTACAATTTCATACAAATTCCTTTATTCGGAACAAATTTATGGGTGTTGGAAGATGTAGCGTAGATTGTTTATTATCATAGTAACGGTACTGGAGAAATGAGACTAAGTCTCAATTATCCATTTTATCGTTAAATTTCTAAATCACACGGATATTCTAATCTATAATCCATTTAAATCTCGGCCATCCGGTGGTCTAGCTAGTTGATTATAGGCTTGTCGTGTTAATAAATGTCTAAATAATAATTAATAAAACATTTGAACCCAAATAAAGACCTGCAACTTAAGAGTAAAATTTAGGTCTTTACATACTGCATCTTTAACGATGTGAAGATTCAATATAAAGGAGAAGTGGTATCAGGTGGTTCATTATGTCCCAGGTTTGTTAAAACAAAATGATGTATTAATAATTTATAGTCTCATTGTGTCATTTAAGCACAATAGGGATCCCTTGTAAACTACAATATTATTAAAGGGGAATCTCCAACGATGGGAATAATGTTTCAATAATGGTTCATTTCCATTCAGTATTTACAGATATGTTGGATTGAAACAGAAATGATCGACCTATTATAAATCTGGTTGAATCCAAGCCAGAAGATTATCTAGTGTTAGTATTTTAATTTTGTTTTCTTAATTAAATGTTAAAAAATCAATCCGAGACCTGAGTACATATTAGCGTGTATTAAGCCGTCAGAAATTCGATATTTCAGCAAAAAATGCAAATCATGAATCGTTTTTTTTGTTAGGATTGTGGATGAATCACGTGGAAAGACGGCCCCTATAACAGATAATTTGAGACACAATGTGAGGCTAAGACAGGCATAATGTCTGTCATCTAGTCCAGGACCATTCAGTGTTTTTGTTTTAATACAATAAATAACCAGAAACAAAATTAAATATATTATGTCAATAGCTTGATAAATCTATACATGTACAAGTATTGAAATGCTATGCTACGGCCTTCTCTTATAACAAATTCCATCTGCCAAGGGGTCTTTTACATGTGCGCCAATGTGAACACTGGCCCTCGGTTTTTCGCCCCATCCAAACGACTTTACGTTGTGCCTTGCAAGACCCTCTGTACGGTCTTACTCACTAAGCCACAGTGGTTCCCACATGTAATAAGTAGCAGTAAATCTATATATCTGTCTTATGAACTTCAACTTTATCTGTCATTTTATCAGATATAACTAAAATCGTTCTTTCCTAGTCTAAATTAACCCTTTATCACTTGATACATGTTAATATTGACTACCCCTAGTTCCTTGAAGTAAAGTGATATATTAATACTAGTACACTCCCTGGACACACCGAAACAGTCTAAAGTCTTAGAAAGCCTCAAACCACCGGAGATATGTGAATAGATTTCTGTATTATAGGACCATTTACTAGTTCTTGTGTGCACAGATGCGCGGTTTGGACCGGTCAAAGAGCAGTTTAGGGTTAAAAGGGTTAATTGCATTAGCAGATGAAAAGTGGGTATCAATATTTAAAACTTACCTGAAGAGATTTTTCGACTAATGAAGGAAAAACAAGACCGGGACAATCACATAGTTTAACGGTAGGAGTGAGAAAAATAGTCTGAAAGTGCTTCGTATGACCTGGTGTTTTCGACACACTCACAACCTAAAAACGGAATAGAAAATTGAGAAAGCATCAAATAAATGTAACTGCAAAAGTGTCTGGATCCCAGGAGACATAGCAATTAATCTGAGCATTAATTCCAGAAGCAAAAAGATCTGGAGAAAAGAATTTATTACAAATCTTGTTAAATATGGATTCATTAAGTTTCCACTCTGTTGAGTTGGAAAAAACTTGAGACAAACTATACGTTCATGAAATAAACTACCATTGAGAATACTATTCCAAGGACCAAATACATTTAAAGATAGCAGCTCAAAGTCGTAACATGCCGTCGAATATTTTTTCCTCTCCTATTTAGATTAACAAAAAATAAGATCTGAAAAGTGTTTTTGAGATAGATAAGGTTGATGTTCATGAATGAATTTTGCTGAGAGGCCAATCAACATTTTCTGTATTCAAATTTAACAAAAACAAGAGGTAAAATTTTGCCAGGACAGCGGCACTACGGCCTACTCATATCAAATTCCAACTGTCAAGGGATCTTTTACGTGCACACCAATGTGTACATGGGACCTTAGTTTTTTGTCCGATCCAATTGACTATACATTGTCCCTCTGTCCCATGACAGAAAATCCCCATGAACTTTCTCAGCCAAAGTAGGGATCGAACACGGAACGTCCAGGTTAGCGAGACAACGTCTTACTCACTGCCCTATTTAAGCTCTCTAAGAGGTAGAAGGTGTGTACCTAGTAACTGATACGATTAAAAGGAAAAATCTAGCTTAGGTACCATGAAGTCAACTGCAAACTATCACCATCAAGAAAGTCATTCAGGAGACAACCATTGTGAAGACTTTCTTCTATTAGTGTTTAACACCCGGTTCCACCGTTTGTGATATTGCAGACAAGTAATCTGATTTTATTATGCTTAGTGCACATGCAGGGGTCTTTCCTGTGGAAGGATTTTGAGTGAAGCCTGCATCAGTAGACACTTGGTCGCTTATGGCTCCACAATAACTTGCACCCCAAAAAATAGGTTATTTTAAAAACATAACTTACCTTTTTCCCCATAAGGCCATTAATCAACGAGGACTTCCCAACATTAGGATAACCTGAACGTATAATTTTTTTTAAAATCAAAAAATAATTAAGAGAAAGGTTCAACTGGTTTTTTTTATCAGTGGGTGGAAACCAACGGGGCAGAGAAATCCCATGAAGATGCGCATGCGGCCCTGCTCTTTGTCAGCTACACACGTGGTGTTCTTTTTTTAAAAGAATCGATGACCAATTCAACATCATCGTAACCTTACACTTTACACAGATCTCTTCAATACTATATATTTACACACATTATCTTAACTTGGGATTCTACAACAAAACAAAGACATGACAAGAACATACGAGCATTTATACAACGTACCTATATACAACCTATAGTCAGAACACCAGGAGAACGTACCTATACAACCTATAGATAGAACACTAGGAGAATGTATCTATACAACCTATAGTTAGAACGTACCTATACAACCTATGGTTAAAACACCAGGAGAACGTAGCTATACAACCAATAGTTAGAACACCAGGAGAACGTACCTATAAAACCTATACTTAGAACACCTGGAGAACGTACCTATACAACCTATAGTTAGAACACCTGGAGAACGTACCTATACAACCTATAGTTAGAACACCATCTTTATAAAGTTCATGTTGTACATAGCTATAATCAGGTTTCTCTGTAACAGTTTCAGGATCATTTTCTTCATCTGACAATTCGGGTGCTGCTGCATCAGATAAATCAGTTTCTATTTTTGATTTCCATTCACGTAAATCAACTGAAAAAAAAAAAAAAAAATTATTGCGACTAAAACAGCAAGTACTCTCGGTATGAAGTGGCATTGGTACGCTTCTGCTTTGGCATCACTTGCTCATTGGGATTGTTTTAACAGATCTGAGTTAATTCACAGAAGTATACAGGAGCTGATCCACGAGCAAACCAAACCCTGTCCCATCAGCAGTTCTAATTAATATCATGAAGGCAATATTACCTTACAAACTCACCTCGAAGAATATTATTTGAAAATAATTCTAGATTTATCATCAAAGCATATAAAAATATTGAATACCTTTTCCTTGTACAATGTCATCACAAGCTTGCCATAATTCACGAGGACCCAACGCATCATATTTAATATGTTTCTTTCGTTTGTGAACTGAAAGTAGAAGACAAGTATTATAAGGAACCAGGAGACATCATGACCTCCATCTTGGAATAGTTAAAGTCTTTGAACATTATTAAAGGGACCTGGACCGGAGAATGACATCATTGTCGCCATCTTGGAATATTTAAAGTCTTTGAACATTATTTGGGACAAGTCAAAAAATGGTTTAATTCCATATAGTATTTACACAGATAATATGATGAATTGAAAATTTGCTAGCACCACATAATAAGATGGACCTCTGCTACATCCGATTGAATCCTGGCATGAGAGATTATCAACTGTTCATATTCTGTTTTTGTTTTTTTTTTTAAATTAAATGTTACGTGCAAATAATTAATTTGTGTACATTTTTACATGGATTAAGTAATCAAAAATTTGTTATTTGGGGAAAAATGGAACTGGCACAGAATTTAAAGACCTACCTTTAGAGCCTGAAGCCATATCACTGATATTATCAAATTTTTGGAAGGAGGAGAAACAAACAATGTATAACTTTGGGAATTTTTTTATAAGATATTCTCTCCATGCTATGACCAGTCCAGGTGGTGCCAGATCAACTTTATTCAGGACAAGAATCAATGGTTTACTCAGTTCCTCCGTTACATGATGATATAATGCTGGCGAAAAATTCAACATCTGCGAAAAAATAAAAACAACAATATTAGGCCCCACCAGTTTGTTTTCCTGTTCTTTAGGAACACCTGTAAACACTTCCTTCTTATTTCTTTGGGAAAAATATTACTTAAAAACCCAAAGGATGTGTTTTAAAGGAGCTAAATCGCTAACATTTGGGAGCTATTAATTGACACAAAAGCATATAATAATGTAATATGAATGTATATAAATTGATTTACATTCAATCGTTTCTGTTTTACTGTAATTTCTAATCAGTTCTGTTCAGCGAAATAAGTCTCAATTAAATGGCAATCTCTAGCGTCTGGTTATTCCAGTCTTCACTGATAGTATTTATAGCGCATGCTCTCCAGAAAAGAATATGACGTCACCGTTTGACATGACTTGTGGAATATGTCTAGCCCCGTTCTTCGAGTCCCTTGTTACAAATGGTGCTGAAACGCATTATGGGTTCATCCATGGGGTATTCACATATTCAAATTATTTGCCCTTGATTGTAACTTTATTCTATGAACCAATCAAAAAATAGTTTCCAAACCAGTCTTAGCCTCATTGTTTATGTTCACAACAATATGGTGCTTTGTTTGCCGTAACCAGATGAGAGTTATTTCCCTTCACCAACTTCCTTTGTATTTAATGATTTCTTTGATTGGTCGATAAAAATAGCACAGTCATCTAGGGCAGATAATTTGAATAACCCAGGGGTTGGTAGAGGGGAACGGAATGAGACCACTGGGGATACGGTACATGACACATGTTCTGTTCAGCAGGGAACTACTCCATCTTCCTACGTGAATGGAAATAAAGTTACTAACCGGATGTCTTATATCAGATATTAGTAGCAAGATGTCAGACATTTCTAAAACACGCCATAACTGTCTCCACGTCTCTAGATTCAACTCAAAATAACTCAAATCTTCTATTTTAAAATTCTCAAATAATTTATCTACGTAGTCCTGTAAAATATTGAGTATCATAATGTACAACAATTTATCTACATAGTCCTGTAAAATAATAAATATCATAATGTACGGCAAAGTACAAGCAAATGGTCCTGTGATGATGCATCATAAGAAAAGAATTGGGGTTTACTTTTACGTGCACGCCAGACCTTCCTGACCATTGCATACTTTAAGGGTATTATGGTGATACTTTCAAGACATGTTTGTGAGTAAAAAAGCCAAGTATGTAAATTATCTGAGGTGAGAGAGCTAGAGAAATGGGGTTTAACATACACATGACACAAACCAGGTCATTTCGGTACTAACATATGGTTTAATTTTATTTCAATAATTCGCTTGCGCATAGGGGTCTTTAGCAGTGGGAGAAAACCCACGAGGTAGGACAGGTGACCCTACTCCACATCACGTACAACTGGGGAATCAAAACCACTTTAGTTAAAACAATGACAGACAATATGATACAACGTGCATGCACAAACAATTTGGCCATCCAACCCCCCTAAATTATCGAAGGTAGAGGGGTAAGTCGATGCAGGGGCAGTGACAGGGGCCTATATATAACATAATTTATTAAATAAAATGCTTTATTGTTCTCTTTGCAAGGCAAAATAAATAAAATTTTATAAACTGATTCTAAAATAGTAGAATATTTTTGTTAACAGGCCTGGGGTGCCTTTCTACCTCTGGGTGCATATTTTCTAAGAAAGTGGGAACATAATTATTTCTATATCTATTACTTGACAGGTTGTCAAATCACTACTATACAATCTAGCTCTTAAAAAAACATTCATGTAAAATTGGAAATAATTTCTACTCGCTGATGGTATTTGGAATTTGTATCATTTCTTTTTACTGGATAACTACAGGTAAGTCTACACAATGAAAAAGATAGTTGACTCGATTGCCAAAGTCCATGGTTAAACAGATAAGGATAATGAAGCCTGGTCGAGCAAGACTTTTCAAACCTGCACACGTGACAATTACACCTTAAAAGTCAACGTTGGATTTAAAAAGAAAATGATATATTTGCCAATTTCTCATCTGACACAAGTGAATTATAGGATTTAGGATTATGATCTAACACTGTATGAACATTACCTTGAATATTTTTTCCTCTCTAATTTCTAGTTGATGTTTAGTAAGTTTATAATCCCAGGCTGGTCGTGTTGGTATATCTGGTGTAGAACCAGGCTTATATAACACATCCATATCCACTTCTAAACATTTCTATAAATATACACCAAACAAAATAACATATCTAAACATTTCTACAAATATACACAAAACTAAATAACATATCTAAACTTTTTCTACAAATATACACCCAATAAAATAACATATCCATAGATGGGGTCTAACCTCCACCTGACACAAACTAGGTCATTTAAGGACTAACATATGGTTCAATTTTATGTCAATAATTCGCGTGCGCATAGGGGTCTTTATTTAGCAGTGGGAGGAAACCTGAAGATCCAAGAAAAAGAGAGAGGGAGAGAGAAATGAAGTTTAACATCCACTCGACACAAACTATGTCATTTTGGGACTAACATATACTTCAATTTCATGTCAATAATTCATTTGCGCAAAGGGGTCTTTAGCAGTGGGAGGAAACCAGAGTACCCTGAGAAAATCCATAAGGTCGAACAGGCGACCATACTACTTGTCACGAACAACCCGGGAATCGAAACCACTCCATTACAGACCTTATGATACAACAGACACACACTAACTATTCACCCTCCCACCCTTTCTGGTATTTTGAGATTTACATACTAAACATAATAAATACATATAACCATAACATGGAACACAATTACTATTTTACTTAAAGCGATGTTTCTTTGAGGGTTTTCTCAACATTATAAAGCAAATGATCATAAGTTTAAAATTACCTCAGGTAACCTTGTAAATGGTTGCATTGCTTCTTTCTTTCTTTGTTTAATAATTTCGTTACTCTCTTTATAGAACTGAAGTCGATATCTGAATAAAAAAATATACATGAGCTTTTCTCGGCAAACACTGGGAGCGAACCCGCAACCTCCAGGTTAGTGAGCCAGAGTCTTACTCCCTTAGTCATCAGGGCTCCTGGGATTAAAACAGTGCCAATCAACTCAAGGTAAGACCTAAAACACATGTTACACCACCAAACCCCAGTTATCTAAAGCTAATAAACTACAAAACACCTAATTTTCTGATAAAACAATCAACAAAGAATCTAATCTTATTTCGAATTCCAACTTTCAAGGGTTATTTTACTTGTACACCAACATGTAGACAGGGACTAGACACTATTCCTTGCCAGGTCCTCTGTCCTACACCACTGACAAGGGGAAAACTATGCTGGAAAATCATGGGGAATTTTCTAGGCCAACATCAGGATTGAGTAATTGACCTCCTGGTTAGTGAGCCAGAACCACATCAGAATAAGAGTCTGAGTGATGATTGACTCTAGTCAACAAGAAAATCATTTGCTACTCCAACAAATTAACATGACCATGGATCTGTCACAAATTTTAAAGATACATTATGGGAGATTAGATAAAGAGCTGGTAGTTCTCACTATAATAGTTGAAAACTAGATAATGTAAAGGGAATTTGATGAAAATTGATCTACTCTGAACAGAGATTTTAGCAATTGAATTTTCGGCCAATCCTCGATCATCCTTACTAAAGTCGGTACGATAAAAAACATAGTCTCGAATATCCATTTCATGCTTAAATCATGAATGAGAGTTGAGCAGTAAATCGGATCCTAATCCAGTAAATATTGCAGACTAGTGATGACATCGAGAGTTGATTATGGTCTGGATAAGTTAATTAATGTCTAATTAATAATTTAGATAACATTTCAGGTCTAAAGAAAGACACGCAATAGACAGATTTAGCTCTTGCATAATGTATGTTTAAATCAATTTATGTTCCATACCTATGGGGATCTTGTCGTTTATCAATATCTGTTGCTTGTGAATCTGGTTTTGGTTTGTGGTGTTTTCCGCGACGGTGTCTGCCATCCTCATCGTCATCAGAACCTTCTTCTACATTTAAAAAAAACACTGGTTAATCTTCATGGCCACGTAGAAGCGGGGAATCGAAACCACACCAGTTGACTCAATGACAGACCTTAAACCATTCGGCCACCCAATTCCCACAAATGGTCAGTCTTCTTAAATCAGTGCTTCTCGTTGTATTTGTGGATGTTCAGACTTATTCAGGTGTGATTGCCTATGATCCATTCTCAGTACCAGCCTTACTGAGAAAGTTTTCGCCATTTGATATTGGCAACCGAGGAATTCCAGGCAATTTTTTTAAAAAAAGTAGTTGTAAATGTACAGAACAATTATCAAAGAGTAAATTAAAGTAATCATGAAAAAATGTAGCATCCATCAAGTTATAAGATATGACTTAATCTGTTTGTAATCTCATGATGACCTGGATATCTACTGTCTCATAAATGCAATGTAATAAATTCAATAATGACTGGCTCTTGTGACAAGTTTCTTATGAAACATTTGTTAACCCCCATGTAGAATAGTAGTTGAATTAGATGACGATACACTACGGCTCAGTAGATTTAGACTGTTTGGGCTGACCTGACATACATATGCCATACAGTGTGCACACAGTGTGCTATGAAAACAATTTGGGCCATTCAGTTAGGGAGCTCTGGTGACATTGGCTCACCAACCTGGAGGTCCCGGTGTTGGTCGAAACTTCAGCTGGATTTCCCGGTGTGATTCCCCCTTGTCAGAAGTGCAGGATGGAGGGCCTGGCAAGGATCAACATATACATGTATATAAATATATATATTCATTGGATATGATGAAAAACTGAGGTCCTGTGTAGACATTAACTCGCACATAAATGATCTCTTGACAGTTTGAATTCTGTTAAGGGGAAAAGCCTGGGGAATCCATGACCACTCTGACCAAAGACCACACGGACCAAACAAAAAGACAAATCGGACCATACAAAAATACTACTCAGACCAAACAAAAAGACCACTCGGACCAATAATAAAATGTTATTTTAATAAATTAATAATTGTGTTTGTTTTAATATTACTACTCGGACCAATAATAAAGTGTTGTTTTAATAAATTGATAATTGTGTTTGTAAGTTAAAACAACGATAACTGAGTAGTGATTAATTTGTATGTATGGAACTAAGTATGTTACAAATAGTGAAGAGTGGAACACTGAAATCTTAATATTTTCGAGTGAGGTTTTACCTTTATTTCACCTCTATTTCAATTGGTTTATTATATGTTAAGCTATGTAAAGTACAGTTTGGGGTCAGTGTAAATTGGAAATTTAACGAAGTTATAGGGCAGTATACATGTAGCAAGACAGAAGACATCAGTAGTGGGCCCATTTCAGGTAAAGTGGTCCATCATAGGCCAGTGGAACTATTTCTACCGTGTTACATGCTGATCAAATTGATGAAGCACATCAAAGAAAAACAATTGAATTGTTGATGTATATGGAGATGGTCCGAGTAGCAAAGATAAATACTGGTCCGAGTGGTCTTACAATTAATTGGTCTGAGTGGTCTTTTGGTTTGGTCCGAGTAGTCTTTTGGGTTGGTCCGAGTGGTCCCTCTTTTGATCCGACTGGTCTTTTTTTTGGGTCCGAGTGGTCTTTGGTCTGAGTGGTCTGGATACCAGCCTGGGGAACCGAACATCAACATGTCTCGGTCAAAACAGGGATCGTGAAATGGTGCCTTATTAATTCATTGAGCCACCACGGCTATCAAAACATTTTATTTTAGCGAACTGGGGGTAGTCACTATCATTTACATGTACTAGGTACCGGCAAAGGATTAAACTCTTTGAAAAATGATGATAAACCTGTTCGGTGTTTCTTTTCTTGCATCTGTTTTTTCTTCTGTTTCCCACTAAACGGCTTCTTTCTTGGCATCCTGACTAGAAAACGGTTTTAACGTCACACAAGAAAATTGTCAGTACGTATAACTTGCTTACGATGCAGATATCTCCTTACACCTGCCTATTATCTTAAGATATTTTTCTAGAACATTCAACTTTTATGCAGAAGTAAAATTTATGGGCGCAGACATGTTGTCATTACGCAGCACAAATTAAGAGTTATCTCCGCATAAGCTTGGCTTTAAAATGAAAAATAAAGTTAAGAATCACTTCAAGTAATTTTTTTTATTGACTAACACATATTTAGTATATTTCTGCGAAACTCAGAACTTGTAATAATTCAATAAGACGTGGTTTTGAATAAAATATCATGTATTAATTTGAAGTGAGTAGTGTGCGGGACTGCTTTGTTTACTTGAAGTGAACATGGCGACGAAAACACCTGTTAAATTTGACAAGAATGGTTTAGTTTGAATCCATCATCGTAAATTGTTGTCTGCCACTATGGAGTTTGATTTTAACGTGAATCCCCTTCTTGCAGACATAATCACCAAATTAGATAACCGATTGATGCCAAGTCGAAATGGACAGGGCAGGTAATTTATGGATTCTATTTATTAAATCTCATTTGTTTGTTTATTATACTAATCAATAATTGTGACATCATCTATACATGTACATGTACATCGATCATAATTATGATGATACCACATCGATGATAACACAATGACAATCTGTCTGGGATGATCTTATGTTCTTGCTGCTTTCTCTCTTTCAATCATGATGTTTTTGCTAGGCCTATAAATAAAAGTCATCCTCATAGAAAGTAATAATAATAACCACTAGCTGATCGATGAAGGGCGATTAACCTGAAACGCGTACTAGAATATAACTTTTCAACCAGCCACACAGTGTTGTCCAGTTTGTTGCTGGGGATTTTATTATTTTTGGGGTTATTTACACGGATTGGTTCCTGCTTATCCCCGGATGCATCACTGAGATCCAAACTTGTCAGCACTGTTTAAGGGAATCTTCCGCCCTCCTAATCTTATCGAGTGTGGGGGTTTTATCGTCTCCTACTTGGTTTTTTATTTTTACTCATAGAAAGTTCTTGTGATTGGTCTGATTAACCCATTTTGCTTGAATATGAATTAAATCTCTTGTCCAAAATTACTGTTTTCAGACCTGTATGATCAAGACTTCAATGAAAATTGTCCAATGAAATTCCACAGAAATCGTATTATGTTTGAAATTGTTGAGATGAGTGGTTTCGTGCTTTGTGGGTCTACTTATAGTGTTAATAATAATAATAATCATGTCAAGCTTGTCGGTACGGGTTATGGATATGTTCTTGACTATTTTATTATTAAACTAAATATTCAGATCTTATAATCATCTAGAGATACTGAAACTAAATGCGGGGGGTTGGATGGCCGAAAGGTTAGCACGCGCGTGCTGTATCATACGGTCTGTCATGAGTCAACTGGCGGGGTTTTGATTCCCCGGTTGTACGTGACAAGGAGTAGGGTCCCCTGTCCAACCTCGTGGGTTTTCTCCGTGTCCTCCGGTTTCCTCCCACTGCTAAAGACCCCTTCGCGCAAGCGAATGATTGAAATAAAATTGAACCATGTGTTACATGTATTCCCGAAATGACCTAGTTTGTGTCGAGTGGACGTTAAACCCCATTTCTCTCTCTCTCTCTCTGAAACTAAATATGAAACTTTTAGAAATGAAACCATGGACCGTATATAGATGGACAGGCAACGAGTCCCGTTGGTTGGATTCTCTGCCGCTCGCGTCGCGCGAGACACAACAAGATCTCAATGTCAACGGCAAATCAAGCGACATTGCAGGATTTTATACAGAATAATTCCTTAGAATTTACGTTATTCTTATAGTTACACGGTAATGCTTCAACCCGATAAGTATTCCTATCCGGTAGTGACAAATTTCTTCAGTTTAGAACTTTGAAATTTCAAAATGCAGTTTTTGAAAATTGTGAAATAATCGATTTCAATTTTTTCGTAGTTTTTGTAAGCATGTTGGTTTTGCTTAATACTCCAAATTCCCATATGTATGAAGGATTTTAAAATTATGAAAAAAAAGTTCAGGTATAATACTGTCCAGAATGAGGATTAATTCTGCAGAAGTAGAAATTAAAAGAGTGTTTTAGTAGGTTTGTTTTTAACGAAAACTCAACATGTTTTTTTCGGATTCACATTGGCGCGTCTGAAGTAAACAAAGACGATGTGTTGATACATTTACACCCCAATCATCAGTTAGTAGTCTATCTATGTGTCGGTTGCAAAAAAAAGAGTAGGAAGATTAATAAAAATGTTATGAATTGATTTCTGTTTCTTTGCTTTTAAACTTAAATACTGGTAATTGCGCGAGGGGAGGTAATTTTATTTTAGTCATAATTGTCAGGTCTGTTTTTTTGCCGTGGCACAGAATTCTAAAGGCTTCGCGGGTGTTGCCTGTCCATCTATACACAGTCCATGACGAAACCTAGTTACTAATTGGTGTAGGAATACGAATATATTCTACTATGGGATGAAATGCCTCCTTTCCAACACTCATGCTGTTGATGGCCATTTCCACCAATTATGATAAAGATATAATTTGGCGATAAAATATTCAATCTGGTGAAATTTTTATTGATAGTGTTGGATTAGTGTTGATAGGTGTTTATCGTAAGAGTAGTGATAATATAATCAAGAGAAAAAAGATATTTTTATCTCTTTTTTTGGCAAAAACAATATATGGTGAATAAATTCAAATGAAAAATTGGTGGAAAAAAATGGAACCCAGAGTGAGCACCGCTCCTTTCTATGTGCAGCTCTATCCCCATTAAACATCTGTGTATTACAACACTGTTTGAAATTGAAATTTTAAAAAATAAAGTCAGAAATTACACAAGTGTCTAATTATAGAACCAGCCCATTAAAATTGCTGACTCAAGCATCTGTATTTCACTCCTTCTGCCACAACAACACTAGTCTGTTCTTTTGTATTTTCCCGTTTGAACAACTTGCGGGAATTAATAAAACATCAATATATATATAAACTGCAGCGCGTACAAAATAAGGCAGTGCAGATCGTAACACAAACTTCTTTGAGAGACAGTATCACCCCTGTACTTAGGTCACTTCACTGACTTCCAGTTCAAGCGAGAATTGACTTCAGATTGATGTCTCTTACATATCAATGTGTGTACTTTGTAATGCCATCTTATATGAGAGAATTTGTTGTACGTTACATTACATGCCATCAAAAAATCTAAGTTCAAGTACTAAGAACAACCTTGTTGTCCCAAAATATAGAATCAGCTCCTTTGGTTTTGTTGCTGTTAATTTGTGGAACTCGCTACCTGAAAATCTTCGATCCAGTCCATCATTAGACTCCTTTAAATCCAAATTTAAAACATACTTATTTGAGAAATATTTGCAAGAGTGATTGTGTTTTTTTGTAGCGCTATGAGCATGACTACATGTGGAATTAGCACGATATAAATGGACTTCTTCTTATTATTATTTATTATTATGTACAAATTGACTGCAGTTGACCAGGGTAGACTATAAAATTGTTATTATTTTCTATACATAGCCATGTTAATATATGAAGTTCCCTGCATTACACCCAAACATGTATGTTACTTGATTTGTGTACTTGTATTGCCAATATTTCAGAAATGGAGCATTACAGTTGCGACAACAGTTATATGAAGTTCTGGATAAAATGGGTGAAGCCTCTGCTAGAGTAAGTAAAGAAATGGGTTTTGGAGAGAGAGAAAGAAATAGGATTTAACATTCACTCTACACAAACTAGATAATTTCGGGACGTACATATGGTTCAATTTTATATCATAAGATCTGTGATTGATTCAAGTGATATGGTTTTGATAACTTTTGATTATGCATTACAAGGAGTACTGGTGTCACCTCTCCAACCATATGGGTTTTCTATGGGTCCTCCGGTTTCCTGAGTTACTGAAATAAAATTTTACCATATATTAAACCTAAAATGACATTAGTTTGTGTCAAGTGGACATTGAACTCTATTTCTCCTTCTACTAGTGAGTAGTGTCGGGAGAATTCATTGTGGTTTGCATGATAGCTGTGGTCATATTCTGCACACAGAGATCCATCTACTTCATACTTCGAGAATAAATCTCTGTCCTGAATGTAAGCCACATCCAGAAATTAGTATATTGTTTGATTTCGTCTAATAGTTTGGATGCAGCTATGGCGGGTGTGGCGCCAGGCAGGGTAAGCTTACTCTTCCGGACACCTGTTACCACTGTTTGTCGTATATTTTGTACACGGTGAACAGTCCATATGCTGATTACACTATTTTGCCATATTACACTATTTTGCCTATACCGTTTTTTTAGGACTTCGAATTTTGTCTAATGGTTTGGATTGTTTGTACTTGGTTTTATTTTATTTGTAATGCGATTCTACTGCGTTTAACACCTGGCATATACACACAGACTAAAAAAACCCTATTTAATTCCATTAAATTGAAGCAGAATATACTTTTCTCAAAATTCTCAATGTATACTTTGTGTTTTCGACTAAAATCGTCAATGTAAGGCTTAAAATGTCAGGCAACTAGCTTAGTGTCTGTTTAGTATGCAGTGGTCAATTCCCGATGTAGTATCCTGTCATGAAGATACATTAATTATTGTCTTTTATAGGCTGACATTTTCATGTGGATGTATATTGTTGTCGCCCCTGTCCGTCCATCCACAATTTGTTTGTGGACACTCTACAGGTCACAATTTTTATTTGATTCTGACAAAACTTGAAAAATAGGTTTATCTCACAAAGGTCGTGGTTCCTTTCGATATTGCCATGTATCGAATTGTAACTTTATGGGTTATGGCCCTGATTGTACGAAAAATCATATTTTTTAAAGCTTGTGCTCTATCCATCTTTTGCAAAATTTGGGCGTATCTTGCCTTGCAAAGGCTTGTTCCATAATATACATATAGTTATTGTTGTTAACCCCTTAACTGCGTAGGCATTATATAACGTCCTGGACAACTTCCACTCACCGTGTGTGGGACGTAATATACAGTGTAACGTCCTGGAGGTATTTTCCCCAACCTATTCTTCGAACACAATCTCACCATGTGTAAGACGTTATATTACGCCTGGTCGAGGAAATCTAATTGAAGGGAGACAACTCTATTTACTGTTAGTTTTAATATGGTTTAAGACCACTAAAATTTGTATTCAGGAAAAAATAGGCCCAAATATGACGTTTTTCGGCAAATTAATTACGCAATAGGGGGTAGTTAACGTCAAATTAATTACACAGTTAAGGGGTTAAGCTATAGCTTTGTTTTAGGCTCAAGGTTTGCGTGGTGCCATTACAAGTGGAAGAAAAATGGAATTATCAGATCATAAACTTTACATAATGAAAGATCCAGAAGGCTCCAGGTAAGCTAGATAATAATGGTATTTATTTTTACCTCTTTCCTCGGTTATTCCCTGGGTGGAAGTCTAGGTCATATTGGTATTTATTTGATCTCTTTTCATGTTTATTACTTGGGAGCGTAAAAAAGCTCTTATTCGACTTATTGTATTCCTTTTTTTTTTTATTTCCCACGCTTGTAAGCTAGATCATGTAGGGTTTGGGTAACCTAGTGCTCTAACGTGTGTGCTAACGTTAAACACCATTCCATTTGTTTCTGAGGGAGGTTGGATGGCCGAATGGTTAGGGTGTGCACGTTGTATCATAAAGTTTGTCATTGAGTCATCAGCTGGCGTGGTTTCGTTTCCCCGGTTGTACGTGACAAGAAGTAGGTTGCTTGTCCAAGCTCGTGGGTTTTCTCCGGGTCCTCTGGTTTCCTCCCACTAATAAAGACCCATACGCGCAAGTGAATTATTGAAATAAAATTGAACCATGTTATTTCCGAAATGACCTAGTTTGTGTCTAGTGGACGTTAAATCCCATTTCTCTCTCTTATTTGTTTCTGGAAGACATTTCATCTAACACGACTGCGGTCGAAAGCTTTGCCTGTTGCCTACGATCTGCTTACTCTTCTTTATTTCTTGCACACTTTCCCACTATCATACATCATCCATTACTATTATTAAACTCAATTAGCATAATAAATAGAGTTACCTCCCATTAACCATTAATTGCTGTAAAACAGTCCAACATTGATTTTTTGGCTGAGTTTAACTAATAAATGATCTGGGCCTTCATAAGTCATGGCCTAACGCATTCACCAGGTCGTGAGGTCATGCTGGTTAATTTGATACCACATATCTGGGGGTTAGGCGTGCCGACGAAGCGAGATGGGCTGACATACACGTATGTACACACTTTGATTTATTTATGTATATAGATTAAAGTCTGCTTTCTTTTATTGTCAGTGGTAGAGGGGCTGTCATAGGGTTTTTAAAGACAGGAAAGAAGAAATTATTTGTTTATGATTATAATGGACATCACCATGAGATGGAGCCACTGTGTGTTCTAGATTTCTACGTTCATGAATCTCGACAACGGATGGGTTGTGGAAAGAGATTATTTGAGTATATGTTAAAGGTATATATACAAGTTATAATCTTTCTTTTTTGATTATTTCCATAAATATTCATAATTTTTTTAATGTGGGATTGATTTTCTATCATGGCTGAAACATTTAGACACATTGTGATTACCTATAATATTTTTTTAATTTGAATCAAAAGCCTATACATATTGGCATTACATTTTCATTTTTATACGCCCACATTGAAATGTGGTTGTATATTGTCGTCACCCCCGCTGGTCTGTCTGGCGTCCAAATTTATACCACCAAACCGTATGTATTTGGTTTGTGTTTCCTGTTTCTATTGATTGGAAGTTTCACAATTGCTTGTGGACGCTCTAGAGGCTGAAGTTAATATCCGATTGACTTCAAATTTATACACAATATTTAAGGTCATGAGATGTAGAAGCCTATTCATTTTCAACAATTTCTGATTATTACTTCCTGAGTTATGGCTCTTGAGCACTTTGAAATATATTGTGGATGTTCTGGACGCTAAAGTTAATTTCCGATTGACTTTAAATTTATACAAAGTGTTTAAGGTCATGAGACGAAGTAGTCTATTGTTTTTCAACGATTTCTGATAATTTCTGCCAGTGTTTTTGCCCCTTAATCACTTTGAAAAATATTATGGATGCTTTAGTGGCTAATATTAATATGCGATTGGCTTTATTTTTAAACAGTGTTTAAGGTCATGAGATGAAGACACCGGTCAATTTTCAACGATTTCCGATGATTATGGCAATTGATATTAAATGTTTTGTATGGTAAATTTAGAATAGAACAGAACTAAAAGTTAAATGGGTTGTTACATGTACTTGTAATCAGATTTTAGTGTGTTGTAAATGTTTTCATTTCTGACTAAAGAAAAGATATGCGACAACCCATGTTGACTACCAGAACGACTTAGTTGCTCTTGGTGTATGTTTCGTTGTCTGGCAACCTATCTTTGCGAATATAAACTCATAGCAACAAGTAATGATCGGTGCCATGCACAAAGTACAGTATACTTACTGTATATAGAACACCTGATACCACTGATAGTGATTTTATATTTTTCAGTGTGAGAATGTGGTACCTTGTCATCTGGCTATAGATCGACCCTCCATTAAATTTTCATCATTTTTACGCAAACATTATAATCTTAAAAAACAGATACCTCAGACCAATAATTTTGTAGTTTACGATGGTTTCTTAGATCAACCAGGTAAAGAATTAATTTATTGACTTTTGTACCTTGGTGACTCAGTGAGTATGCTGTTGACTTCTTAACTTGGAGGTCCCGTGTTCGATCCCTACGTTGGTCGAGAAAGTTCATCAGGATTTTCCGACGTGGTTACCCCTTCTCGGTGGTGCAGGACACAGGGTCTGGTAAGGGACAACTTATAATCGTTTAGATAGGATGAAAAAACCAAGGTCCCACGTGCAGATTGAAGTGCACATATAGATCCTTTGGTTGTTGGAATTTGATATTAGAGTTAAGTGTAGTGGCGCTGTCCTGGCAAAATTTCTCTCATAGCAATCTGCATGGCGCATGCCCGTCTTCATTAGCCTATTAACAGAAGTACCTTAAACCTCATCTCATTTCGTTTCACCTTGATAAATTTCAATTCGCGGCTTGTACGTTACAAGGAATAGAGTCACCTGTTCAACTTCGTTGGTTTTCTCCAAGTTCACCGGTTTCAAAGTCTGGTGACGTGGTTTTGTCATAAGGTATGTCATTTTGATTCCCAGCTTGTACGTGACAAGGAGTATAGTCACCTGTTCAACCTAATTGATTGATGAAGAGTAGTCGGAACTGCCACTGTCAAGGCAATATCTCCCGCATAGCATGCTTTAAGGCATATTCTCTTCTTCATTATCAAGGATTGTATAGAAAAATGATATGATAAACTCCATTTTATTTTATTTCCAGCCATGTTTCTCACTTAAAATGGTTAATTTCTATTTTTTGTTACATTCATTTATTTATATTCTTGTTAGATGCTGGTAGAAGAAGAAATGGTAATAGAGCATATACAAGTTATCCATTCAATGGTAAGAATTAAACATAGTTTATACAAGTTACCAATTTAATGGTAAGAATTAAACACAGTTTATACAAGTTACCAATTTAATGGTAAGAATTAAAAATATTTGATGAAATTTGGTCAGCAGCAGATAGACCTGTCAATAGATTGCTGTGAATATCGCTCTACTGCAAGCTAGTACTTTCCTACCATGTGTTCTAACAAAGTGTTCTTTTAATTTTTCCACGAAAACTAAGGGATGCAACTCTTTTTATAAAAAAAGAAAAATTATGACTTTCTGTTAATAACATCTTTTGAGGATCGACCATTGTAAAGCATAACAGCAATAGTTATCAATATATTTTACAGTTAATTAAAGGGACATTATCGGAGATTAGATAAAGAGCTGGTAGTTCTCGCTATAATAGTTAAAAACTAGATAATGTAAAGGGAATTTGCTGAAAATTTCAGTCAGGTTAATCCACCCAGAACCGAGTATTTACTGATTGAATTTTGGGCCTAGCCTCGATGATCATTACTAAATTCGGTACGATAAAAAACATAATCTCGATTATCCATTTCATGATTAAATCATGATTGTAATCCGGTAAATATCGCAGGCTAGCATTGATTATTGTTTGGATAAGTTAATTGATGTCTAATTAATAATTTAAATAACATTTCAAGCCTAAGGAAAGATCTGCAATAGGCAGATTTAGCGCTTGCATAATGTATGTTTAAGCTGATTATTGACAAGGGATCCAATATAACTTACATAACATAAACAAATAGCACTATTTTTACGGCAACATTTTCTTTTTTGCTAATTTTTAATGGAAGACAAGAAAAACTATGTAAATTAGATTAATTTTGAATCCAAGATAACAAAATATCTAACAGATTCTGAATTACGTGGAGTGCTCAGTATATTATGCAATGTCTTGCTCGAGACCATTAAACAACTATCCTACACATGCATTTCATCTAGTATAAATATAAATAATGGTATGCCATTACCAAAGGATGTGAAGTCACATCTGTATTTTAATCTAGGTAGTGAACGGTAATTTTTATGTTTTCTTCTGGTGGTCTTCCTGATGCCAAGAGTGTCACCAAAGGGTGCAATGAGGAACAAGTGATAGTTATGGATTTTTAAAATCGTGTTTGCTAGCTGTTCCCTCAAGTGTTCAGTATTATTGTATTATCATATTTGACATTATTTATTTCATTTCATTTATAATATGTGTATTATGTCAAAGGCAATAATGTATATTTTATATATTTATCATTGTGTATTTATCGATGACTAATTAAACTAATTATCGAAATATTTACTAAAAATTTTTTAAGTCAAATCTAGCATTTCTTAATTTTATATATTTATTGTGTGTTTATATGCTATCTATAATTTATTACTAATTAAACTAACTAATTATTGAAAAATTTAATAATATTTATGTAGTAAAATGTAGCATATTTCTTTATAAGCCTTGGAAGTGGGAATTTATGTGCTTTTGAAACTAATTATCTAAAGAAAATTAAAAAAATTTTGTGTTGTGGTCAAATGTATGATTTCTTAATCACCCTTTGAAGTGTAATTTACATGCTTTTGAAATCTACTACCGTACCAAATCATTGTTTGTATGGCCTTTTTTCACTATCCTGCCGGGTCTGGCCAACAGTGCCTAGTCATTTGGATGGGATGGAAAACCAAGGTCGGGTATACACATTGGCAGGCACATTAAAGAACCCTTGACAATTGGAATTGAACACAGATTAGAAGGAAATATATCTGCATGGGAAAAATCTCCCTCATAGCACACTGTATGGCGTATTCCCATCTTCATTATCCCAGTTGGTGCAGAAAAGTAGGACGTTAAACCCCATCCCGTAAGTCAACTCAGCACTTTCTTTGTCAGGCACGAATCTAACTTCTGTACAAAAAAAATCAAACAGCAAGAGGTGTTTTTGTTTTTTATTGGGATGTAATTAAACTTCCCCAGTATGAGAAGTGGTATTAGATGCTCCTGAAAGAGTAAACATAATTGTAGTTGTATAATGTTGCTGATTATTGCTGTAACTGTTTAAATTATCCTTAAGGTTATGAAGAAAATAGTTGCTATGGTTACAGAAACAGAGGAGGCAACCCTGATGGACCCCTGAATGGATATAATGTAAATCGTCCCCCGTCTGGTTCAAACAGACAAAACTATAACAGACCGCCCTCCGGCAAAAATTCTTACAATAGAGCGAAAAATCAAGTTCACCCAGAAAATCAAAATATTGAATCAAACTCTTACGATCGTCCTCCATCACATACACGACCTCCATCAGGTCGAAATAGGTCAGTTGTTCAACCCGAAGGTCAAGGTCAGGTCAGGAGTCGACCTTCATCTGGTAACCAAGGTTACAGACCCTCATCAGGAAATAAAATAACTCTAGATGTAAGTAGATGTATTTTATTTTTTGTTTTTTAAAATTAAAACCTACGGCTTCAATCACCTCCAGAAGAGTGGGTGGCTGAATAGTTTAATGCTTTAGATACTAAGGTTTGTCATTGATGCAAGTGGCATGATTTCAATTTCCTGTTTATACATGTATGTGACACATGCGAGGTGATTTCCGTTTTACAGTGGTTCAGGAGGGAAGGCCTAGCAAAGAACAGTGTCTAGTCATTTGAATGGTACGAAAAACTAAGGCCCTGTGTTCACATGGGGTGCACATAAAAGAACCCAGACGTGTTCCCTTTGTCAGTTATACAGAATGGAGAACCTGACAAGGAACAGTGTCACATTGTTCGAGTGGGACGGTTAAAGATACATTAGTTAAAGAGTTTAATAAAGAGTTGGTCATTCTTGCTATAATAATTCAAAAATAGATGATGAAAAAAAGAAAATATTGAAAATTTCATTCAAATTACTTCATTCTCAGCTAAGTTATCATTGTTTGTAGTTTTGACAAGATGCGTGCACAGTGGTAACCAGGTAAATTTTTAAATGGCGAACCGTTTTAATCTAGTTAAAATCTCTGATGCCATCGAGATTATGGTCTTGTTTTGTTAATAAATGTCTAATTAATAATTTAGATAACATGTCAGACCTAAAGAAAGACTGCAATAGGCAGATTTAGCTCTTGCATAATATATATTTAACTGAGGTCTAGTGTACAAGCTGGGGGTACACCTAAAACAAACATTGAGTAAATGACACTGTCCAGTCAAAATTGCCCTGGATGGAGCAGAAAAGTACTACATTAAATTGGGTATATCCAAGCAGTTATATCTGACGATTGTGTTCTTTATCCAGGCAGTATTGAAAAGTGGGTATTTATTCGTTTATTTATCTTATTCATTTTTTTTAGGCTTTAAAACAGTTGAATTTAGGACCTAGATCTAAAACATCTTTACCCAATACTCCACCACAACAACAGCAGTAAGTTTATATGTTACTAGAATTAGATAACTCTTGTTAATCTAATACCCCACCACAACAACCGAAACTGCCAGACAAAATGGCCGCTCCCTGTACGCAAATACGTAGTGTTAAAGTATATCAAAGGTGTGGACCCCTCTAGAGGTCACAATTTTGATCCAATTTTGATGAAACTTAAAACGTGTTTATGTTCCAAAGATCTTGGTACTTTTTGATATTCGCGCATATCGGACCGTAACTTCCTGGATTATAGCCCCTGATTGTATGCAAAAATCGCGATTTTAGCTTGTGGACCCTCTATAGGTCACAATTTTAAAAATCAATGTTACACCCTGATGACAATTGAGTTTGAATTTTGTAAAAAATCAGACTGAAACAGACTGACAAAATGGCCGCTAGAGGTCACAATTTTTGTCCAATTTTGATGAAACTTAAAATATATGTTTATATTCTAAAGATCTTGGTTCCTTTTATTATTAACGCATATCGGATTGTAACTTCCTGGATTATGTCCCCTGATTATACAAAAAGTTCCTCTAGAGGTCACAATTTATCTGATTTTAAAATATGCTTATATATATCAGTGTTACAACCTAATGCTGCTTGAGTTTGAATTTCATGAATATCAGACCGAAACTGCTGCACAAATTGGCCGCTCCTTGTACGCAAATAATGTAAAAGTATGTAATACAAGGTTGTGGACCCTCTAAAGGTCAGAATTTTTATCTGATTTTGATGAAACTTAAAAATATGTTTATATTCCAGAGATTTCAATACCTTTTGATATTCATGCATATCGGACCATAACTTCCTGGATTATGTCCCCTGATTGTACAAAAACATCTCTTATTTTTTAGCTTGTTTTCTGTCCATCTCTTGCAAAATGGATTTTCCAGTGTGGTTCCCTCTTGTCAGAAAATAACGAACTCCCGTGTACACACTAGTGCACGTAAAAGAACCCTTGACAGATGGAATTCAAAATAAGAGTAGGCCGTAGTGCCGCTGTCAAGACAAAATTATCCTCATAGTATGGTGTATGCCCGTCTTCATTAGCCCAGTCAGTGTAGGATGTTAATGTTTTTATTTGCCCATTTAGTTTCATTCCATTTATTTTCAGACATTTAATGATAGATATGAATAATTTACGAAACAATGATTCTGGAGTAGCTGGTATTAATATGGTATATAGACGACAACCCCCATCACCTCAACCCCTTCACAGACCCAACTCGCAAAATACCAGACCCTCATATCAAACACCAACCAGACCAGACAGTCAGGAACGACCACCGCCATATAGAGGTAATGAAATTGTCCACAATTATGAATTTGAGTAAGAAAGGTCATAATTTTAAATCAGATTTTTATTTCATTGAATTTTTAGACTTGATTGACAGAAAGCGAAAACACAGTTGTCCAGACCTTACTGACCTTACACGTATTATATTCTGTATACTACATATTATAGGTTCATAAAACTGTATTTGAATTTTCACTATTTTCTTAAATCAGGTTGAAAACATTAGATGTCTACGGAGAAAAAATATCTCTAAGATCAATATTTTATTGATTGTTGATTTTGTAAGAAAGAGAGGGAGAGAAATGGGGTGTAACGTCCACTCGACACAAACCAGGTTATTTTGGGACTAACACATGGTTCAATTTTATTTCAATAATTATCTTGCATGTAGGGGGTCTTTATCAGTGGGAGGAAACCAAAGGGCTCGTAGAAAACCCACGAGGTTGGACAGGCAACCCTACTCCTTGTCACGTACAACTGGGAAATCGAAACCAATTCTGTTGACTCAATGACGACCTTATGATACAACGCACTCATGCTAACCATTCGGCCATCCACTCCCCCTGTTGATTTTGAAAGAGATCAATATTGTTGATTTTGAAAGAGATCAATATTGTTGATTTTGGGAGAGATCAATATTTTATTGATTGTTGATTTTGGGAGAGATCAATATTTTTATGATTTGATGATTTTGTTTTATACAGTAAATAATCCGTCCCAGGTCAGTCCTCAACAGATAAATCTACACCAGGAATATCTTGGACATGGTGGACATCTCAAAGTTAATCCTGTTACTGGTGAAAAGATAACCTCAAGGTAAACAGTGGTTTAAAATAAAATAACATTAATAATATATCTCTTCCCTAGATTTTACTTCAGTGTGTCAGTTTTTGACATATTCTTTTGGGATTTTTTTTAAGATTACAATGATATTTATTTCAAAGAATATGACATCTGAAGTTGATGTATTTTTGAGTGTTTTACACATCAAATCTATAAATGTTATTTTATTTATTTTGTTTTAAGGATAAAGGCTTTCAAATTCTAAGTTTATGTTATGTAAAATTAACTGACATGTAAATTATACTGTCAGTCAATCAAGGCTGATAAATATGGCTGAACGTAGAGGCCTGGTCTCTTCATGTTCATGCATAGCCAAGACAGATAATGTGTCCTGGCTGGGGTTCCATAAACAACATGTCTTGTCTGGTGTTCCATATACAAGGACTGGGTGATATCGATAAGCAAGTCATAAAAAGAATATGCCGCATGTATCTACATGCCCCATACGTGAATATACATTCAAATGTATTAAACTGATTTAGATGCAAACGCTCATTTACGGGTCTTTTTTATTGATATCGAAAGAACCTCCATTTTTGTATCACGTGATTTTAATTACCTCCCCTTGTGAACTAGAATTTGATTCGTGTTAAACACCGAAAGTCATTGACAACAATGCAATGTATTTCAATCATTCGATCTTAATCGGCTCATTATTGCCGGCTTCAGTCGGTCCATGTTTGAAAAAATCCTACTTATAAAACAATGAATCGTAGAACAGGTTAATCATTATAACTTGTGGCTACGAAATACGATACGATGATAGTCACCATACCTTAGTCAGAATCTGGGTCATTAGCACATTTAACGGTAGTTTTGATAATCCGGAAAATAATAATTGGATTACACATTTGATGGTTTTACTGACCAGTTGTTAGTTAAATTTAAATAGTCATTCGATATAAACCCCAGATAGAACACTGAATATCCTGAGAAACACACCGAATATCCTGAGAAACAGTCATTTCCCGAATCCCGATGACACGTGACATGCATTGGTTGGAATTAGGTCAATCATTATAAACCAGCGATACTAGATTTAGATCTAAGTGTCGTTTACCGTGATGATTATTTTTGATACACATGCTGACAGAGGCTTACTCTTTAAAATATTGTCGTTATTATGGACGTCTATTAATAGTCGTACAGAATTTTATTTTAAACCAATTTTAATTATGGTTGTCACCATTACCATTAGTAAGCTACATTACGTGAATTAAATATGGAAAATTATTTTCCTTTCAGTCAGTGTTCAGTGTTTGAGTAGACTTGATTTTTTGGTTTATGTTCTAAGTATGTATAATATATAACTGAAAGCAAAACCGTAGACGAGTAATGACTTTCTCATTAAAAAAAAAAAAAAAATACAAGGCCGCCCTCCCGCCCCAACAATTTTCAACAATAGCCAAATTTTATTTTGCACCATCCTCTAGCCAGAAATGAGGTAAAAAAAAAAATAACCCGCCCTCCCCCCCTATAGTTTCAGCTGTCAGTTGCCCGAGAAACAAGACATTTATTTTGTGTAGCCTTACAATTTAATCAGCTGGTTCAAACATAGATCTGTATATAGCCATGAAGACTTGCTACAACCATACAATTGTGATGTGGCTGCATTCTCATAATAGCGTCGTTCAAAGACATTCAACAAACCTTGGCAGTCTCGGGTACCCATCCTAGCATTAAATTTAGTCAAGCAATGTAAGCATTTAATAACAGAAGTACATAGCAAACAACATACAGTTTCTTGAGATTAAACACTCTTTACGGGCGTTTTCATGGGCGCCGCCATTGAAAGTAGTTCCAATTCAGCAGAATTCGTCATATAGCCAAGGTTAGATGTAGGGTATTAAAGTCTGCTGAGGTGTGCCGAATGACTGTGTCTTGTGGGGGTCAATATAAACCTTGATAATGTATCCTGTGGGGTTCCATATAAAACTTGATAAAGATCTTTGCAGTTTTAAGCAAAGAAGAGCAACCAGAAACACAGATGCCAGGGCACTATTATCTCCCCCTTCACATGTCAGGGCACTATTATCTCCCCCTTCACATGTCAGGGCACTATTATCTCCCAATTCACATGCCAGGGCACTATTATCTCCCCCTTTACATTTTACACAAAGATTAATCGCAGGAAATAAAAAAAACGGTGTTTGTTAAACTTAAAATGAATGGCAAGTTTTTCATGGCAGTCAAGGAATGGAGAGCTAGGAATTATGGTATAAAGAGAGATAACTCTACACCATGTTAGCAATGGCTAAGACAGTGGTTGACACTCTGTGATAATAAATTATAATTGATTGTAATTTTTTCTTTTGTGATATATAGTTTCAACTAAAAATAATTTATGTGTGTCAAAAAGATAAAATTGGGTGTATAAAATTTATTTGTATGTTGATTTCAGTTTACCAAAGATAAATGGGTGTGATAATAAAACTGTTGCCGTTAGTAACCCCCCTCCATTAATATCATGGCAGACGACACAACAGACAGCACATCAAGATATCTCCTGGACTGTTGGAAATATTCAACACAATCGTGGAAGACATTATCAGTCTCGATTATGGTGAACGATAGAATGATAAATACATTTTACTTTTTAATTAGTGAGAAATCATGTTGAATATGTTTATTTATTGTGTTGATATAACACCAGTGTATTCACTAGATGAAAACACCGGTATTACAGTGCTGATATAACACAGGTGTTTTCACTGGACAATAACACCAGCACTATGTTGAATGGATCCAGTTAACAGAAAGGAAAATTTGAATGAAATTTGAGAAAAGAAATGAAGATTTCTGATTTTTAAGTGACCTGACCAATATGTTAGTTTTATCACATTTTCCAGACATACCTAGACTAAAGATCTTATATCATGCACGCACATGTGATGGCCTGTTAATGCATACATATTTTACAACAATTTAAAGTGTAACGACTTGTAACAGATATTTAAATTATGGTAGTTTAATTCCAGCCACCTGTTATCCAACAGACATGTTCGCAATTTGCTCTAGATGTGCTTCATTGGCAATGTCCTCAGCACCAGATATACCTATTGGCCTGGTAAGCTGAAGTCTGGCAGTGAAATCTAGGCGCCTCCAGCCAAGGTGTTTGCTATTTTTGACACTCTCATAAGCCTTATTTACAGGCACTCTAGTCTTAAACAACTGCCATCATATCATCCTTGGGTTACCTCAGTTGTTTAAAACACACTTTCATCTTCCTCTAAATCTCTATTCTTCAGCACCTAGAAATGGACATGGATGGGTCGCAATGCATATAATAATGTAATATGAATGTATATAAACTGATTTACATGCTATCGTTTCTGTTTTTCTATCATTTCTAATCAGTTATGTTCCAAATTGAATGGCAGTCTTTGGTGTCTGGTTATTCCAGTCTGCCCCGGTAGTATTCTCCTGTGGGATAACCTTTGGCCATGTTCATCTTGTTCATCGAGTTGCTAAATACAAATTGAGTTACAGACTTGACTCCTTTAAATGTCCAAAGTATTGTTTTGAGGAGACAAAACCCCATTCTATTCCATTCATTAAAACTGATTGTTGTACACTTTTATCAACTGTGATATCTCTGTCATGTACTATGTTTATTTATTATGTAAAATCACCATAATTATATTGTTAATATCAATTTATAGAAATATTATTTAGGATATAAAATAAAAGATTTAAAAACTGGGACTGGTAATTTGTATTTTGCTTATAAATTCATGGCCTTATATAAGGTCCAAGGTGAATTAAATATGCATCATGTAAGATTTACATACAGAGCTGACAGTTCTCGCTATAATAGTTAAAAAATACGATAATGAAAAGGGAATATAATGAAAATTGCAGTCAAATTATTTTATTCTGAGTGAAGTTATTACTGTTTAACGTTTTGATAAAAAATAAGGTCGTCTCTCGATGTTTATTGCTACCATTGTTACAATAATAATCAAAGTCTCGATTATCCATTTTTATAATGTTTCAATCTATTAAAATTCAGGGACATACAACTGACTAGAGAGTTGGTAATGGGCTTGTCATGTGATTACATGTTTGAATAATAATTTTTATATCATTTGGGCCCTGCAATGGGTCAATGTAGCTCTGATATAATGCATGTAATAATGCTATATTATTCAAACACCAGCAGGATGCCAGGCTTTGCATTCCTCCTGGTTGTCTATTTGTATTTTTATTATTATCTTAGCACTCGTGCAGGTGTACGCTCTTGCAGTGATGGAAAATGCGACCGAAAGCCAGAGTTCGAAGCTTGACACTGTACCCCTCCACTGGACATTCCAACCCACCCCCAATTGACCAGACACATGTTTACCTGATTGGTCACTTGTTACCATGGATTCAAACACCATGTACTAATAGGGGCACTCGAGGGGAGGACTAATGCTGCATACCAGAAATTTAGGAACACAAGACATCCTGACGTCAATGAACCAGTTTATCTGCAGGACACTTAATTAACTCAAGTTTTATGTCAAAACCATACAGACCCCCATTGTCTTTATAAATTACAATATTCTATCCATATCGACACTAAACAGAATTTTTTTTTTTCAAAGAACTTGAATAAGGTCTGTCATTGAGTCAAGTGGCGTGGATTTGATTTCCCGATTGAACGTGACAAGGAGTGGGGTCGCCTGTGTAACCTTGTGGGTTTTCTCCTGTTTGCTCCGACTGCTAAAGACAACCATGCGCAAGTGAATTATTGAAATAACATTGTACCATATTTTAGTCCCGAAAAGTGGAGGGGACGTTAAACCCCAGGAGAATCACACTACACGTAAAACAAAATCGATAAGACAAACCCGCAGCCACAAAAATTGCAGAGATTGCAAGAAATAGCAAATATCAAATCAAGTGAAAAGACTAGTCACTCATCACAGAACTCAATTCTGTTTTTTTCATGAATGATTTTTAAACAAATTATACATCTTTGTGTCAATTTGATCTTGAGTAAGAATCCTACCATCCGAAAGTCCTGCTGTCATGTTGCTTTCTATAGTTCTAAGTCGTCTTAATTTGGGTGTATTGTGGGCAATGACCCCCTCAACGTCACTAGACATCATTTCAAGGGAGACGCCCCCATAATGTCCATAACAACAGTCGTCGACCCTTCGTTTGTCATCCAAACACCGTCTTAAAATCTTCTGTTTACTAACCGTTTTTCGTAAAGATGATAAATCGTTCTGGAATTTTAATTCTGATTCCCGTTGCCGTTTGTCGAGGTAGCTGACATAAGAATCTTGACTGTTTTTTAGAAGACTATTTGCGATAAATAAAAACTTTCTATTTGTGCTAATTTTTTGTTTGATTGCTTTTAGACAAACGTCATCCATTTTAAACAATTTATTTTCAAAGCTTTGATTTTTTTATGTAACGAAAGCCATTTTATTGTATCCAACCTCGTTGGTTTTCTCCGGGTCCTCTCGTTTCCTCCCACTTCCCTTGTTAGTGATGTAGGATGGAGGGCTTGGCAAGGGACGACGTCTAGTCATTCGGATCGAACGAACAATCGTGGTACTGGGTGCACGTAAAATAAACTGTAGCAGTTGGAATTCAAAGAAGGGTGATCAAAATGTATTTCAGCATACTTCTCTTTGTACATTTTTCACTTAAGTTATTTTTAAAAACTAATAATAGGCTACATTTGTCCGAATTGGTGGGTGTGTTGAACTGTGATTCACGCACTGGTCATCAATGTGTGTTTACTATTTCAAGAACACCTGATACCACTTCTCATCGTATAATCACAAAATTCACAGCTTCTTTTTACAATTACTAGCATTCTATAACAGTATCCCAGACGCCACTTCCTATAGTAACATTCACAGAAGTCACTTCCTATAGTAACATTCACAGAAGTCAATTCCTATAAGTCACTTCCTATAGTAACATTCACAGAAGTCACTTCCTATAGTAACATTCACAGAATGCACTTGTACACATCCTAAAATAATGTTCCAAGATGACATACGCATTTTATAACAATATTCTAAAGTCACTCATATCCTATAATATTTCATAAGTGGTCTATATCATTTTGATATTTTACACCGAGATATCTGCAATATTTACTGAGTAGTTGTCGCCGTATTAGAAGATGACTCGTGTGTGCTACTTATAATAATTGTTAGCCTCCATCTGATGATTTTATACCTAACTCTCTAACAATATCACCTGTATGTAAAAAGCTTTCACACATCTATTATATTTAACTCTCAGGGTACCAAGCTTCTCTCTATATTTAGTATTAGATTTTCATGTTATTTATATGAAAACTTTGTTAAACATTGTCACGAATCAAACTACCGTAGTCAATCAAATTAAAGCGTCTACGCAGTCGGATGAGACAAAAAAAACGGGGTTCACCCGTGTACTCATTGTCGGACAGTTGAAATCCGACGACGAGTAAACGCAACAACCCCGTCATAGTTTCTCTAATAGTACACTGTATGCCCTTCTTCATTAACCCGGTTGGTGCAGAAAATAAGACGCTAAACCCCATTTCATTTTAAATTGATTACACGCATTGTTGTTGAAAAACAGTACGTTAAGCCCCATTTTAAATTGATTACACGCATTGTTGTTGAAAAACAGTACGTTAAGCCCCATTTTAAATTGATTACACGTATTGTTGTTGAAAAACAGTACGTTAAGTCCCATTTTAAATTGATTACACGCATTGTTGTTGAAAAACAGTACGTTAAGCCCCATTTTAAATTGATTACACGCATTGTCGTTGAAAAACAATACGTTAAGCCCCATTTTAAATTGATTACACGCATTGTCGTTGAAAAACAATACGTTAAACCCTATTTTAAATGGATTACACGCATTGTTTTTGAGAAGGGAATGGATGTTATAGGAGTAGATATAGGCGTGAAGGGGCCGCGAAATTACATGTCGCCAAGTGCGCAAACAAGTACGCAGCTGTCATGGAATTTTGTCGTCATATCAAAAATCGAATTCAGTCAATCGATGCGTAATTGCCCAAGGAACACGCAGGCCAAATGTGTCGATCATAATTGAATTGGTGGAGTCATATGCTTTTTTTTTAAAAAGAGCGTCGCCCCCCCCCCCAAGAAGTCGAACAACACAACCAGAACAACACCACCAACAATCAGAACAGCAACACCACCAACAACCAGAACAACACCACTAACAACCAGGACATGGTGACTAGCACTTGGTCCAAAATATCTCTTTGGTATAGCTTCAAAATAAATAAAATGAATTGAATTGGGATTAAACGTGCCTATTGAAGACGGACCACTGATTCATGCTCTGGTAAGAATTGCTTTTCGGCTTTAAATAATTGAGTTTACAAGCTCTAGTGAGATTTGTTTTTCCGTGTTAAATAATTTAGTTCAGTACGGTTCCACCAGTTGTATTATCTGTCTTATAATAACTCCCCATCATATAGTGTGCCTCTATAAACCAGTTCCTCAATAATAAACTCCCATCATAGCGTGTCTATAATTACTACCCAATAATAAAACACATTTTATCAATACTTTTATAATTAAGGTAAAGAACTGAGATCCATCACAGTTGAAAGACCTGCTTGATTACAAGTTGTTGGTTTATTGATTTGATATTAAAGTCGGTTATCATTTTTTACAAGTATAGCGTCTATTTTTATAACGTAATTACATCTTGTATTATACCCCAATAGCTACATTACACACCAATATCTGTATCCAATAATTATTATATTTTCTTATATTCCAATAGTTCCATCCGTGTAAAAACCTTTAAAACAAGAGGTGAACGTAAACACTCATGGGCTCAAGTAGGGCTGGATAAAGCTTGCATGGGGACCCTGGCTGAAACGTCACAACAGTGAAAAGGGGGCATATTCTGGTCATTGTCCATCACACCAACACCGATTCAATTTGTATGTCAGTATGGTAGATATATATGTATTTATTTGGCATAATCATATAACATAATAAATGACATATTTATTTTCATGAATTTAAGGTAATGTGCATTTCGCTTTGCGCGAATTAGAATGCCTTCAACACAAGCCCACTAATCCTTCGTCATATATAAGTGACAGGGGGGGGTTAGATAGTCAAATGGTTAGCACGTGCGTGCTGTATCATAAAGCCTGTCATTATGTCAACTGGCGTTGTTTCGAATCCCCGGTTGTACGTGACAAGGAGTAGGGTCACCTGTCCAACATCGTGGGTTTTCTCCGAGTCCTCTGGTTTCCTCCCACTGCTAAAGGACCCTACGCGCAAGCAAATTATTGAAATAAAATTAAACCATATGTTAGTCCCGAAATGACCTAGTTTGTGTCGAGTGGACGTTAAACCCCATTTCTCTCTCTATATATATAAGAGACAACCAAACATCTACAAAAATAACGTAAAAAAGACACAGAACCTATTTTAACGTGCTCTCGTGAATGAAAACCGTGCTCTATGAAATAAAAAGACAGGCTCTCAGAAAATTTCAGTTTGGGCAAAAGGGCGCGCCAGGTATCACTGAAAAGATGCCCATCATTGTACCAAATCCATATTTTTTGGAAACTTCGAATCTGAGTTATGATTGGTAATCGTTTTGTCGCTATACCAATCTCTCCCAGTCTCCCATAAAACTCGAGCTTGCTAGAATTTGCCTGGTCTCCGCCATCATCTATGAAAATTTTATTTCTCGACGTTTTACTGGCATGAGTTTCCAAAACCAGGGGGGGGGGGGGGGAGAAAAAACCCCGGACCCCCTAGAATTAACGTTGCCGGAGTGACGTGCTCGTGAAAATATCCTTAAAATAGGCCCTGCTGAGAGAGAGAGAGTTTAACGTCCACTCGACACAAACTAGGTCATTTTGGAACTAACATATGGTTCAATTTTATTTCCATTATTCGCTTGCGCGTAGGGGTCTTTAGTAGTGGAAGGTAACTGGAGGATCTGGAGAAAACCCACGAGGTTAGGCAGGCGACCCTACTCCTTGTCACGTACAACCGGGGACTCAATGACAGTTGACTCAATGACAGACTTTATGGTACAGCGCGCACGTGCAAACCATTCTGCCATCCAACCCCCTACTTTCAATGGGCTACACTACATGAAGATCTGACAAGTTGTACTCGAAGGTCGTGTCAGATATCGTACAAGCGGCTTTTGACCCTATGACGTTAGACACTGATTAATCAATTAGTGTTGGCGTTTCTAGTGATTTACCCACAGTTCCGTGAAAAAAAGTCGCCGTAACAAACTGTTTCATTGGCTTATACCTCACTTCAACCAAAACGCCAGTTATATATCCTAGTACAGTAAAGACAAATAAAACAAAATTTTGAACTATAAAAAACGAAACGAAATAGAATCTGTGATTTAATAAGATTGTGTTTTCATACAAGCAATCTGCAGGTGATAGTTCAAGGATTGAGATTCCTCTCTGTGTCCACATTCTCAGACACTTTGTCACCAGCATTTTGTAAGTTCATATGATTTTTTTTTAGCTTATACTGATTACTTTAACAATTTCTCCAGGAGAGATTGCTTGCCGCCACACATACAGTAAATAGTGTATAATTTTAGAGTGAGCAATTTTGTTGGAATACCAAACTCCATATTAAATATGATGTCAATTTCCTCTGCAATGAGGGCAATTAAAAATCAGGTACAATTTGTCTTAAGAAAAACATCTGTGTGCATTACCGGTAGGCGGACTTAACCTGACCCGAACTTGTCCATCCAATAACTAAACAGATGTCTATTGAGAGAGAGAAATGAGAACTAACATATTATATGGTACAATTTTATTTCAAAAATCCTCTTGCGCATAGGGTTCTTTACCTCTGGTTTCCTTCCAGAGGACCCCAAGGAAACCCACGAAGAAGACCTTAGGATCTAGAACACATATTGCCTATGGACACAAAACTAGGACCTGGTTTAAAGGAAACAAAATATTTTATTATTTTTCCTTGTGGGTAAATATCAGTGTTTAACAGAACAATGTTTATCTAAAGTTTGTTTTATCTGAATAAGGTTGGCATCTGTTCGAACTGATTTTGGATCGAAATGAGTTTTAGTCGCTTTGTAACCATCTGACTTTAATAACTGCACTAGAGTCGTTACCCTGAAATAATAAAACAGAAAGATATAATACTGTATATTGACATATGTATATAAGGGATAGGAGTGGGAGGGAAGGGAGTGGAGGGGAGTAGATGGTGGGAGGGGTTATGCTAGTCCGATAATCGTACTCTTTGCCACCTAAAGACCTATGTCTGAAACTATTCTACTTCGACTCAATGCAAGACCTTTTGTTTTGTTTGTTTACTCAATGAAATGGTCTGTTTTGATCAGCTTTACTCCGGTGTATACTGAATTATGTGAGACATCTATATATAGAGCATAGAACAAACCAACCCACAGATTGACCATACTCTCTTTATATGTGGCCAGCCAGACAGAAAAACGAGAGACAGGGTTTAATGTCCACTCGACACAAACTAGGTCATTTTGGGACTAACATATGGTTCAATAATTTTCTTTAGCAGTGGGAGGAAACAGAAGGACTCAGTGAAAACCCACAAGGTTGGACAGGCGACTTTACTCCTTGTCACATACAACATGAGAATTGAAAACATGCCATTTGACTCAATGATTTCACGCGCACACACTAAACCACTCGAACACCCAACCCCCCACAGAGAAAAGCAAACTAAACTTACTTTGGTAATTTCGTATGACTAACTTTCCATCGATGTGTGTTGTAATAGAAAGGCAGAAACGAGTGACTCCATAAATCAGTTTCTTCAATATTATTAACATTAGCACGTTTCAAACGTTTGGCTGGTTGATCTGGACAATCTTCATGTAGTCTCTTTTCACCAGCAGATTTCTCATGGACACTTTCCGATTGATTATCAGAAACTTCCGATGTTTTATTGCCGCACTTTTCATCACTTAAATTATCACTAAATTCCTCTCTTTTTAAGTCTAAACTCTCTTTGTTTGGATTATTAAGATTTTCATCTAGTAAATTAGAGTTATTTTCTCCTGTTGCTATGATACAACCAGCTTCCTCCATCATGGTATCCAATAGTAACATTGTTTTAGCACTTAGATCACTCTCTTGAGCACTGGATTTTATCTTGGACAGGAATGTTGGGTTAAATATGGGTCCAGACCTGATAAAAAAAGAGGAGGGGTGAAATAAAATAATATCACATACAGCTCCTACCATTAAATCAGGCCCTTTTTTTAAACTATATCTTTTCCCTGACTAATGAAAAATTGACCCACCGCATTATGATAAAAATAATGAGACAGAAGGGACAATAGAGATTATGTCAAGTGAAAATCACACACTATTTTAAAAATAACATTAAGCTATGACTAACTATAATATCTAAAGTCATATCTAAAGTCTGTATGTCCATGTTCGTAAGCGAGATTATCAAATAACTGGTCTGATTCTGATTTCTAACTCTTGGGCAAATAACTCGTCTGAAACCAATTTTCTAACCAAGGTGAGAAACCGGTTGGACTAAAATGATTGGGATCAAAGTTCACTACTCTAGATTCCGTGAACCAGTGGCAATACTCACTAATTTTCGCTAGGTAGACAATCAAGTCTACGATGACGTTTAAAAATTGTCCACATAACTTAAGAGGGTCACATGGATAATTTTAAAACGTCATCGTAGACTAGTGTGACTCAACCATTACGAACATGGACGTAACAGACTTTAGACATTATACTTAGTTAATCTACAAAACACCTGATAATGATTTGTGGCCAGTTCGTTGTGTGCAGAGCACTGTAAGTACATACCAAAGGCAACATAACTCTACAGAGTAAGTACTTACCAAAGGGGACCTAACTCTACAGCTGTTTTACCAGGTTTCTCTGAGTTACATTTACAAGGTAGTAGGTTATAAGGGTTTTCTAAAATAAAACATTGATTTATAAGAAGATAATGAACCACTCAAGGTCTAACTTAAGGCTGCATTTTGAAACTCTGCAGATATATATTACGAGCTTAAATATTGCCAAATATTTACAGATAATTAGAATTACTCTACTGACAGGTTTCTACATATAAAGAGAAAAGGGGTTTTCTGCTCCACCCGGGCTAGTGAAGATGGAGCTATGAGGGAGATTGTGCTTGGACAGCAGCTGTATGGTCTACTCTTATTTCAAATTCCAATGGAGCTTTTAGAGGCGTGTCAATGTGTATACAGGACCTTGTTTTTTTTCATCTCATATGAATGACTTGTTCCTGCACCACTGACAAGGGGAAATCCCACTGGATTTGTTCCTATCGTCTGCAGAGATAGCAACTTTCACAAGATTGTAGTTTGCAGGGGATTTTTAATTTCTTAAATGACGATCACAGATTTTAAGACCACAAAATGTTTTAATATAACCCTCTCAGATTACTGAAGACATTATCCTGTATTGTCAAGATAACGGGTGTTTATTTTAATAAAGTGGGGGGGGGGGGTCAAATGGTTTAATGTGTAAGGGTTAGATCATAAGATCTGTCATTGAGTTGAATGGCACGGTTTTCAATTCAAAGCTAGTACGTGACTAGGAATAGGGTTGCCTGTCCAACCTCATGGATTTTCTCAGGGCCTCTGGTTTCGTTCCTCTACTAAATAAAGACTACGTGCAAGTGAATTATTGATATGAAATTTTATCATATGTCAGCCCCGAAATGACCTAGTTTATTAATGACCTAGTGGAGGTTAAACCCCATTTCTCTATCTTCATAAATGAAATAAAATGGGTTTTAACATCCTACTGTTCTGCTCCGACTGGGCTAATGAAAGGTGGCATATGCCATACAGTGTGTTATGACGGAAATTTTGCCCTGACAGTGGAACTATGAATTTAATAAAATAAATAATGCACCTATGGGAGCTTTCTGTTTAGGTAGAAACACCCTCTCTTCACAGAATCGACAGTGTAGTAACCATCGTAACCTCTGATTGGCTTTATCAGCTAAATGAGGTCCACGATGGGATTTAACACTTATCAGTAGAAAATCATCCATAGACATCGTATACAACACCTCTATACCCTTATTACATTTAGATGCTGACCTGTAATATATAGACAACACATTATTACATTTAGACGCTGACCTGTAATATATAGACAACACATTTATTACATTTAGATGCTGACCTGTAATATACAGACAGCACATTTATTACATTTAGACGCTGACCTGTAATATTAGACAACACATTTATTACATTTAGACATTGAAACTAAATGTATTTTGACTTGTATGCAGGACAATGTCCGTCATCCTCTTAGGTTGACCTGTAATATATACACAACCACTGTACATGTTGACAGACATTACTGATAAATACATTTATTACTGAACCACAGTATTGGTTGATAAAAGACTAGAGAATCCTAATTGAACTTGATCAGTAACGAACAGTAATCGTAGTCAACACAATTGAGTCTTGGGCTTTTCTAGTTCAATTAATAGATATTACTGAACCAATTTACGTTTTTTTTTTACTTTTGTTATTGATGGGGAAGTTTTTTTTTTTTTAGATTTGTAGTTCATGGGGAAAGTTTTTTTTTTACTTGTGTAGTTGATGGGGAGGGTTTAATTTTACATATGTAGTTCATGGGGATATTTTTGTTTTACATTTGTAGTTGATTAGGAATTTTTTTTTACAATTGTAGTTGATGTTAATGAGGAAGCTTTTTTACAGTTGTGTGTAGAATTAGGGTATACTGAGATATATTTGTTTACCTTGCTAATTGTCCGATTAAATTTGCTTACCTTGCTAATTGTCCGATTATAACTCTGGCTGCTAGTTCCTTTATATAATCGGTTTTAATAACAGAGGTGGAATAATATCGGTCTACTACATGATGGGAACGAGCAAACATGGAAATATCTGGAACAACGAGACACAGGATCCCCAGGTGACGCAGATTAAAAAACACAGAATCTATAAAACTTGAACAACTCTTGTGTGGGTCTAAATATCTACAAAAATAACAATACACATACATGTAATATTTTTGGAAAAACAGCTACTTATTTATTTGGGCGACGTTTCGAAGAGTATTCTCTCAACGTTATCAAGCTAATACAGTAATACAAGAATAATGAGATCAATATATACAGAAAACTGTAACAACAATTCATGAAACCATACAGGACAACAACAAGATCAAAGGGGTTTATTCTACAAAAACTAATTAAGTGTGAAGAGTATTGTATCTATCATCATAGCTACCTAATTGCTTAACTATACTCAATGGCTACTCTTCACACTTAATTAGTTTTTGTAGAATGTAATATTTTAATAAACTCAGTGAATATTAATTCCTTTTTAATAATAGTTAGACTAGGACATCACTTAGCAATGATACTGTCGTCATTCACTGAGACTGCATGCTTCACTTTGATGTCATTAAGACTATACTGGGGCCACCAGTGGTGCAGGACGGGGCCTGACAGGGAACAGCAGATCTAGTTGTTTGGATGGGACAAAAATAAAAACAAAACTGAACAATGCACATAATACTTTAATCAACTCAGAGGCGACGGAGTCTAGTGGTTTAATGTGTGAACACAAAATCACAAGGTCTGTCATTTAGTTAAGTGACGTGTTTTCGATACAATTATGAACCAAAATGAACCAATTTTAAGTTTATACGGTACGTTACTTATCACAGTACAATACGTACATGCATCGCGGTATGGACCTCACGATATGATACACATCACGGTACGATATGATACTTATCACAGTATTGACCTATTTTTTTTCCAAATAAAAACAAGTACATGAAACCCTCATTTCATGTACTTACTGGGGGGTTGGGTGGCTGAATGGTTAATGGGTGCGCGTTGTATCAGAACGTCTGTCACTAAGTCAAGTGGCGTGGTTTCGATTCCACAGTTGTATGTGACCAGGAGTGGGGTTGCCTGTCCAACCTTGTGGGTTTCTCCGGTTTCATCTGTTTCCTCCCATTGCCAAAGACCTCTACGCGCAAGCGAATTATTGAAATAAAATTGAACCATATGTTAGTCCCAAAATGACCTACATGTAGTTTATTTCGAGTGAACGTTGAACTCCATTTCTCTCTCATATACTTACATAAAATCAAATGACTCCATATGAAGAAGAACATTAGCTCGACATTGACAGACTTGTATCTCTGTGTTTTGTTGATCTGTGAATGGTGTTCCGGGCGTTCTGTTAAAATCTAATAATAGATCTGTTGTCGTTAATTCATTCTCCTCACAATTTTCTTTCAACCTATCTAACTGGTCGGATACAGTAGCAGTCACATGGATGCGTTCTTTAAAATATTTCTTCCACTGAATAGCAGCCAAACCTTAAAGAAAAGCGGTTGTTGTAGATTCTGTATGTCATGTTACATTATTTTGGAAATTGATAAAACATTAGGGATGCTAGCAAAGTTATCGACAACTAAGGTTGGGCGATATACAGGTTTTATGGTACATGTATATCGTAATAAAATCATTGGGGATTTTATCAAATCAGACTTATTTTAAAATATCGAAAAACCAGTATATCGTGATAACCAAATTTATCACAATATGATAATTATCGTGTCCCAATATTGATGATAGTACATATCACCTCTAACATTCTATTGATAGAATTAAATTCATCAGTAAAAATAACATTATTACGTACCAGCTGGTCTAGGGTAAATCTTCATCATGGTGTCTACCGACGTTAGCAACAATAATTTGACATCAAGTAACGGTTTTCGGCCCAAGTATTCAAAATTTGACTTCTTAAGACACTCTTATAAATTATCCCAAATATTTTTTATTATTTCATTATCACCCAACCCTATCGAAAACATATGAAAAACTTACTATTTTCAGGTACAACTGGTTAACAAAAATATTTTATTTCACAAAAACAAAGAAAATTATGAAAACTGCTTGTCAGTTTTAATTTTATAAGAATTAAAATATTCACCTGATGATGCGAGAGCTTCAACACAACACATTTTGATATTAGATTGTTTAGCAGCAATATTTAATGTTGCTAATGTCAGCTCTCTGTAAATATTTTTCAATTAAAAAAATTATTATTATTGCATGCTTCTATAGCGCAGAACTGACAAATAAAAGTGCTTATATTAGATTGCCTAGCAACAATATTTAAAGTTGCTATATGAAGCCGTAGTGGCTCAGTGAGCAAAGACACTGGCTTAGGATTTTCCGGCGGAAGGCCTGGCAAGAATAGTGTCTAGTCGTTTCGATGGGATAAAAAAAATGAGGTCCTGTGTACACATACATGTAAGAGCCGTTGACAGTTAGAATCCAAATAAGAGTAGATCGAAGCACTACTGGCCCACTGCCTGGGCAGAAGTGCCCTCATAGGAAACTTTGGCTCCAAAATTTTAAAAAAAGCTACAGTAAGTACCATCGTACGTAACTAACGTACGAAAATTAATTGGTGGCTAGCTTTTTTTGCTCAGTAATCCCAGCCAGAATTTGGCTATTTTCTAAATTTGCGTTAAAGTTTAAAATATTTGTTTTAGAACTGAAACACATTAACTATTAGTCAATCCCAACGCTAAAAACATCAACAGAATTGATTGTGTATATCTGAAATAGACCCGACCGACGCACAAAATAGTGCAATATGGCGGCCTCTATGAACAACCCTCGCAGACGCTGTCATTAAAGACAACGTCAATTCTATGAGTTGTAGATGTTATTTTTGTGAAAAATCATTGGAAGAAGAGAGAACATGTTGGGACTGTACGAATTATATAGTCTTTATGGGTGCAACGGACACAATGCTGAAGATAAACCTATTGTTTACAATGTTGACCTCTTGACGCCAATGTCATGATCTGTGATGTGTAGATCACGTGATATGGATATCATGGCTACTAACTGTATCTGAGATACTTCTCCGCAGGTAGCGTGTCTCAGATGTTCAGAATGTAAGTAACATGTCACTCATATTTCTCTAAGTCACACATTATCCATATGTAGGTACACAAACACACTGTTAAGCATGTTTGTGTACCTACATATATGGAAAATTGTTATTTTGATTCATATGAATATCATAACATAATACAATTTTATTTCTTCGACATTAGCGTCACTAAATATTCTTGTGGATCGCCTGAATCTGCTTTAGGTCTGTGACTCGAAGATTAATGCAATTCCATAATAAGAAATGACGCTGATTCTGTCAAGTAAAATATACATCCGAAATTATGCTTTAAATTTAATATAAAGGCTAATGACTCGGTGGTTGAAAAAAGTGCAGAATTCAGATCACAAAATATCCATAATTAATAAATTGAATATCTATTAATAATCATGTGTAGAGGACAGCTGGAAGTCAAGTACATCTCGACTAATTTACACTAAAAATTATATTTATAAAATACTCTTAGAACCAGATTATTTTCTTTTGTTAAATTGTGCGCTAAATTATACATAAATTTAATTTTGGACATTGTTCAATGTTTAAATTTCAATTCGAGTCACAATATTACTGTGGTATTGTCAGGTCACATAAAATGTGACTTGCAGCATACATGTCTAATATATTCAGTGTGTTCATACTGCTGTAAACTCAAACAAATGAAAACAATCGTAGTGTATATGTGAAATAAATGAAATGGGTTTAACATCCTACAATTCCGCACCGACGAGGGACGTGTGAAATACATTATTTTAAAAATGGTTCTGAATTGACTTATAACTTTGCGAGTAACTGTATGACAGAGTCCTGTGTAAACAATGCAAATGGTAGCTTTCCAAAGGTTTTATTCGTAGTTAATTCTTTCATCACAACCATTTTGGAATAAATAAATATATGTGACTTGTTATTGAGTATTGTGAATTGAGTATTGTCAATCCGAAAAAATCAAAAATATGGTAAAACTGGACACTGGGCGCTATTGCACATTCGTATCTCTAGCTGAAATTGTGTGTTACTGATATCACGACTAGTCCCCCATTGGCATAGATGCGAAAGTGCAATAGCACCATAAAATTGTTATTTACTAATTCAGATCAATGTTGAACTTTGAGACTGGATGTGACTATGTCAATGTCATGCATGCGACGGATGTCGGCTGTTTCGTAACCTGGCTGTTTCGAACTTAGTTCATTCGTACCTCACATGAGCTGTTTCGTACCTTGGTTAATTGCAAAAGAATTTGAGCTGTTTCGTAACTTCACTAATTTCAACTTTTACATGCACTTAACCTTAGCCCTCCTCCTTTTGCACCCGTGCTTGGGACCGGCGTTGGCGGGGTTAAAGTTGTTTTTGTTTTTCTGTTTCTACTGCTGGCGGAATTAAAATTGTGCTTTTATTTTCTTCTATTCTATTGTGCTGTTATTTTCTGCTTGGAGGGAAAGTCTATAGGAGGCAACAGGAGCGACAGTTGGCCCGTTCACAAAGCACACCTTCTTAACAGGGTAGCCTACTGGCTGAAATTCGGTTCTGGGCTTATCCCTCCGACAGGTTAGCAGCCATTTTTTTTTTTATAAAGTTCCTGTTTCAGCCATTTTTATAAAATTCTCGTGGTGGTTGGATATTATTACGAATCAATCTGAGGTACGATTGGATATTAAATCGTCATATGTTCCACCTTTATTTCAACAAAAAGGAGAAAAAGGTACGAATCAATCTGAGGTACGAAGTAATGGTATGAACTGAGGTACGAATGAACTAAGTACGAAACAGACAGGTTACGAAACGCTCTGGACCCCATGCGACACGTTGTAGTACT